CAAAAAAAATCTGCATGAATTTGCTTTCAATTGTTTTTGTTTTTTTTCGCTCTCGAATAATGATGGCCATCAAAATCATTCGAATCATTCAACCAAAAATATATATTCTGGAACAATGAGAAAAAGATACTGACTGATTCTGATCATACCAAAAATGATATTTGTCCCATTCTTTCTTGTGTGTTCGATCACCAACAACAAAAATCACCATAACTGATGACGATTAATCCAATTATCAATTAATCAAATGAAAACAAAAGAAGAAACAAAAAAAAAAATCATTATCAATTTAAAGTATCGTCTATTATCATCATCGAAATCGGATGTATCTAAAAAATGAATAATCAAGCAAAATTGATTAAAATTATCAGATAATTAGTCTCAATAATTATGAACCAAACAAAAAAATAATGATGTTTAATGTTGCAGAATGTTGCATTTCCTCATTATCTTCTTCCCCATCATCACATTATTCTGGATTCGAAATTGAATAATTTCAATATTAAAAAAAATACAAAATAATCAATGAGTCATTCACATATGAACAATTTTCATTCTCAAAAAAATTCTGGTCATCAAAGCTATATATCGATAATGATAATGATAATAGAACACATTATCATTATAATGATTTTCGACATAATAATCTTTGAAAACGATAATGTCTAAACTTTTTTTTTTGTTCAAAATATGAAAATGAGCAAAATGTTCAGGTCACTTTCGAACCGAAGAATGGAAGAGTGGGGGTAATTCAAATAATTTGTATTCGGTCAGGTATAATTAGTTAGTGTTTTGCATTTTTGCTTGCTTGCTTGTTTGTTGTGTTTTGCATTTGACTTTTATGGTTTATCGTTAATTGTGTATTCAATATGTTGATGATCATCATCATTTTGTAAACTAATTTCTTTTCTATTGACAAAATTGTTACATTATAATATTTTCATATTCTCATTATTATCATCGTTTCATCATTATTTTTTTTCTGTTATGAATTCATTACCGATTCTGATTCCGTATCACCAGACCAAATAGTTATGGAAATATGGTGAAGAGAAAAGTAAAGTGAAAAGACTTTTGATCCATTTTGAATATTACCAATGATTTTGTTTTGTTTTTTTTGTTTTTGATGACATTATTATGCATGATTGTCATGATTATCGACTAAAACAACAACAAAATATCCAAGTAAAAAAATAATTTTATTCATCAAAATTGAAAACAGGAAAAAACAATCGACCCTTTCATCAAAGATATTTCTTCTTTCATATTATATCTCCCGAACAAACGAACGAACTAATGGTCCGTCAATTTTAGCATTTTTCCTATTTCCACTTCTTTCATGATGATGATAATAATGATTTCTAGATATTCTTTCTGTTGTTGTTACAGGCTAGAAAATCAAATTGATGAACAATCATGATGATGATGATCATTATAATGATCAATGTAAATTGTTTGATAAAACAATCAACAAAAAAAAAAAAAATTTAGAAAATCGACTGATTTTGTTTATTGTTTTTAGCTGAAAATAATGATAATTTCTCAATCAACCAACCAAACAAAATTGAAAGAATCTTTAGAATTCTGAATTAAATGATCAAACTAAGAAAGTGAACAAACAAAAAAACACAACCAATAAACAAGAATGAATCAATTCCTGTTTCACATTTGTTGTTGTTGTTTAAAACAATTATCATTAACACTTACTTATTACAAACAACCGAAGAAAGAAAAAACAAACCAAACAAAACATGGACATTATGGATAATCAATGAGCGATGAAACAATTTTCTGTCTGAGAGAGAAAAAGAGAAACATGTAATGTACTTATACATCGATTATCGCTACAAATTCGCCCATCACTACCGAATGAGAAAGAATAAAAAAAATTCGTTCGATTCCATAAAACACTCAATGTTTTTTGTTTTTCGTAAAATAACAACATTCAATCAATTGAAACAAAACCAAAACAACAACAAAAAAAACTGATACATTTTGAATCAAAAATAAAGTATATTAGACGAAATAATAATGAACAATTGGTTTTGCGCTCAATCTAAATAATCGACAACGATATTTTTCATCAAAAAAAAGAAACGATATGGAACAACAAACAAATATGTTTCAGAATGTTGTTGTTTTTTTCGCCAATAATAACTGTAAATGTTTTTTTGAAGAAGTGAAAAATAAGTGTGATAAAATCAAAGAAATGATCTTTTCAATTATCATTGTTGTTGTTGTTGTTGTTGTTGTTGTTATTTTCCTGCTCACCACCACCCCCACCAATATGATCTTTTTTCTTCATTTCGTTCAATAGATTTATTTATCAATAACGTACATTGCGTGGAGATATTAAGCAGACATTACCATTATCATCATCATCATCATGATCCGGATGATGATTGTTTAGACAAAATTCACATTATCGATACAATTTACTTTTACTTTTTTTCTGTTTTTTGGTTATAATATCGAAGAAAATTTTCTTTTTTTCAATTTGTTTTTCAACATCATCATCGTTATTATTTTCTGTTTGTGTTTCGGTCGATCATCATCATCATCATCAAGTTGAAGTTCTTCTTCCCTTTTTCCTTGTTATTTGTTATTATCCAACAGAAAACAATCAAAAATCCTAATAATAATAATAATCGAATCAAACATTAGATTTCGAATTTAGCACTGTTTTTTTTATTATTATTTGGAAATCAATTTTTTCTGAACAAAAATAAAAATCTCCTGCTGCTGACGGTGATGATAATGATAATGATCATATCGATATTTTTGATATTTTCGCTGTGCAAGAAGAATCAAATAAATCAATATCAATATTGATTTGAACAATACCTATAATCATTTTGATGATTTTGTTGCTGTTGTTGCTGTTGTTGTTGAATCGATCTGGTTCACAAATTTTTAATGATAAATTTGGATCAATAAAAAAATTTGATTCGAAAAAAAACAAAAGCAAAAAACAAATTTCCTAATCAAATGTGTGCAGTTGTCGTTTTTTTTTCTGACACACACACACACAGCCTGTGAGAAAGAAAATTATCGTGAAAAAAAACCATTTTTTTACAATTTAAATCTGAATCTTACATCATCATCATTCGTTTTTCTTTTCTTCTTGTTAGATTTTCAGAATTTGATCCAAAAAAGAAATATTAAAATATTGTCATTCGAAATGCCGATGACACCGACAACAACAACAGAATAAATTCTATTATCATATGGTTCGGTTGAAATGATTTTTTTTTTGTTCTTTTTTTTCCACCAATTCAAACAACTGAAATTCTTTTTCCCATTTTTCTATTTTGTTTATTATTCAATTTACACACACACACACTGAAACTTATTAGATATATCAATTCAATTCAAGTGTAACACAAGATTTGTTGGACAAACATTATCTTTGAAATTTGGCCTTTTTTTTCTCACTCTGTGTGTATACAAAACGAACAAAACTGGTCACTTGTGATTATTTGTGATCAATTCTGGCTGCTTACGGGCTTGATATTAACATTTTGTTTTTTGATTTAGTCAACCATATTTTTTTCACATAAGATTGATTTGAATTAAACTAAAAATAATATTCAGCCAAACAAAATTGGAAATTTATTCTTCTTGGTGTGAATCACAATTTGACCGTTAAATATACGCCGTTGTGTAGATGTAAATAATATTCGGAAAGCGACAAACGAAAAAATTGAATGTCAAAAACAATTGTTTTAATTCAATTTTCCAACAACAACAACAACAACAGAAGAATATTCTTTCATTCAATTTAATTTGAATTTAGACAAAACTGGAAAAATCTTTAACATTTCACAATCGATTTTTTTTGGAAAAAAAATTTATCGACATGTTTGGTTTTTTTCCCGACAAAATTATTTTTCATTCGGATATTTATTCAGGGCGTTGGTTTATTACCCGACTGAATGAATATCCGAATGATGAATGATGTGTGTGTGTGAATAACCGTCATTGACTTGTCATTTTTTTCTGTTGTTGGTTAGTTGTCAGTAGCGGTTTTGTACAATCTATATTCCAAAATAGAATAATGATAATAAATGTTTTTGATACACAGTGTCAAAACACACACACACAGACAGTAACAAAATGTCATATTTTGTTTTGTTTATTTGGATGGAATTTTTCACAAAAATGGAAAATTCAAAGGGAAAAACCTTTCCTTCTGTTTCTTCAGATTCAATATTCTTGTTGAATATTTCATGATGATGATCATTTATGGCCGATTAAACAGATTTTTTTCCCACATTCACTGAACAAAAAAATCTACATTTTTTCGCTACCTTTTCACCGAAAAAAAAACACTGAATCATCAGGAATGAACAGGAATTTCAATTTTTTTTTCTCCGAACCAAAAAAAAATTTTACCAATTGAAAAAAAAATTGAAATTGAATTTTCGTTCGCTCTAATTTCAAAAATTCAAATTAATTAATCTATCCATTCAAATAATAGTATTCGTATTGGGTAGAATTTTTTTGAATTTCAACAAATTTAATCTATATGGATTTTTTTTCTGTTCGTTTGGTTGAAAATTGATAGATTCAGATGATAGCTTTTATCCTAATTGAATCCTGCAACAGCAGCATATGAAGATCATCATATCAAATGACACAACACAAATATTAGAATAGTGAAAAACAGAACGGGAAAAAAGATTAAACGAAAATTAATTTTTCATTATAATGATGATGATGATGATGTCATAAATTTGTAATTTGTATTTTCATTCAATTATTGATTTCTTTGATTTTTTTTGGTTCGGCTGAAATTGTAACAACGGTAAAAAAAATTACATTCGAAATGGACAGCTTACGCCATCTGTTTGACGAATGATTGAAATAAACATGTGAGCTCACATGGTGTTGTTTATCGAAAGAATTTGCGGTTTTTTTTCGTTAATTTTTTTTTCTCTTTAAAAATTCGTTAATATTTTTCCTCATCATCATCATCAACAACAACGACAACATCTAAGTTGATTTGAAGCAGAAAAAATGGCATCCAATGATACAGAATTATTAAATAAACTTGTCGAATCGATTAAAAAATGTAAATTTGATCGTAATATTGTAACAAATCTATCCTGTTATTATATGGATCGTCTTTTAGTTTGGAATGATGATGATCAATGTATTTATGGTTGTTTATTCGATGATCGTTATAATATTACAGCAATACAGGTGAGTTTTTTTTTGTTGTAACTTTTTTCTCTTTCATTTGATTTCGATGATCAATCTTGGATCGAATTTCGAATATTTTTTTTTCTTCTAAACATTCGATTAATCATAATAATGAACCGATTAATAATTATAATCATTAATAATTTATAATGATAATTTTTTTTTCGATAATTATGAATGATAATAATAATAATGGTGATAATTATGAAAATCGAAAATGATGTAATTATCTTGAATACATTATCGCCAATTTCTATACAGAATCGAATCTATTCTATTCTGGCAAGCAATTTCATTAATCGATTTTGAATGAAAAAGAAACCAAAAAAAAAAAAAAAAAAATATTCCACTTTCAATATTGATCAATCATTGCAAACAAGAATTGATGAACGTCATTGTCATTTCAACAACAACCGAAAAAAATTGATTTTTAAAAAAATCGAAACTGTATAAAGAAACCAAAAACAAACTAATCAAATACAGTGATATGGAAGAGAAAGATAGATGAAGGGGAAAACAATCGAAAAAAGATTATTCTTTTCGAAACAAACAAAACAAAACAAAAAAAAAGTCGATATAATCGCCCAACTCGATACAACAGATATCGGGTGTATTATTATAGAGAATTTTTTTTTTAGAATTTAATTTCAATTATCAAATATTGTTTGAGCAAAACCAAACAAACAAACGACTCGAAAAAAAAACAATGAACATGCAAATAATAATAAGCAGAGTAATAATTCTTGTTTTAAAGAAAAGAAAAACTTAATTCATTTCCAGATCAGATCAACATTGATCTGCTTGTTTGAAATTTTTTTTTCTATCATTTCATTTCGTTTCATCAACATTTCCATTTTTTTTATTGGTTTCTAAAATCGAATATTGCGTGTACCGAGATTGTTGTTGTATGTTTGACCGATTTTTTTCTGTTTGTTTGTCATTTTCTCCAAAAAAAACAAATTCTTATTTTTTTCAATTGTTTTAGTTTCGAAAATCGATCGATTCATTTTTTTGTGTTCAATATTTGCATTCGTCTGATTTATTGGAAATGAAAAATTTCTGAAATTAAATTCGGAAAATAATGGTGGAAAACCACATTAGTTCGTTGATATTATCATTTATAGTTTTTTTTATATTTGCATAGCAAACTCTGTTGTTTTTTATTCAAATCATAATCACTTCGGGCTTGGGAAATTGATGTTTGATTCTGATGGTTGGCGGGGAAAAAAAATCTTTGAATCGAACGAAAAAAGTTTCGATTTCGCCATTAAGCAGCCAAGTGAAATTAATGGGCAGCTTATTAATGATTTTAATTGCATTCAAATCATAAATCGATCCGCAAAAAAAAGAAAACAGTGAAAATGAATGAATGAATTTCCCAGAATAATATATGACATTTCATCGACCATTTGAATTTTTTTTCCCATTCATAAATGAATGAATGTGTCATATGTGTGTATTGATTCTGAAACAGGGAATGAAAAAAAATACATTGTGAATTTTGACTTGACTTTTATTCGATATTTCCCACACACCAATCTTTTTTTTGTTGCTCGATTCTCAATTGAATCGTTTTTTTTATTCTATTTTGATAGTGCTAATGAGTGGTTAACTATTATCACCAAACAGCCATAGTGTAATAGTCAAGTGATATCCCCTTATATATTTATAGTCAATTAATTTCGTTTGTTCGTTCGTTCGTTCGTTCGTTTTGATCTTAATCGATCCGAATTCATCTCTCTCTATATATTGCTCTATCACGAATCCGGAAAAAAAGTCAACGAAAAAAAAAGAAAAAGAAAGAATTATATAATCGATATCATCGTTTTCCTATTGTGTATTGCCACTGACTATTGCGTAATCTATAAACAAATATTTTGCATTCATTTTTTTTTTGAATAATTTTCTTTTCCATTTAAAACAAAAATTTTTGGTACTTTTCAATTTTCATATTAGATTATAACATTATCATCATTGCCAACATTTCAAATCAATGAAATATGTTTAAATCCACAAGAAAATTATCTAGCCATATATGGTAAAAATGGCTGTATGATTGTTGAATTACCAAGAAATTGGTCTTATTGTCGAACTGCCACCACCACCACCACAACCAGTGAAACATTGATTGATAAGGTCGATCCAAAACAGAAGCAACAACAAACGACTTCCAAATTATTGATCAGGTAAGCCCGATTTATTATAAATGTTTTCAAATATTGAGTGTTCAATACAAACAAAACAAAAAAAGAAAATAATGCGAGAAAAAAGTCACGTTTTTTTTATTTTGTTGGTCGATTATGATTCTGGAATTTTAATTTCAATATACATTTCCTTCGAAACATTTGAAACAATTTGTTTGTTATGTTCGATTTATGATTATTTTTTTTGTAGTTGTTGTTGTTGTTTGAATCAAATAAAATATTTAAAAAAATGGATAGATAACATTTTCCAAAATATAGATTAGATGGATATTCCTCCCGGATACCGCCATATTAATCGAGAAAAAAAAAGAGAAATGATGATGATGATGAAAATACATTCGATTTTAATAATTGATTATCATGGATCGTCATTTAGAAATTTCTATGGATCATCAATATATATCTCACGGTATTTTGTTTTTTTTAGTTAAAACAATAGGAAAAAACACCGAGAAAAAAGCTATTGTTTTGATTAATTTTTTTCACAACAGAATAGTTATTCAGATACAAACACATGTGAATGGCCAATAGATAATATTTAGTGTAACTAGTGATTCAAAAAAACAAAACAAAAATCGGTATTCGATTCTTTGGGTTTTTATTGTAATAATTCATATACCTGTGTTATTTTGTTTCGATTCGATTTCAGTGTTTGTTTGTGTGTTTTTTTGATGATGATATTTTTTTTTCTCCATAATTTATTAGATGGGCATAAATATGTCCGATATGGTCCATAGAATTTTTGTTGTTGTTGTTGTCTATCTATTTCATTGCAATTTAGTTGTTCGAAACCAATTTTTAAATGAAACTAATTTATCCCATTGGTTTTCATTATAATTGTGTGTGTGTGTGTGTATGTTTTTCTTGTGGTTTATCAATGGTGATTATGAATTGGTTGACTGGATTTTATTTTTCTTTTTCTCTATCTCACTTACAAACTATTTTTTCTGAATGGTCGTTAATAATAATGATATGAATAGAGATAGATAGATAGATAGAATCATTGAAATTCATTCATCCCCAATTCGATGATCGTGATCAACACAATGAAATCTATAAGCGAAATGAGAGAAAAATGGTTTGTTTGTTATTATGATGATGATGATGATGATGGAAACCAATTTACCGATTCGAGGTGGTCGATAATGTCCATATGCTTTTATCATAATTATAGCCATTAACAGTTGATCATTATGATGGGTTTTTTTTGTGAATCTTCAATTTCAATGATTATTATCACCCTGTTTTGTTTTGTTTTGTTTTGTTTTGTATGTTTGTTTATGTTTTTATGGCTAATTGATGCCATTGTATAATTTTTGTTTTCTCATAGATCATTTTCATTGGCCGAACGAATGTTTCTAACAAATCGTAATCTAAAATTAGAATGTTTACGATGGCATCCAATATCCAAACGACATTTAATTATATTAACTAATGATAATCGTCTTAGGTAAATATTAATTTGATTCTTTTTTAGAAAAAAAAAATCATTTTTAATCTTTCTTTTCTACATAGATTATTTGATATTTTCAATGAATATGAACCAATTAAAACCGTTCATCTTGGTAATGATTATAATTCAGGTCTTTATTCTGGTGCATTAGGTGAAAATGCTGTTTCATTTGATTTTGGTCCATCACTTTCACAATATCATAATAATAACAATAATTTATCAATGACAATGAAAGAATTGATTGATATTTATTCGATATTTGTTCTGAAAGAAAATGGTGATGTTTTATTACTTTATTTAAATCTAAAAGATTTAACTACATTTTATTGTCAACATCAACCATTAAAAATGCTTCCAGCTGCTGAAGATAATTATGGTTCGGAAGCATGTTCTATTCTTTGTTTGGATTGTGTACCACCTATTATAATTATTGGTACTTGTTCTGGCCTATTATATCATTGTTTAGCAATTGAAAATGATTTAAACAATGATGATGATAACTGTGATAATTCTTCATATCAAATATCAACATCTAAATCGACGATCATTATACCGGAAACAGTATTAAATGTATTTGAAACTATTGAATTATCATTTCCATTGGCAACATATCAAATTATGGATAATGGTCAATATAATAATGATATGGATACAATTAGTACGGCTTTGAATTTGATAGCCGATCCTAAAGATGGTCAACGTTATTATTGTCAACATTCATATGGTGTTCATTGTGTGATGGTACCATTTTTCAAACAAATAGTTAATCCAACTATAAACAATGAATTTTATGATGATAAAGCCATTGTTGAATATTTAATTTGCACCCGACCAACTATTGATAACGAACAACAACAACAACAATCACAATCAAATGATTGTCCAACTTTTCCGGTCGGCATTGGACTAACTATTAAATATGGATTTACATCCATCACTGTCATATTGAATACGGGTGAATTAATCAGTAAACGTTTATCAAATATTGTATTATCCGATGTTGACGATGATGAACAAAATGAAATTAGTCGTTTGATTAATTTGACAGAATCTCCATCATTTGGACTTCAGCAACAGGCAAAAAAGCCAAATTTTTCCGAACATATACAACGATTATTAACTAAAACAACAAGTTTACCATTGATAAAATCATCAAAAACAGATTCAAAATGTGGTATGGCCGAATTGGAAATGTTATTGAACTCAATCGATGTATTACGTAATGAATATCTGGATAAATATTTTCTGGCAGCAAAAGCTATTGATAAACGTAAAACAGTTCTGAATATTGAGATAGATGTACAGGTTGGTTGCTTTTCTAAGTATGAATTTTTTTTATTGAAATTTTCTTTTTTCCAGCTTAATCAATTGGATCAGCATTCGAAGGAAAAAGATGAGATGCTAAACAAATATGTAGAATTGATCGAAAAATATGAACAAATAAGAGAAACGACAAATTTTTTAACCGAGCGATTGGAAAATATAATGACAACTATACAAAAACAGCGACCAGAAATGTCAAATGCTGAATTACATTTACGTGAACAATTAATGAAAGAATTACAACGTTTGGATGAATATCGCGAACAATTTGAACTTGTACAACAAAAACGTCGTTATCAGGATATGCAAATGCAAAAATATTCATTACAACAACAACAACAATCATCGTTGATCGCTAATGATGATGATTCATTAGATGAATCACATCTACAATCACCTACACAATTAAAGAATATCAAACAGATTCTAGCTAATCAGTAAGTTTATTTGTTTTATTTTCACTTATATAAGTCTAATCTAAATATTTTTTTTTCGAATTTCAGGAGTAAAGAGATAACCGGATTGATCGCTATAATCAATACATTAAAGAAAAAAACAATAAATATTTCTTAATTTAATTTTGTTTTTTTTTTGAAATTTTCTCAATAAAAATCATATAATTTTTTTTATCATTTTGAAAAAATTTTATTTCGGGATTCACAATGTTCGGTAACATATTCTGCGAATGATCATTTCGAAAGTCACATGAAATTAATTTATGTTGCGAAAAAAATACATGTTTTGTTTTGGTTGATCAGAATTTTGTTATTGTTTTGTTTTTTTTCTTTCAAAACACTATCTATCGATCATGTCATTTTGTCGATGGTCACCATGGATTCTTCATTCAACTTGTCGTCCATTATTATCCGTTTCGATTCGAAATTGTCAAAACTATAGGTTTGTATTTGAATTTTGATTTTTCAATTTTTTTTCATATTCACCGGTAAACATAAAAATTTAGATTGACCGAGATAGGTCGAATCGTTTCGCCTAAAATTGCCAATGAAAAATATGATACTGGTCAATTCTTTTTACATCGTGTTTTTGGTTATCGTGGTGTTACATTGTTCCCATGGACAGCTAAAGTTTATGATCGTGATCAAAGAAAAAAACAACCTAGTCAAACGTAGGTTTGCATTATACATGTGAAAGGATTTTCAAGCATTTTTTCTTTTTATTTAAGGATTCACGAAGAACGAAATGAATTTAAAATGAATGGTGTTACACCTAAACCACATACCTATTATCAGGTATTAATAGATCAACGTGATTGTCCCTATGTGGTAGGTTTTCGATATTACGATTTCTATTTTTAGATTTCAGTTGTATTTGATTTTTTTTTCGATTATTATCAATACAGAAAGCACAAACAGAAGCTGTTACATTTCTTGGTAATCATGATAATACACGAGCTTTGTATGCAATACCAGGACTAGATTATGTCGCCCACGAAGATGTTATTCCTTATATGAGTACAGAATCAACATTAATTCAACATCAATTGTTTGAAAAATTTCTCACTTTTGAACCCGATAAAGATCCACCTTTTGTTCCGAAAGAAACTCTATTAGCATGGCAAGAGAAAAATCATCCATGGCTTGAATTATCCGATGTTTATCGTGAAACGACCGAAAATATTCGCATTACAGTCATACCATTCTATATGGGTTGTCGATTATCACAGAATAATAATGTCTATTGGGTATAATCTGATTGTTTTATAGTTTTTTTTTTCGTAACTAATGAATATTTGGCATTTATATTAGTGGCGTTATTGTGTTCGAATCGAAAATCTTGGTGATATAACCGTTCAATTGCGTGAAAGACATTGGCAAATCTATAGTATACCAGGAATATTGGAATCGATTCGTGGCCGTGGCGTTGTAGGTGAAGAACCGGTCCTATCTAAAAAATTTCCAGCATTTCAATATAGTAGCCATGTTAGCCTACAGGATCCAAGTGGCCATATGTGGTATGTTGAAAATTTAGATTTGAATTAAATTAAAAAATATTTGATGTTTTTATTTTCTATTTACGAAAAAGGGGAATCTTTAAAATGGAACGTGAAGATGGTACAATGTTTGATTGTAAAATACCAGCATTTGCATTGGAAAGTAAACATCATCATACGATACATCCAAATCAACATCAAGGAGGCCCCGTTAATTTAAATCAACAAAAAAAGAATCCATCAAATACTTCAGGCCATGATAATAACAATAATCTAACAAATAATGATCCTAAACATACGAATTTATCAACGAATCATCATCAAGATGATGATAAACAAAATTAATTTTTACAACGAAATAACAAATACACGCTCGGTCCCACACACGATGCGTATATGTTAATGGATAGAATATTTCGCAATCAATTTTCGCCAGAATTTTGTTTGTTTGTTCATTCTGATCTAAGCGATGATATATTTTTTTTCTTTTTTCTTATGTACATATAGATTATGATGATTGTAATTTGTTTTGAGAAAGTTAAATTTCAGCAACAACAAAAAAAAATCAAAGGTACGAATAAAATGATTGTTCCATTCTTATATTCTATATTTTTTTTATGGAGCCGAAAAGAGGAAACAGCTATGACATACAACTACCACCATCGAATGACGTCATTCGTAGATATAGATAGTTAGTTCGTTTTTATCTTCCAAACAGTCATTTTATTGATGTCGTTTGTCTTTTTTGCTTCGATTCTCTTTTTTTTCGGACATCATCTATATAATAATAATAATAATAATAATAATGATCCAACAAAGGCCAGATTCTTATATTGTAAATTGAGTTTTTTTTTCTCGATGGATTATGTGGAATGTATTTTGATGGCATTTGTTTTTTTTATTATCAAAATCGAAAAACTTTGGCCTTCATTATCATTGTAGTTGACGTTTAGTTGAGTGTTTAGTTCTTTGTTCGATTTGGAAATTTGTCATTTTTTCAAAAAGCTAATTTTTGCCATTTGATTTTTTAAAAAAAGAATACAATATGTATTCAAAAACAAAATTTATACACATCTTTACATTAGTGTTTGCATTGACAATACAAACCATATGTTCATTTGAATATAAACATCATAATAATGAAGAATTGAATCAATTATTACAAAATATTCATCATAAATGTCCATCAATCACTCGATTATATGAATTGAGTGAAAAAAGTGTTAATGGTTGGCCATTAACTGTAATTGAAATATCAACCAATCCTGGTGAACATGAATTATGTAAGTTATATTTGATTATTTGAAATTAATGTGTTTCATTCTCTGTTTTTTTTTCTGATCTTTATCGAACAGTAAAACCCGAATTCAAATATGTGGCCAATATGCATGGCAATGAAGTTTTAGGTCGTGAACTATTACTTCGTCTTGCTGATTATCTATGCGATGAATATCGAAATAATAATGTTTATGTACAGAATCTAGTCAACAATACACGAATCCATTTATTACCATCATTGAATCCGGATGGTTGGGAATTAGCTACAGCTAATCTTGATCAGAATCATGGAAGTGATTGGCTTTTAGGTCGTTCAAATCTAAATGGTATCGATATTAACCGGGATTTTCCCGATCTGGATATGGTTGCATTTCGTCATGGTACCAAAGATGATTTCTTAAATACATTGATTTATCATAAAATGCAACCAGAAACACGTGCTGCCGTTGTATGGCTATTATCTAATCCGTTTGTATTGTCGGCAAATCTTCATGGTGGCGCTCTTGTTGCTAATTATCCATTTGATGAAACACCGGATGGTAGTATGAATACATATACAGCATCGGCCGATGATACAACATTTCGACATTTAGCACGAACATATGCTACAAATCATAAACGAATGTCACAAATAGGTACAGCATGTGAACAGGATGAAGATTTTGGTAAACAAGGTGGTATTACAAATGGTGCTTCATGGTATTCAGTTGCTGGTGGTATGCAAGATTTTAATTATCTTGCTACGAATACATTCGAAATTACATTAGAACTTGGTTGCGATAAATATCCACCAGAATCAAAACTAGCAAAAGAATGGGAAGATAATAAACAAGCATTATTAGAATTTATTAATCAAGCACATATTGGTGCTAAAGGTTTAGTACGAGATGAGAATGGAATGCCCGTTGATAATGCAATTATTCGTGTGCAGAATATTACCGATGGTGTTAATCAGATTATTAATCATGATATTAGTACAAGTAAGTAATTATTATGATTTAATATTTATTTGATTTTAATGTTATTTTTCCTCATCATAAAAAAAATATAGCCAAAAATGGTGAATATTGGCGTCTTCTAACACCGGGACTATATAAAATAATGGCAGCAAAATTTGGTTATGTACCAGAAGTTAAAACGGTCATGATTGAACCGCGAAATACGACAGCAACACAGGCAACAAATGTTCATTTTGTACTCAGAACTCTTTTTGAATGATGATAGAATTCTGATCATCAATTTAATTTTAATTTTGCTTAAGGCATCACTCATTACAAAAACAAAAAAACAAACTGCAAGATATTCACAAGCAGCTGACGATCAACACATCAACAACACCTACACACAATTAATTGAAGCCCAAACGAAACAAGTAATTTTTTTAAAAACAGAAAATTTTATTACAATTTTAAAAACATATTTTCCGTTATAATTAATTTTTCGTTATTGTTTTTGTTTTTGGAATGGATGGCACATCCAGTGAACACAAGGATATGAATGATAATAAATTATAAATGATTTTATTTGGTGTTTAATTTTTCAGAAAATATGGATGTTTTAAAGCAGCTTTAGCAGGCATTCGTTTCTGTGGATCATAGATTAACATTGCATTGAGTAAATCCAATGCATCTTCATCGATATCGGGCATAACTGTATGTAGAATATTATCTTTCCAGCTTGGAAAATTACACTTATATGCCGGTAATGAAGTGATACCTGGCCATGTTTCTTCCACCGGTGTTCCAAGTGTTCTAAATATGTAAAAACAAATGTTACCAAAATTGCTTGATTAAATGAAAAGAATTACTAACCGAAAAATCCTAAATAGTTGATCAATTTCTGAATCACCATGAAACAATGGTACTTTGGTAAGCATTTCGGCAAAAATACAAGCAACACTCCAAATGTCGACCGGTGTAGAATATTTTTGACTGCCAAGTAGAACTTCAGGAGCACGATACCATAAGGTGACCACTTCATGAGTATATTGTCTAACTGGAATACCAAATGCACGTGCAAGACCAAAATCGGCAATTTTTATGCGACCATTATTGTCCAACAAGAGATTCTGTGGTTTAAGGTCGCGATGAATGATACGACGAGAATGACAAAATATCAAACCTTCAATGATTTGTTCCAAATAGCTCTAAATTCATACAAATCAAAATGATTTTTAATAAAAACCTGACCAGACTTAGTCAAACTTACTTTGACCAATTTTTTATCCATCATTTGTTTGGTAGGTAATGAATCTAAATATTTTTTCAAATCCATCGATAAGAATTCAAATACCAAATGTAGACGATTTTCTTGGAGTAGAACATTTTTTAAACTGCAAATTTTAGAAAAATTTAAATTACAATTTTCCGAAACAAATTGTAAATATAAAACTTACCAAACAATATTTGGATGATTGAGCTCTTTGAGTATGGTCACTTCACGTATGGCTGTTGATGGTACACCATCATCTTCATTTTCTAAACGAATTTTTTTTAATGCAACCAATTCTGATGTCAGCTTATGTTTGGCCTTATAAACAACACCATAGGTACCTTCACCAATTTTTTCAATTCTTTGATAATCTTCCATGGCAAAAATACAGAGATATAAATTTCGATGAAAATATTAATGATTTATTTAAAAAATAAAATTTATAAAAAAACAAATGATTTTTAAAAGAAAAAACTCAGAAATGTCTAATGAGACAATGTGCGCGAAACTACATCAACCGTATTTTTCTTATTGCCAACCCTCTGTGTGTGTGAGGTAAACGGATTCACAGTAACAATGAAAAAAAAACGAACGTTTTAAATCGAACTTTTTCAATTCGATTTAAATACTGGTCATTTGATTGGTTAATTTTAGAACGCATGCGTCATTTTTTAAATACCCAATTCATATGTAGCAGGTTTTTTTCAAAATAATTTTTGTTTATTTATTTTTGTGGATCCCGGGTTTATTTTTTTTGTTTGGATTCTTTTTCCAATAATATCTTTGATAAATTTTTGAAAATGAAATTCTTATTCAAATTAAATCTTTTTATCATTGTAATTTTGGAAAAATTCTTTTTGTATTACTTTGCTATTCCAAATGATCTGCTGTCAATAAAAACTGAACGTTCAATACATTTGGAAATAGCCATTTTATCTGCGCGCGAAAATTTCAAAAAACGTAATGCTATTCGACAAACTTGGTTTCAGAATGTAAAATTTTTAAATCAACAATTTCAATCAAATCAAATTCCAATTCGAATTGATACACATTTCATTCTTGGTTCACAATCATGTCAAATTCATCCATTAAATCGTAAAACATTGTATGAATGTTCCGAATTGATCGAATGTGATTCATTATCAAATAAATCTTGGTTATTTGAATTATCAACTCTAAAATCTCAAAATAATTATCGACCATTCAAAGGTTTTAGTATCAAAATATATCGCCGAATATTGATATATAGAATTGTAATTCGATCATCATTGATTAAAATTTTGAAAACTGTCAATGTACAGATATTGAATGCATTGAACAAGAAAAAATTGTTTGAATTTGTAATCAAACAAAATGAAAATCTCGAAGATCAAAATTTTTATTACGTAAACGTTAACATTTCTTTCGAAGTAGGATCCATATTATTATTTATGATCGATCATAATGTTCCTGAAGCAATATTCGATTCATTATCCACCAACAACGAATGTGCAATGGAAATTTTAAGGGTTTGTAATCAAAATATAAAAACTCTAAATACAAGTTATAATTCAACATTTTTATCCGATACAGTCATATGATAATCATATTAATGATTATGAATCCGAACCATTCAATCCAAATCAACATCGATTTTTATTAAATTTTGAATGGCAACTTGATTCGAACATTGAATCCAACAACAATAGCTATCATCATCTATGGCAACAAAAAATGAACCAACTTAACGTTCAATTATTGAATGAATTCAATACATTTGGTGATATTATATTTGTCGATTTAATCGATGTATATCGAAATTTAGCAGAAAAATTATTGAAATTTTTTCATCATCTATTTCAATTTCAAAAATCAAACATTACACATGTTCTCAAAACTGATGATGATTGTTATTTGAATGTGGTTCAAATTGTTCGAATGATTATGGAAAATTCTGATTCCACATTTACATGGTTTGGAAGGTAAATTTTCGAATTTGTACCATTTGTAATAATAATAATCAAAAAAAAAATTATAGTTTTCGAAAACAATGGCCAATTAATTATTATGGTAAATGGATGGAAAATGTTTGGACCTTACCTTGGTATCCATCGTTTGCATGTGGTTCTGGTTATATCCTCACTAATGATTTAATAAAATGGTTAGCTATAAATCATGATAAACTTTATGCCTATCAAGGTGAAGATGTATCAATGGGTATATGGATGACAGCAATTAATCCGAATAAAATAGAAGTAAATATCTTTATTCTGGAATGTCTGTATAAACAATAATTTTGATTTTAATTTGAAATTTTTTTTTCTTAAAAATATATTTTTAAATAGGATAACAGATGGATATGTGGAACGGAAATTGAAACTAATGTCGATTTGAAACAAGCATTAACCGTACCGCAATTAGATCCTGAAATGATGTTTCAGATTCATCAAATGTTTCTCAATAGTTGATACTTTTCTTAATGGCTTCAAAACATTTCCATTTATCGGGTAAATAAAATGGTTCAAATACATGTGGAAACGGTGTATCATAGCCAGCAACACGTAAAATTGGTGCTTCAAGATGAAGAAAACATTCTTTTTGTAATGTGGCAGCAATTTCGGCACCAAATCCGGCCGTCAATGGTGCTTCATGTGCTACAATAGCACGACCCGTTTTCTTTACCGAATTGATTACCGTTTCACGATCCCATGGCATTATTGTGGCTAAATCAATCAATTCACATGAAGTATTTAGTTGATCACGTGCCATTTCACAAACTTCATGCAACACATGAACTTGTGTTCCCCAACCAATCAATGTAACATCATCACCTTCAACAAGAACTTCAGCTTTAGATAATGGCAACATATAATCTTTGACAGGAACTTGTTCGACGGCTAATCGATAAAGAATTTTCGGTTCAAAAAATATACACGGATTTTGATCACGAATACAACTGAGTAATAAACCTTTTGCTTGTATCGGTCCACGAGGAATGACAATTTTTATACCGGGGCAATGTGCAAAATAAGATTCAACAGATTGAGAATGATACAATGCTCCGTGTCCAACAGCTCCACAAGGTGCACGAATTGTCAGACCACCACAATCAAATTGATTACCCGATCGATAACGAAATTTTGCTGCTTCATTTACGATTTGATCGAAGGCCGGAAATATATAATCAGCAAATTGAATTTCTGCGATAGCCGTAGCACCAGCTGCAGCCAAACCAATACCAAAACCAACGATACCTTGTTCACATAATGGTGTATTGAATATTCGATCTTTACCGAATTTATCTTGTAGATTCACTGTACAACGAAAAACACCACCAAACGATACATCTTCACCGAATATAACGGCTTTTGGATCGGAAACTAATGCAATTTCAAGAGCATTATTGATTGCCTGAAATAGATTCATACGTGTTGTATCGCCATCTGAAACGGCTGCTGTATCAGGTTTGAAAGCAAAATGTGATAATGTTCTTGATGTCTTTGTAATAGTTGTTGAATTATTGATAGATGTAAACAGAATTCGACCTAAAATTGATTTGATCATTTTTTTTCTTCGATGGATTCTAGAATAATTTTCTCATAAATTTGTCTATTTCTTCTTCTTTTTTTTAATCACCGATGATTGCGATGTGAAACATAAATAAAGAAAAATATCTTGATGACCTTCACACATATACAAACACAGACGAAAAAACACCACACATCGAATGATAATATTGGATCATCGTCATACGATCAATGAAATCTGAACACTGAATAACTTGTTTTTCTGTCGTCGTCTTTATTTCTATTTTATCAAATTTTTCTTCATTTAGAAATTATTAGTTAATCAAATTATTCGCTATCAGCATAGATATTATTATCAATGTTGTATAGCTTAGCGCTAAAATGATAAGACATTAAACTTTTGTAATTATCTTTTCTGTTTTAAAAGACGATTCATTAGATCAAAACGATTACCATCCGGTTGTAAACAATGTATCATATCATTATTTAAATCTTGCGCCAACAAATAACCATTATCATTGATACCGATTATACGTGCTTTATATTGCGGCTGTTGTTGTTGTTGATTACCATCATCATTATTATTATTATTATCATAAATATCAACAATATCATCCGAATGTATCCAATTCGAACAATAAAGTTGTTGAATTTCAGCAACTTGACCATTGGTTAACATATGATATAGCCGTTCAAAACAATTCAAAATACGGGCAATCATAGATTCTCGTAAGATTGGTTTCAATTTTTTATTCGAATCCATTTGTTGATCATTGTAATGTTCGATCACTTCATCCAAACATACACTAGGCAATCGGTTCGAAACATTCATACCGATTCCAATCTGTACATTAAGATGATATTCAAAGGAAAATGATCGAACCAAAATACCGCACAATTTTGATCCAGATGGCATAAATAATATATCGTTTGGCCATTTAATTTTTACGTTCAATTCATCACTTGGTAATGCCATAATAACCGATAATGATGCAATATGCTGAATCAACGTTATTTTTGACAGTAATCCACTTGTATATGGTACATGTAGATTTATTGTAAACATTGCACAACCAAATGGTGATAGCCATTGATTATCACTACGACCAAGACCAGTAGTTTGATAATTTGCAATTGCAACAATCCCATCAATTTTTGAAACATTATTTGCCATTTTCATTGTAGATTCGGTTACATTTTGAAACAATAATGATCGTCCAATAGATTCGGTGCGAAGATTATCAAAATAATTTTGAATATTGAAATTTACAATTTCTGTTGATTGTTGTCGACAAAGTTGATCTATTCGATTATTATCCAAATAATAGACTATATCATCATTCGCCGATGGTGAATCAGAACGAAATTGTTCACAACCAGGAAATTCTTTAAGCTTTAATGAACAAACACGTGGCCAAATATGAAAAATATTATTTCGTGAATCAAGCAAAAACATTTCATTGCTATTATCCATAATAATTGTAGGAGATTTCATTTCTGTTTCCGCAATCGGTGACGGTGGAATAAGGGTGAGTATTTTTTCAACAAAATAATCATGATTAAAATTTTTCATTGAATTCGATGATTGCAACAAATCTTCATAATTGAGTATTAATTTGTCTAAATTAATTGTCTTTATCCATGTTGATAAATCGCTTTCATTGCCCAAATTATTATTTGTTATGATCAATAAAGCTTTTGCCGAAAGTAAACGAGTATTCGTTCGAAGATCAGATTCATTTACACCATAAACAACAAAACGATTCAATCCATACAGATTATTAATAGATTTTTGAATAGAATCAATAATAAATGATATGTAATCGGATGTTTTTGAATTTGATTTTCGAAAATGTACTAGAATATTGATCAATGCTTTTTTCTTGATGAAAGACATATTTTTTGCAAATAAAATTATCATAAATAGTTGACGTTTGTTGTTGGGTTATGAGCCAAAAAAAAAATTTAGTTCATCAAATGAAATCGATGCTCATTCAATCGTAACATCCGTAGATAGAGCGACCAATCATTTATATTAATTTAGAGGTGAAAAGAGTCAGTGAATATTTTTAAAAATGTAAACAAATAACCTATTTGGTTGATTAGGATTTTTTTTTCATTTCTTTTTCAATTCAAATAAATATTTTTTTCCTCTTATCATTGATATTATCGATGTATAATTTTTTAAGAGTATAATGTTGCGAGAGAAAAATAAGAGTCCACGATTGTGGCATGTGATGACACTTGATGCTAATCACTAATGCCATCTGTTGATTTGAACAGTTTGAATTTTCAAGATTTGTCCGTTCTTTTTGTCTGTACATGTTCAACAATCGAACGTTTCCAATCGAAATTTTTCGAACGTATATCTTGAAGAATACGAATCTTTTGCTGTAATGAAAGACGTTTTGATCCGTATTGCCAAATAACAAAACGATCGATTGGTACACCCATACGGCGAATTTTCATTTTTTTCAATGATGGTGTAAGAAAATCCTGATTCATTAAACGTTCTGGTATGGCAGGCAATACATATGACCAATTTGGATTATATTCTAATGCTGTTTTTGTTTCGAATGATGTAAAACAGACAATTTGTTGAGGATCAGAAACAAATGACATTAATTTTTGTTCAGTATGTTCAACTGATTCACTTATATCTGGAAATGATTGTTGTAATGATTTCCATAAATAATGATCATAATCGATACCACAGAGAATAATTTTAAATGGATCATTCATTTGTTTAAGATTAAAGTGAATTAAATGTGACAGATCATTAGCTACTTGTACACATAAGTGTCTTGATAAATAGGATGAATAACTAAAATCAATGAATAGATTTTGTCCAAACCAATGAGCATGACGAAATTTTTCTAATGATAAACGTCGAAATTTAGGATTGATTCTTGTGAACAATGAATTATGCCATAATCCATAGATTAAATTTCCATTAGAATCAAACAAACCAGATCGATCTGGAATTTTAACATCTTCAATGGATTGTTTTTGTTCGATTTTTATTATCGATTGTTGTTTCAATTCTTTTTTCAATAGCCGTTGTAATTCTTTACGATGTAATTTGCGTATCTGTCGACGAATATCACTTAATGCCGTTAATGGAAGTAGATTTTTAACATCGTCAACAGTCAATGTACTTGGTACTGGTTGTAGATCATATTTCAAAAGTAGTATTTACAACTAATAAAAAAGTTAAAAGTAAGCTAAATAAAGTAATACGTCATTTTGTTGAAATAATTGAACAAAATCTTCCAGACATACATTAACGAATGGTTTTTCATTATCAATTTTTTCACTTATTTTTTGTAAAAATTTTGGATCATATTTATGTTTTTTAGTGGCGAAAAATCTTCGAACAACAACAGTTCCATGACGCCAAAACATTGTTCTTTGGAACATGTTTATTACGCTGTAAAACGGTGTACACAAAGAATTATTCCAAAAGTATCGATTTTATCGATACTCTCGTATCATTTCGATTCTTCAAATAATTTAAAATTTTTTTTTGCTCATTTTTCCATGGAGATTAAGTTATTGATTATCTTTTTTCTGATAAGATTTTTTTTCATTTTCGTTAATGATTGTACAAAAATGAGGATTATAATATTGAAATTTCCAACCAAAATTTCATTAAATTTTGATTTCAATTTCAACAAAACATTGCAACATTAACTTTGTAAGATGGAACAATATAATTCTTCAAGTTTACAACTTTGGAAAAAAGATCTTTATCGAATTAATGATTCGGATCTAGTAAAATCGATTGGTTATCTTACAAAANCGATGTAATTTGCGTATCTGTCGACGAATATCACTTAATGCCGTTAATGGAAGTAGATTTTCAACATCGTCAACAGTCAATGTACTTGGTACTGGTTGTAGATCATATTTCATTTCATCATAAATGTTGATTATTTTTTCAATTTTCATTCGATTTATTTCATTATGATCATTTTGCTGAAATAATTGAACAAAATCTTCCAGACAAACATTAACGAATGGTTTTTCATTATCAATTTTTTCACTTAATTTTTGTAAAAATTTTGGATCATATTTATGTTTTTTACTGGCGAAAAATCTTCGAACAACAACTGTTCCATGACGCCAAAACATTGTTCTTTGGAACATGTTTATTACGCTGTTTTATGAAACGGTGTACACAAAGAATTATTCTAAAAGTATCGATTTTATCGATACTCGCGTATCATTTTGATTCTTCAAATAATTCAAAGTTTTTTTTTGCTCATTTTCCATGGAGATTAATTTATTGATTATCTTTTTTCTGATAAGATTTTTTTCTTTTTCGTTAATAATTGTACAAAAATGAGGATTATAATATTGAAATTTCCAACCAAAATTTCATCAAATTTTGATTTCAATTTCAACAAAACATTGCAACATTAACCTTCAAGATGGAACAATATAATTCTTCCAGTTTACAACTTTGGAAAAAAGATCTTTATCGAATTAATGATTCGGATCTAGTAAAATCTATTGGTTATCTTACAAAAACTACAAATCATTATATAATGGTTACTCATGATCGTTGTACAACATATATGCTTTGTCATATCCGTTATCGTAGTCTAACACCAGACGGTAGGCCAAAATATGTTCAGGAACAACCGATAAAAGTCGATGAATTGAATGGTAAACATATACAACAAATCGATCATGGTTATGATTTTATCATGGTTTTAGTTGATGATGGTATTGTGTATCAATTTGGTGATGAATATTCTGAATGGACACCTTTAAAACAATTCAAATGTATTTCGAATGTTGATCGATTTAAAACTATTAAATGTGGCCGTGATCATTGCCTATTTTTACGTAATGATGGTAAATTATTTGCAATGGGTACCAATCGTTCCGGACAAATTACAGGTAGTGAAGAATCATACAAACGTATGATTGATACAGGATTGGAGAATGTTTCCGATTGTTTTTGCGGTGGTAATCATTCATTCGCTGTTACCAAAGATGGCAACATATTTGCATGGGGCGATAACGAAAGTGGACAACTTGGCCTTGGTGATACAAGAAATAGACATCAGCCAACATTGGTAAAGTTTCCGGATTCAATTCAAAATGTTCGGCTAAAAGATATCGGTTGTGGTCAAGATCATACATTGTTTCTATTTGAAAATGGTCATCTATATGGTTGTGGTTCAAACAAAGACGGTGAACTTGGTCTAAAACGAATCAAACATGAATCTCAAATTCATACATTTCCAACATTGATTCCAATTCCAACTCCCGTGTCCGTTATTGCTTGCCTTAATTCTGAACGATTTTCATTAGCAGCAAATAATGATAATCATTATTATGCATGGGGTGAATTGGATAGAGAACGAATATTTCGACCAAGAAAATTGAATAAATCTATACAATCATTTGCCGATGTAACGGCATTATACTTTAAAGATTATCCATTTACATTTGGTATGACAAAGATTCTATAATTTATTTTTGGATACAATATATTCTTGAATAAAACAAAACAATTTTTAGAAAAAAAAGTTGTTCGAATGAATTGTTTTCAAATAAAGTATTTTGTCTTAAAAAAGTTTTTGATCGATTGTTTCTCGTTCTTCCCACAATGTTTTTCCGCTACAAGCACAAACTTTTTTAGTATTATTCAATATTTTTGAAGCACGTGCAATAACACTTGCAGCAATAATATCACCATTATCATTTTTTCTTACAGCTAAACTTTGACCAATTTTTGCTGATATATCTAAATTGTCAATTTTTTTCTTTACCGACAATTTACCATCGATCGATTGAATATTTGTAGCAATGTTGAAAATTTCGGAACCGATTGATTTTAGATCAGAATCACTTAAATCACCATATTCATGTATACCAACATTGTATGATGATGAATCAGTGAATCCATCGATAACCGCATCAAAAAGACATTGTTTTTGTTCATTTTGAATAAAACGAGCAACACCAAAAACACCGGGATAATGATCAGATCCTCGTAATTCACCAACTGCAGCTATAAAATTACCCGTACCACGAATAATTGTATTCAATTGTAATTTATTTTCCAATAGATTTTGTATTTCAAATGCACTTGGACTCGATTCATTCAAACGTAACACTAAACGTTGATTAGCTACATTAATTTCATCGATATGAACCGAAGGTAAATTCTTTAATTCTTCAATAATTTTAATTCGACATGCATCACATTTCATTAGAACGGCAAATTCAACCTTCATGAAATTGTAAAAATTTCAATTAATAAACAATAAAATTAATTGATCAACAATTATTCTAATTACTTGAAAACTAAAATCATTTGTAGCTGTCATTGTAAATTGTTTGTCAGAATTTTCTGAGAATAAAAATTTAAAAAAAAAAATTCGTGATAAATAAAAATGCGCATTCGAAAACAGCCGATTCTGCAGAATAAACCGTTCATCGGATACGTATCACAATGATATTATTCTTTTGATTTTGATTCGAAAAAATGTTGTTTCGAATGAAACATTGAAAAATTATGTTTCGTCGATTGACATTTCGTCTGATATTCATTATAATTATCTGTATAGTTTTTTTACAATCATTATTAATTTTATTATCCACATTTTTATTTAATTATAATCCATCTGTTTTGGATCATCATTCGATTATCAACAAGGATCATAATGAATGTGTAATTGATGATAAACAAGCAATTAGTGCATTAAATCGTATACAAACCTTAAATTGTCGCCGAAAATTAATCGATACTTTTTGTAATATAAAATTTCAATCATTATGGCCATCAAGATTACAAAATGAATGTCCGGAAAATTATGATGGAAACAAATTACTTACCTGTTTGGAATTTCGATCCGAATTTCTTGATCATTTTGTCGATAAAAAATCTAATAAAATTTTACGTATAGATCCTGAACAACAATTCAATCATAATGATTGTACGGATCTTTGTATGCAAATTGATTTTACATTTGCATTATTCATATCGAATCAATATTGTATTTGCACTCATAATTATGATTCAATTATTGATCGAACAAATTCTTTAACTAATCATACAGAATGTGATTTACAACGTGCCATACATTCCAAATATTCATCCAATTTTTTATTTATCATTTCAACTGGTGTAAAAAGTATGTTTTTTTCGGAAAAAAATCCATATTGTATTTCATAAAATTTTTTACAAAATTAGAAATCATTCGCAAATTACCACCCTTAATCACAACGGATAATTATGGACAAAATTTTACTCGACCAAAAATAGTCTTTCTTTTATTGCTTAGTGGTCGTTCAACACTTCAAGTAAATAGATTGATGTTAAACATTTTTAATTATCATCATTACTACCTCATTCATGTTGATGCTGTATGTCAATTTTGTTTTGTTTTTTTTTAAATTGATTCGATTGTTTATGATTTAATTTTTTTTTAATAGCATGATAACTACCTCTTTGCTGAACTTGAATATTTACAACGAAAATATCCTGCCAATATACGATTAACGCAACAAAGATTTAATACAATTTGGGGTGGTTCCAGTCTTTTGACAGCGATTTTATTCTGTATTCATGAAGCATTAAACAAATGGAATGATTGGAATTTCATATTGAATCTAAGTGAATCTAGTTTTCCAATCAAGTATGAATGCAAAACAAAAAGATGATTTCTTCATTATATTAACAATGATGTTTAAAATATTTCTATTTCATTAGGAAAATCGAACAATTAGAACAATATCTGGCCAAAAATTATGAACGAAATTTTATCAAATCACATGGAAAAAATACATTCGATTTCATTCAAACACAAGCATTAAACAAAGTATTTGTACAATGTGAACGACGTATGTGGCGTCTAACCGATCGATCATTGATCAAAGGTATTGTTTGGGATGGTGGTAGTGATTGGATGATATTGAGCCGATCTTTCAGTAATTATGTAACCGAAAAATTGAATGATGAATCTAGTCTTGTATATGGTTTACGTAGTTATTTTGAATATTCTCTACTACCAGCCGAGGTATAGAATTAGTTTGTTCTTTTTTAAAATATGTCGATTTCATATCTTTATATTTTTTCAAGAGTTTTTTCCATATAGTTTTACGAAATACAGCCTATTGTACGACGATAATTGCCAATAATTTATTGGCAACTAATTGGAATCGTAAACGTGGTTGTAAATGTCAACAGAAAAAAATTGTCGATTGGTGTGGATGTTCACCAAATGTTTTTCGACTTTATGGTTCAACAAATAGTCGTGGTGATATTTCACGATTAATGGCAACCGAAACACGACCATTATTTTTTGGTCGAAAATTTTCTCCATTAATCGATAAACAGATAATTGATTTTGTTGAGCTAAGATTTTTGGGTCAAAATAATAATTTGGATAAAAATCATGGTTTTTATCTTGAAAATATTTATCATTCTAGATTTGATTCGTTGAGTTATTTGCCTTTGTTTCGGCGAAAATTTTTCACATTTTTTGCTCGTCAACTTCTAACATCTTTATGTTCGGATACTTACAGTAATCAAACTGAAATTGAAATAATCGAAACAGATCTTTTGTTTCATAATTCGAATGATTTCTATGGTACAGTCATTCGATTTCAAGAATCTATTCACCGATTCCAAATCGATATTTTATTGCGAACGTTTTCCAATCAAACCATTCTTTTTGATTCATCATCTGGACCGAAATTAAAATCCATAAAGGTATTTTGATTGAATTTTTTTTTCTCTAAGCCAATAATCATGAAAATTTCCTCATTTTTTTCTCTTTAAAATAAAGATTTGCAATTCATTCGATGAAAAAGATGAATATTTTCATAATTTTGATTGTCTACTGGATCAAACAAATCGATTAGAAATTTGGCATGAATGGCAAACATTTTTTGGTGTTTATCATATTTGTTTTGTTTTTATTGATCCATTCAATCGTATTGCAAATAAAAATCAAATCATATTGAACAATACAAAAATTATTGATAATGAACGAATCGGTTTATTATATAGACATGATTATCCTCTTATGAATGGATTATGGAAATTGATTATTTTGGATGAATCTACCGATGCGATCCTGGGTATTACACAATTTTTTATTCTTTCGGATGATGATCATCATATAAACGATATGATAATACAATCAAATTATTCATATGATCAATCGATTACATCCATAATGATTAAATATCCAGAATTTTTTCCCAACAATAGTTATCATCTATCAACAATCAACAAAATTTGGTACATTAATCAACATTGTTTTCATCTATCTAATAATGATAATCAACATTTATGTAAAAATTTTCAAATCTATCATCATAATTACTGTGATCAAATTGATTGGAATATTGACAAACTAAAAGCCCTTTATTCATTTTAAAGTTATGAAATATTTTTTTTCCTATTCAAAAAAAAAATTATTGGGAAAATTTCGCATGCAATCAAAAATACGTAATGATCATTGAAATCGTAATCACAGAAAAAAATGCACCGACAAAAATTTAAAATTCAGTGAAATAATATTGTTTTTGATGTTTTATTCGAAAGAAATTGTAAAAGGTCAAACTATATAGCAAATTTTTTGTTTGATTTTATGGCAATAGATTCTTGTATTTCGGTATTTGAAATCCTGATTTTTTTCCCGTGCCCCCATACATTTCATTTCCGTGATGTGAAAATAAAACAAAAAAAAAATTGAAAAAAACCATCTGGGATTTAATTCAATTTGTTTTCCAATCATTTCTACTCTTTCGATGAATTAATTCGGGATTTGAATTTTATTGTCCAGATTTTTTTTTCTTTTCTTTTGTTTTCATTCCGAATAAATTTTTGCTTTTCAAAAAAAAAAATTTATTTCAATAGAAGCACCAGTATGATGACCATTGACCAAAAACAAATTTCCAATTTTTTTTTTTGATAAAATTTGCCGATCAGGTGATTTTATTCAAATTTGTCGTCTGCGTACGAAATTATTATTTTTTTCAAAAAAAAATCGACGTCAATTATCAATAAAATGTACGACAACAAAAAAAAATAAAACATTCGACAGTAGCCATCGTATGACAAAATAGAATCATTTTTTTTTTGCCTGGCGCGCGAAAAAAATAACAGAAATATATACAAAAAAAAGTAAAATTTCCTAATTCACGTGCAATGTTGATCGATCATTCGATCTATATTTATAATTTTTTTATCTTTTAATATTAATCGAATCCAAAATCAATCATTTCAGATAATCAATCAAATCAAATCAATAAAATATTTGATGAAAACATCAAAGGGAAAAAAATTTCATTTTTCGAATGATTTATAAATCATCATACGAATCTCGGACTATAAGTCCACAGTAAAAAAGAAAAACATTCGAATTAGAAAGGATCATCGAATTGTCATGTCGATGATGATGTTTGATGATGATGATGACGATGATCAATAAATGTGAATTGAATGAGAATCGTATGATTTTTTTTTCTTCCTTTTCATTATTATTATTAAACATGTCAGTTACGTTTAGGATGATGATGATGATGAAAATGATGCCAGGAAGCATCATGCGTCGATTAAATGTAATGAATACCGTTGTTTTATATATAATCAATTGATTTTGATCGTATTCTGATTCTAATCACACACATTATTTGTTATTTTTTTTCAAAACAAAATCTCTTTACATATATAAATCGATGATGTTCAAACAAATTAGATTATTTGAATTATGTCAGTTACCGTGATCAATTTAATTGTTTGAAATTTTTCGTTTTGTTTTGTTTTTCATTTCTATTAATTTTATTGATTTCATCAGTAAATTTTTTTCATCTGTCAATTTCAAAGTGATTCATCTCAATTCAATCAAATCAAATCAAATTCAATAAAATAATTCTTTCATTCTCATTTTGTTTTCCAGGTATTTAATCCGTTAATTGTTTTTTCTTGTTTTATTTTTTTCAAGTTGAAAATCAATAAATCATTTTTTTGTCAGGTCTAATGATTTTGAATGAAATATGATTTTTTTTCTTCTTCTAAAAGTATAATTTCAGTCACATTTTTTTCCTTTTGTTTTTTTTATCGTTGAAAAAAAAATTACGTAATACAAAAAGAAAAAATAATTAACTTCAAAGTAATCATAATATAATCAATAAAATGACACCCGATATACACCGATAGTGTTCAATAATAATAATAATCGGTAGCAGTAGAAAATTATTGTTGTTGTCGTAATAATTATCCGACCAAAAAGAAAAACGTTGACACAAATTCTTTCAAAATTTTTCATTTTTTTTTGCTTGCTGATATTTGATGTCAAGATGATTGAAATTGACAAAAAAAAAAAAAAAAAATTCACGCATCAATGCGATATGATCTTAATTATGTTTTTACTTATAATCAATGATAATGATAAGGTGATAATAATAATGACACTGCATCAGTTTTGACAATAATTATAATCATTCGGGTAAATAGAAAAGAGCCATAAGCCATAAGATCCAATTCTCTTCTCTTTACACGATCCAATGATACTAGTTTTTTCTTGGCTTTCCTTGTTTCATTGACACTGTGTGTTTTTTTCAGAGATTCAGCAAAAACGAAAAAAAATCTTATTTTCATTCTCCCCATTTTTTTTCTTCTATTCGAACCGTTGTCGAAATCATATCGATTGTTTTGATAATAAAAAATTTTTTTTTCTGTCTAATCTTTCATTCATTTGTTTTTTTTTGCTGGTGGTTTTTAGATTTGATTGATTCACAATACACACACACACAAACTGACTTATGATGGGTAAAAATTATATTGATGATGATATTGTTATATCCGGTATATCCGGTCGTTTTCCTGAATCGGATAATATTGATGAACTTAAAGAAAATCTTTATAATCATGTCGATATGGTTACCGAAGATGATCGTCGTTGGCCTGTTGGTGAGTTATATTTTTAAAAAAATGAAATTAAATGAATTTTACCATTTATCAAATTAATTCATTCAATCTAATCTCAATTCGTTAGGATTTTATGGTCTACCTGGTCGAAATGGAAAACTTAAAGATTTAAGTAAATTAGATGCTCAATTTTTTGGTATTCATGGTAAACAGGCACGTAATATGGATCCACAAGCAAGAATATTATTGGAATTAACATATGAAGCAATTGTTGATGCTGGTGTTAATCCACAAACATTACGTGGAACACGTACCGGTGTTTTTATTGGTTCATCAACATCCGAAGTTGAAGAAGCACTTGTTGAAGATATTGAACGTGCAAACGGTTATGCACTTACCGGTTGTTCACGATCAATGTTTTCGAATCGTATTTCATTTACATTCGATTTTCAAGGACCTAGCTATACTATGGATACGGCTTGTTCATCCAGTTTTATGGCATTACAACAGGCTATATTGGCTTTAAAAACAAATGAATGTGATCAAGCAATTGTTGGTGGTACTAATCTTTGTATTCGACCAGTAACATCGGTACAATTTCATAAATTAAATATGCTTTCACCTGAAGGTAAATGTCAACATCTTGATAATTCGGCCAATGGTTATGTACGATCAGAAAGTTGTTCGGCAATATTTTTACAACGAAAAATGGTCGCAAAACGTGTTTATGCTACGGTTGTACATGTTCGAACAAATACCGATGGTAATAAACCTGAAGGTATTACTTATCCATCATGGCATTCACAAATGACATTGATGCGTGAAACAGTCGAAGAATCAGGCATTGATCCAGCTGAAGTTCGATATGTTGAAGCACATGGAACCGGTACACCTGTTGGTGATCCAGTCGAAACCAAAGCTATTGCTCAAGTATTCTGTCCTGAACATCGCAAAGAACCATTATTGATTGGATCAGTTAAAACAAATCTTGGACATGCTGAACCAGCATCAGGACTTAATTCGTTGGCTAAAGTTTTGCTTACATTTCAGAATAAAATGATACCAGCAAATTTACATTTCAAATCACCTAATACGAACATTCCCGAATTGATCGAAGGTCGAATTAAACCGGTTACAGAAAATACTCCATTCGAAGATGGTATTGTTGCAGTTAATTCATTTGGTTTTGGTGGTGTAAATATTCATGTTCTATTGAAACCAAATGTTAAAGAATTGGATCCGATAAATTCTTCTATTGTAACCGAAATTCCAAGATTAATTCTCGCATCAGGCCGTACTGAAGATAGTGTTAATCATATTTTTGATTTTATTGAAAAAAATCCGGACAAAGTAAATGCAGAATTTTTAGCCCTACTTAACGATGTAGCAATGACAGAAGAAAATTCTGGTATGAATTCTCGTGGTTTTATGATTGCCGATAAACATCCGGATGGTGAAACAACATTTCCAAAAGAAATTAACCGAGTTCCGGAAAAACGACCCATTTGGTTTGTATATTCCGGTATGGGTAGTCAATGGACATCGATGGCACAAGGTCTTATGGCAATCGATATTTTTCGACAATCAATTGAAAAATCGGCTAATATTTTGAAAAAATTCGATATTGATCTGATGAATATATTAATGAGCAAAGATGAAAAAGTTCTTGACACAATTGTAGCACCATTCATTTCAATTGCAGCCGTACAAATTGCATTGACCGATTTGCTTCGTGCATTGAAAATCGAACCAGACGGTATTGTTGGTCATTCAGTTGGTGAACTTGGATGTGGATATGCTGATGGAACTTTTACTCATGAACAGATGCTTCTATCTGCTTATTGGCGTGGCCGTTGTGTAGAGATGGTCAATTTACCAAAAGGTCTGATGGCAGCCGTTGGTCTTACCTGGAATGAGGCAAAAGCTCGATGTCCATCAGGAGTAGTGCCTGCATGTCACAATTCACAAGATTCAGTGACCATTTCCGGTGACTATGATACTACCAAAAAATTTGTTGAACAATTGAAAAGTGAAAATATTTTTGCCCGTGAAGTGAAAAGTTGTAATATTGCATTCCATTGTCATTTTATGGAAAAAATTGCACCATCATTATTGAAAAAACTTGAAGAAATTATACCGGATCCTAAACTTCGATCATCACGTTGGCTTAGTTCATCTTTTTCGGAAGATCTTTGGAATGAAGAAAAAGCCAAATATTCATCGGCATCATATTTTGTACATAATCTTCAATCACCGGTTTTGTTTCATGAAGTTGTGCAGAAAATACCAAACAATGCTATTGTTATTGAAATTGCTCCACATTCATTGTTGCAACCAATTATCAAACGAACATTAGGTCCTGAAATTGCTTATCTTGGACTAATGAAACGTAACAATAATGATCAACAACAATCACTATTTCTAAATGCATTGGGTAAACTATATAATCTAGGATTTAATCCAAATATTTCCGTATTGTATCCAAAAATTGAATATCCAGTATCAAGAAATATTCAATCAATAAGTTCTTTAATCAAATGGGATCATTCACAATCATGGCTTGTATTATTGTATCCGGATTATTTTAATCCAAGTAATAAATCTGATCATTCGGTTAAAATAGATTTGAAAGAAAATTCTGAAAAATTCTATGCTGATCATTGTATTGATGGACGAATATTGTTTCCAGCAACTGGTTATCTTTATATTGCCTGGCAAATGTTAGCCAAACTTAAGGGACAAGTTTGTGAACAAACACCAGTTGTATTCGAAAATGTATCATTACATCGTGCAACTATTTTGCATGAAGAAACACCAGTTAAATTTGAAATACATCTTATGGAAAGTAATGGTGAATTTACAATTTGTGAAAATAATATGATTGTTGTTTCAGGCAAAATTCAACTTCCCGAAGGAAGTCCTGTAAAATTACAGGAAATATTAGATGAAAAACCAAAAGTTCAAACAATTCGATTGGCGGGCAAAGAAGTGTATAAAGAACTTCGATTACGTGGCTATGATTATGGACATAATTTTCAAGGAATTATTGATGCTGATTCTAATGAAGGTCGACTTAAATTTTCCAATTGGGTTGTATTGGCTGACAATATGTTACAGCTAGGAATATTGAGCAAAAATAATCGTGGCTTATATCTACCGGTTCGATTTCAATCCGTTCGATGTGATCCAAAAATACTTTATGAAGCTGTGGAAAAATCTGATGGTGTATTATCGGTAATTCATGATCATCGAATCAATTCGATCATTGCTCCTGGTCTTGAAATTCAAGGATTAAAAGTAAATTTAGCACCTCGACGAATAAACAGTCAGATTCCAACGTTGGAAAAATGTCATTTTACTGCCTACAATCAATCAGGTGTTCTTGATCAACAAATTCATTCGAAATTGAATGAATACAATAATGTATTGGCTTATGTAACGAATCAATTAATTGATAAATTGAAAATATCATCGATTACAAAATCATCAGTAAAAATTGATGAATCATTACTTAAAAATTATTTGGAATCTTCGGATAAATATCCAATTTTATCCACACTTCAACAATTATCAATGGGTCAGAAACTTGAAGATATCATTGATCAGATTGATTTTACATCTGATCCATTATGGATGGCTCATGAATCCTATATCAATGTACCGATTCATGTGATTATTGAAAATCATATGACAGCTCGATTAAATATAGCCGAAGTAAATCCAACAAAACGACCTTTAATTTCACTTGTTAAAAAATCGATCGAATCATCTGGTTATCCAATCAATGTTGATTATACTATTCTAACAACTGATCATCAAGATTTGGCTGAAGAAATCGAACAAGTTACATGGAATCCAAAAGAACGTTTATCAATCGCATCAGATTCGACTGATTTGATTATCTACAAAGATAGTCATTTACAATCATTATTCAATAATCAATCAATCGATTATTCAACAATGATCGAATCAATGTATCAATCAATCAAAGATGGTGGTTTTCTTATGGCCATTTTCCGTTCTAAACCAACACCGGCTGAAAATTTACTATTAACAATGAAAAAACTCAACACCTTAAATACCGATCATATTGATCAATTCAAATTGAAAGCCGAAAAATTTGGTTTTGAATTGATTTCTGAACGATCAGATGAAATGACAAGCAATGTATTGTTATGGCGAAAAATCGATCATCCAATTCCGGTAAATGGACAGGCTATAATCAATGTATCTGCATTTGATTATGACAAATGGGTTGAAGAATTGAAAACTAAAATGGTTGAATATCAAAAACGAAATATCGGTGAAAATATCTGGCTAATTGCTAATGATAATCCATCGAATGGTGTAGTCGGTCTTGTTAAATGTCTTCGACAAGAACCTGGCGGTGATCGTATTCGTTGCATTTTAGGTACTGATATTAAAGGCTCTGAACTTCCTTCATTTTCATCATTCGATCAAGCATTCTATTCGAAAATATTGAAAAAAGATTTAGTTATGAATGTATATCGTCAAAAACAATTTGGATCATTTCGACATTATGAATTGGATGATGTCACTACAAAAATGACTACCGAACATGCCTATCTAAATGTTGCTGTTCGCGGTGATCTATCCAGCCTTAATTGGTATGAATCTCAACATAAATTTTGGCGACAATTGCCCGAAACATTACAAAAATCAAAGGGCGATCTATACACCGTATATTATGCACCATTAAATTTCCGTGATGTAATGTTGGCAACAGGAAAACTACCACCAGATGCTTTACCTGGTGATCTTGCCCTACAAGATTGTATACTTGGTCTAGAATTTGCTGGTCGTGATCAACAAGGTAAACGTGTTATGGGTATGGTACCAGCAAAAGGTTTAGCTACATCAGTGTTAATACAAGATCAAGATTTTGTTTGGCCAATTCCGGATAATTGGACTATGGAACAAGCATCAACTGTACCGGTCGTTTATAGTACTGCTTTTTATGCATTGATTGTACGGGGTGAATTGGAACCTGGAGAAATTGTTCTGATTCATTCGGGTAGTGGTGGTGTTGGTCAAGCTGCAATAGCTATTTGTCTTAGTATGGGTTGTACAGTTTTTACAACTGTTGGTTCGAACGAAAAACGTGAATATTTGAAACAAAGATTTCCACAATTAACTGATCGAAATATAGCCAATTCGAGAGATACATCATTCGAACAGCACATTCTTCGTCAAACAAATGGTTACGGTGTAGATTTGGTTTTGAATTCATTGGCCGAAGAAAAACTTGAAGCAAGTGTTCGATGTGTTGCACAACATGGCCGTTTCTTGGAGATTGGTAAATATGATCTTTCACAAAATAATCCATTGGGTATGGCTGCATTTTTGAAAAATATTGCTTTTCATGGAATTCTATTGGATGCTTTAATGGATCGTGATAGTCCATCACCATTGGTTGAAGCACATAGAAAAATGGTATCGAAATTAGTTCATGATGGAATAGCTACCGGTGTTGTTCAACCACTGAAATCAAATTCATTTGAAATGGATAAAACAGAACAGGCATTCCGTTTTATGGCTACTGGTAAACATATTGGAAAAGTTGTCATCAAAATTCGACAGGAAGAAAATTCGAAAACAATTCGTCCGACTGTACAACCAGTAATGGCTATTGCTCGTACAGTACTTCATGAAACAAAAAGTTATATCATTACTGGTGGTCTTGGTGGTTTTGGTTTGGAATTAGCTCGTTGGCTAATTGAACGTGGTGCACGAAAGTTAGTACTTGTTTCAAGAAATGGTGTTCAACAACAATATCAACATTATTGTCTTGAACAATTTGAATTATCTGGCGTTCGTGTTCATATTTCACAAGCAAACATTCTAACCGTTGATGGTGTAAATCAATTGTTTAAGGAAGCATCATCAATGGCTCCTGTTGGTGGTGTTTTTCATTTGGCAATGGTTCTCAGTGATGGTTTCATCGAAAATCAAACTGCCGAATCATTTGAAAAAGTTTGTGCGGCTAAAGTTCGTGGTACACAAAATTTGGATGTTATCAGTCGAAAAGTATGTCCAGATTTGGATTATTTTGTTACCTTTTCATCGATCAGTTGTGGTCGTGGTAATGCTGGTCAATCTAATTATGGTTTTGCTAATTCATCAATGGAACGTGTTTGTGAACTTCGTCGTGCTGCTGGACTTCATGGTCTTGCTATTCAATGGGGTGCAATCGGTGATGTAGGTGTTGTTTCCGAACAAATGGGTGGTAATAATGTTGTAATTGGTGGTACGATGCCACAACGTATACCATCATGTTTGGCAGTTTTGGATCGTTTCTTACAAATGAACGATGCTGTCTATTGTTCACATGTTCGTGCAAAACGTAACAATGAAAAATCTGCTTCATCATCTGCTGGAAGTGGACAAGATTTGTTGAAAACGATTTCAAATATTCTTGGCATTAAACAGATGGATAATCTTGCACCGAATACATCGTTAGCCGAATTAGGTATGGATTCATTAATGGCTGTTGAAGTGAAACAATTTCTCGAAAGAAATTATGAAGTAATACTTTCGGTTCAAGAATTACGATCATTAACTGTAAAAAATCTAATGGAAATTGGTGGTCTAAATCAAGCAACCGATTCGCAAGCCAAAAATTCCAAAAATACAACATCCTCAACAGCTATGACATTATCGATACCTGTTTTGAAATTACCCACGGAAAAATATATAAAATTAAACAATAATGGTAAAGGTCTACCGATTTTCTTTTTACCACCTATTGAAGGAAATTTCGAATTGCTCAAACAATTGGCTCAAAAATGTTCGAATCCAGTATTTGGCCTAAATTGGACTGCTGAACTTCGTAATTTTCATTCAATTGAACAAGCAAGTAATTATTTTGTTCGATTGACAACGGAAATAGTTGATGATGGATCGACCATCAATATTGTTGGTTATTCATTCGGAACAATCATTGCATTCGATATGGCGCTCCAATTGCAATCAAATCAAACAAATGTATCGTTGATCTTGTTGGATGGATCACCAATTAATATGGGTTCATTTATACATTTATATCGTGAACGAATTTATAATGTTAATAATGATGAACATTCGAAAGAAACAGAATCATTGATTTTCTTTCTTAGTCAACTAACTCGTATTGATTTGGATCAACTACGACAACAGCTAATAGCTATGAAAGATAAACAACAACAATTACGTAAAGTTGCAGAAATTCTTGTTGAAAAAGGTTTGATTCAATCGGCGGATATATCCGATACAATGGTAGCAATTGAAACTTTTACCTTAAAATTAATGATGTTGGCAGAATATAAACCGGAACAAAAATTCGTTGGCAACATTACGTTGATACGCGCTGAAGAATCACTAGTTAAAAGTGGTGAACAAGATGAAGATTATGGTTGTTCAAAGGTAAATTTTTAATCAAATTTTATTAATTTTTTGTTTATTTTTAAAACGTTTTTTATTTTTATATAAATTTTATATAGATTGTAACGGGTAAATGTGAATGTCATAAATTACCTGGTAATCATCAGACATTCATCACCGATAATGTGGATCAAATTTCCGAATTAATTCAACAAAAATTAATTTAAATTTTTTTTTACTTGATTATGCATAAATTTTATTATTTCAAAATTCAATAATTATTAGACAAATATAAATCTACTTTTTTTTGTTATTAAAAAAATGTTATTATCGTTAATCAATCATCAATAATGAAAAACAAAATCGATTCAAATTGTAAATGAGTTTGCATGTCAATTTAATCAAAATTGATTAATAACTCTTCTTTTATTGGTTCTTTAACAGGCTCCGGTTGTTGTTGTTGTTGTTGCAACTGTTCGGGATGTTGTTGTGATTGATGTGGTGGTGCTTGCATTCCACCATACGTTGCTGGAGCATATCCATTGTTTGTTGTAACAGTTTGTGGTTGTTGTGAATGTGGTGCCATATATGCAACAGGTTGATGTTGATGCTGTGGCATATAATATGATTGTTGAGGTATCATAGAATTCGGACCACCAGCGACTGTATGATCAGGCATCGATGCAGGTGGATATTGTTGGGGTGGCTGAGCCATCATTTGTGATGGTGGTTGGGCAGCCATTCCATGTGGATTTGATGTAGGCTGATAATAAGTTCCTGGATGTGGATGATATGGACCCATTGCTGCTGATGAATTCCATGGCATTTGCGGCTGCGGTTGTTGTGGCTGAGGAATCGACGCCGGATTTGTACCAAATTTCAATAATTCTGTTCGCATCATTAATTCGCGTTCTTGTTCTTGCATTCGTTGAATGGCCAATTCACGTTGATATTGCAGATATTGTTGTTTTTGTTTACGCATTATATCTAATTTTTGAGCCATTTGTTGCTGCCGCAAACGTTCAGCTTCGGCTGCAGCACGTTTCAGTTGATCACGATGTTCATCTCGCAATGCATCCAATGCAGCACGTGCATCACGAATCTGTTGTATTTTGTCCTGCAATCGTTCACAATTAGAACGAGATTCACTTGTCTGTTGCATGTACATCATCAAATGAGAATGCATATTAGTTAGATTCATAAACAAAGCTTGAACACCGCTATCATTTGTAATTGGACGGCCACGAAGTTTATTTGATTGTAGCCGATTGACAAAAATCTCAATTGTTGATTGAAGATTTTTCATGAAATTTTCCAATTCAGCATCATTCTGTTGACCAAATTTATTTTGAGAAGTCATTTTTGATTCATTATCTACTTTAGCAACAGATGATGAATTACTGGTTGATATAGGTGTTGGTGCACTTGGCGACGGTGACGGTTCATAATCACCAAAACTTTGAGATCTTTGTTCCCAATATTCTCGATTCAAATAGCGAGCTAATTCTGGATCATCATTTTCAATATCCAGATCAGTTTTTGCCACCGCCGATGATGATGACGATTTTTTACCACTTTTCGATTTTGAGGACGATTTCGAACCCGAACTTTTCTTATGAGATTTATTTGATTGTCCAGTGCTGCCAGAAGATTTGCGAAATTGTCGCATTTTTTCATATTCCAGGTTTTCGGCTTCACTTTTTGATAATGCCAATGCGAGCTGTAATTCTTCTTCTTCCTGAATTTCTTGTTCAGTTTTAGTTTTAGTCGGTGTTGTTGGATTCGATGAATTTGCTGATCCCTTAGCCTTAGCAGAATTTTCGGCCAAATCATTCATTGGCATAGTTTTTATTTCGATTTTTTTGTTAATTTTATCATAACAAAGATCACAAACACGAACTTCTTTTTCAATGCCGAATTTCGGAATGGTCGAAGTTTTCGCCGAACATTTCGCACAGAACACTTGTCCGCAATGACGACAATGATGTTTACGATTCATAACCGTAAATGATGTACGACAACGATGACAACATTCACCATCCGACCATTCTGGTGCTAAATCAGCAGAAAACATAGCATCACTTTCTTTCAACGTTGGAAATTGGAAGCCTTCAGCCTTCATTAATCTCATTTGATCACTGACTGCTTTGAATGATGGTTCCTTACGGAATGCATGTGCCCATGCTTGTATAAGACGTAAAATTTCATTTTTAACTTTGATATCCGAACTGTTTCGCAACATAGTATGCATTTCTTCCATAAATTCTTTTGTGGCTAATTCGAAATGCAATATAGGTCCACAATTTTTCACACATGATTCCAATACTTTTAGGGCCATCAATTGAACATTTGGATTAGTTGCATTTAACTTTCTCTTGATTGCAGACAACGCATATCTGGGTCTAAAATAAAGAAAGAAAATATAATTTCGAAAAATTTCCAAAAACAAACAAGAATGAAAACATACTGGACATCATTTTGACGGATTGCATCACAAATTTGCATTATACTTCCCCAATCTGGTTCCAAATTCGTTAGACTAGTTGCTTTTTCTAAAGAAGAAAAATTGATTTTGAAAACTTTTCATTCTAAAATTTTATTATTATTATTATTATTACCAAGCAATTTATCAAACGGAGATGTTGAGCTTTTAAACATTTTCTTTGATCAATGAATCTTTCTTGAAAAGAATTTTAAACAAACAAATTTATTTAGGATTAAAATCTTTGATAAACAATACGATGACAATGATTAAAAACCAACAAAAAAAATTAATAAACTTCGCAGTTAGATTGGTTCAACAATAATAATAAGAACAATAAAGAATTGTTAATCAATGGATTTAATCATAAACAACGTTACCACTATAAATAGGATACCGCCTGATTTTTTTGTTTGTTTGTTTGTTTTACCTGATTTTTTTTTATTTTTGATCGGGTATGATTTACTATTCAAACACCAAAATCGAGGTCAAATCATGGTGGCATTTATTTATTTTATTTTGTAATATACCAACATTAACTTAATTCTATTGTAATCAAATTATTAGTTAATAATTTTGTTTAGAATCGAATCATCAAATACCATAAGGGTGTTGACAAGAATTTTTTTTTTTAATAACCCAAAATAAAATTGAATTTCAATATCAAATTATCGTTCCTAAACTATTGATAATATTCTATCTATATAATTCAAAATCTGATCCATATAAATTTTGCTCAGGATTGTTATGACAATTTTATCTCTTCGATTTTATACTCATTGCAGTATACAGATGAAAACATGCGTGCCTTTGGAATTAAATTTTGATGTAAATAGCCAGCACCCATTTTTTTAAAAAAAACCTGTATAAATTCTACCTGTTCGACTCGCATGAACGATTGATTGAATGAGTCATTTGGGTTCAATTCTAAAGTAATCAAAAATCAGTGTCTTATCTATTGTTTTCTTTAAAAGTTCTATTGAAAAATCTTATATAAAATTTATCTTTTCGAAATCAACAATGAGCACATCGAAATCGAATTCTCATCAACAAATGGCCATCCAAATGGATCGGGTTCGTTTCATGATGAATTATTTTTTTGGCATTTTTAAATTTAATTGATTAAAATTTATTCTTTTAAACAATTGATAGGCATGGAAACCAGTATTCGATCGATTTGATCGTCATCGTACTGGCCAAATACGTTTAGGTGATTTCAAACGTATTCTACATGAAAGTAATAATCATTTTAGTGAAGATGTATCGATCGATGTTTTGGAATCATTATTACAGAATGAAAATGATGATCGATTGATTGATTATCAACAATTTCTCAATTTGGTTGGTATTCATTTGAAAATGGAAAAATTTTAATTTCTTTCGAATTCATTTATTTTACAGATTTACAATTCACGATTAGATACACAGATTCAATCACGGCTACATCGACTAGTTCGATATGCTGCTATGGCTGTTGTACCAAAATCACAACGTCAATCTGTCATACGTAAATATCTGGATGAATATAATTGTATGCCACCACCGATATTCATATTGACCATCAGTATCATTGAAATAGCCATTTTTATATATTATTGTGTCATCTTGGGTGAAGTTTCTACTTCTGGTCCTGTACCATGGAAAAGTATTTTAATCTATAATCCTTGTCGGCGTTATGAAGTTTGGCGTTTTTTCACCTATATGTTCATTCATGCTGGATTCTATCACTTATTCAGTAATTTGTTAATTCAATTGGTTTTGGGTATCCCGCTTGAAATGGTACATAAATGGTGGCGTATAGGTATCGTTTACATAACCGGTGTGATTGCCGGATCACTTGCCAGTTCTCTTTCGGATCCTCATACATTTTTAGCTGGCGCTAGTGGTGGTGTTTATGCTTTATTAGCTGCACACTTAGCCAATGTTGTAATGAATTGGGAAGAAATGGATTTCAATTGGGCTCGTTTATTGACAATTATTATTTTCGTTTCGACTGACATAAGTGTTGCTGTATATGATCGTTATAAAACAAGTCAACGTAATCGTGTTAGTTATTCTGCTCATCTAGCTGGTTCATTAGTCGGTTTATTTGTTGGATTTAACGTTCTACGGAATTTAAAAGCAAAACGTTGGGAATTAATTTTGGCTTGGTTTTCATTATTGGTTTATATCATATTCATGACTGTTGCAATTTTATTTAATATTTTCTATGATGATTATTACTACAATCCAAACGATCCAGAAGTTTGTAAACAGGCTTACTAAATTATACTGCCCTTTCAAATTGCCTTTAATCTTTTGACATTTCATTTATTCATTAATTTCATTCTGTTTTTTCGATCATCTTTTTGATAAAATAAAAATTCAAATTTAAATTTAAAAAATTGCGCTATTGTGTCCTTTCGTAGAGAACGTACCCTAACGAATAATCGATTGATCAATTCGAATGTTTATATTTATTTGCTCGAAATTTTTTACGAATTAGAAAAAAAAATTGATGCGGCTCGATTGTTTAGTGAATTTTAATTTATTTTATTGTAAAAATGAAATTTATTACTTAAAAAATGCCTCTACCAAATTCAATTAAAAATTTTATCGGTAAATATATTTTTTTGGTGATTGTTTTCAATTATTTTGATTGGACAATTTTTCTCATTTTAGCCAACAGTCGTGATAAGTTGAATCAATTAGATTCGAATGGTTCGAAAAAATCAAATAATTCACCATCTACATCATCTAAAGGTCGATATTCATCCAATCGAAATGATAATTTTATCGCCAGCAATAATAATGATCTTTCATCAAGCCATAAAACGAGTGCCAAACAGACATTATCACAGATTAGTGGCCTACATTCACATCGAAATCTTAAACCATCATATCAGATGTTATTAGCTGAATCCATGTATGATCCAAGCGTTTCCGTTCGGCTTGATTCTTGTTTAACATGTACATTTGATGAATGTTTTACTGTCGAACAAAATGCCGATGTTCTTCTGTGTTTCGTCCAATTTATGGAATCATTAGGATCACACGCTAATATAGTGATAAAATGTTTTCTTCAGACAAATTGTCTGATGTTTTTTATTCAAGAAAAATTTCCCGGTGATAACAAAGATCCATCACTTGAAGATCAAGAAGAACTTAAGAAAAATTATCAAAATTTTCTTAATGATTTTCGACGAATATTTAATCAATTAGTAAATGAAAATAACGATGCCACTAATATAACCGATGCTGGCCAATCAACCAAAAATTCCGTGATAATCGATTTAAACGTCCACTCAAAAGTGATTGAATTATTTGATCATGATGATGATGACCAAATCATTCCAAATTATCAACAACTCCAATTATCATTTAAAATATTCGAATCATTTCGACAATCTTTATCCCAAAAAATTGAATGTGAATATTACGAAAAATTTCTTCGTTCAAATTTTTTTCTTAAATATGAATCCGAAGTATTGAGAGAGAAAAAATTTCAACTTTCTGATATATTATTTTCCCATACATTAATCTCGTCAGCTTTTATGGATTTTATGGCCACTGAACGTATGAAATCTTTTGTCGATTTTATAGTACAATATCGAAATTATAGAAAATTCTCTGGACAACATTCCGATGCCTGTGCTTTATACAATCGATTTTTTAATTGTAGTGCAGCTTCAATCGAAAGCTTTCTTCAGGTTTCCGAACCAATCATTGAACAATTACGATCATCAATTATAGATCTAAAAGATCCGATAACAGAATTTCAACCCGATTGTTTTGATCGAATTGCAAATATTCTGTTGCAATATTTCTCCAAAACATATTTTCCACAATTTCTTGACAGTAGTCATTTTCGTGAATATATACAGAATTGTGATCAAAAATTACAAAATCAATCGAAAGCAAAACGATCATCAATGAAAATATCATCTGTGAATGATATTGAAAATCATAAATCAAATTCTCTAAATATTGATATGACCAATCAATCAGATCTTTTATGGAATCGTGATCTAAAAGATCGATTACAATTTACCTATATCGATAAATATGGTCGTATAAATAGTACATTAGAACCGGAGCCACCACGATCATCACCGGGTGTTGATCGTTCAAAATTGACACAATTTTTTCGTCGACTTTCATTTGGTAATTCTGCTAATCGAATCCAATCAGAAGATGATGCATGGCGTATAGCTGAAAGTATTATTAATGATGTTTGTTCTGTTACAAATCGACAACAACCAGAACATCCGATTGAATTTGATGATTCTAATCAATAAATGAATTATCTATATCAACTCTTTTATTTATATTTGTATGATTTGACAATCTAATTATTTCTGTTTGCTATTTGCAAATTTTTTTTTTTGCTTGTCTGTTTTATTTATTACAAATGAAAATTATAATTTTTTAAAACAAATGCTTTAATAAACGAACGATTACAATGAGGGGAAAACCCTGTTTCTAATAATTGGTGATTTTTTTTCGATGTTGCTTATTCTTTGAATTTTCTGTATTCGAAATTAAGGCCAATGACAGTCGAAAAGTTGTTTGTTTGTTTTTTTAAGGGAAAAAAATTCATCAATTTTCTGACAAAAAAAAAGAAGATTTAACGATATTAATCTATCGAATGATGGCTAACAACCAAACCTGTATATATTCAATAATAATGATGATCATCATCATCATCAAAATTATCATTCGGATACATCTGGAAATTTCATTTTCTGCAATAAAATAGTGATTGAGAGAGAGAAAGAGAGAGAGAAAACATGTAAATAATTTTTTTTTACTGATTGTCACTAATAGATAGATGATCGACAATCGACATTGAAAGATAAAAATATACAAAAAATAAATTGAAAATTATAAGCATGCAACCTATACACACAAAAATCAAAGGGGAAAAAAATAATAATATAGACATACACCAATACACCAATATCGATGTCAATATCATTACTAAATTGATGTTCAAAAAAAAAATCGATTGATTGATTGATTATTTTTGTTCTGTTTTGTTTGTTTGTAAAAATTCTTCAGACTTCACCGGTCGGTGAATACAGATACATTCATTTCGGTGTGTGTGTATTTGTGAGAGAGAGAGAGAGAGAGAGAGAGAGAGAGAGTGATGATCATCGATGAAGACATTCAGTGAAAAAGAGAGAGAGAGAAAAAAAAAGATTGGTAGCAACAAGTATGATGAATAATTTATCATTTTTCCTTTTGATTGAATTTTAATTTCTGCTAAACAATCTTTCCTTTCGATGATTGACTAGATCAATTTCTTTTTGGAATTTTTCTCCGATTTGTTTGCCATACCGGAACCGTGTTGTGAAACAAAATTACCTGAATTAATATTTTTCGGTGACATTTGCAATTATTATTGGTGTGTTTGTGTGTGTATATGAGTGACATCAGTACTCGCCATTGCCATCATTTACGTCATCATCATCATTGTTTTTCTTCAAAAAAAAACAAAATTTTGTTGTAATGGTTAAATGTCCACCAAACTTCCTCGTTTAATTGGTTTTTTTCGCTTGTTTGTTTGTTTGGTTTCTGTTTGTTTTAATAAAACGAAAAAAAATCGTTTCAATTTATTCATATCTAATGTTCCGGTTTCGGATTGATTCAGCAGAAAAAAAAGTTTCTGAATGTCCTTGATCCATGAAATTGATAATATTCATCTATGAGTGTGAATCAAGAATAAACGAAAACAACGATATTCATTATCAACAAACAAACAAACAAGACAACAAGAAAAAAAATGATAAATTTTTTCAAAAAAAAAAAATTTGAAAATAAATAAAAATCATTCATTCATTCAACTAATCAATTGATCTATTTCTTGTTTTTCTTTCGGTTTTCTTCCCACTTCCCACTCATACACAAAATTTTTCTCGTGTACATTCTCATCATTCACATGTGATTTGAATCTGTTCACGAATATTATATCAATAATGACAATCAAAACAACAAATTGAATAAAGAAATCATTATGTTTGATATATAACACATCTGATATATAAAATATAATTGTAAGTATGATGAATTTTTTCTTTTTCTTTTTCTTTTTCTTATCAATCAATCAATCAATCAATCAGAAAAATAAATATAACCTTATCACTGAATTGAATGTCGTCAAGTAAATCTAATGAGGAGAGAGAGAAAGAAAAAATCTATGCTTTTTAATTTGATTAATCGAATGATTGATTTAAAATTCTGATTTTTAAAAGAAATCAAATTTTTCTTGGCAAGGGAAGGAAGATGCAAAGTTTGTTTTATTTATAAAGAAAAAAAAAATCAAAATTCAAACTTCCTAACATGTATTGCCATCTATGAAAGATTTGGTTAATTTTTTTTTTCAAAAAAAAAATTTTTAAACCAAAAAAAAAAAATTCCTAAATAATCAGAAATGATATCATTTGTTAATCAATTGATAGATGTTACCAATGGTGATGATGATGATGATCATAGAGTGGATTAACTATCGGAATGTATTGTATTTATCATTTGATTCTAGTCAAAAGTTGTTGATTAATAGAAAACAAAAAACAAAACTTTGTATATTTATGTCTGACATATAGACACAAGACACAACTTAGGTTTTTTTTCAAAAATTCTAACTAAATCAAATGCCAAAATGATTGTAAATGAAAGTATGAATGGTTGTTGATGGCGTTTATTTGTTTGTTTGTTTGTTGGCGCCCTAAATTTACTTATATGATAAAAATGTAAGAATAAAAACATTTTGTTTATAAAAAGTTGTTCTTTCTTTCGTTCTTTCTTTCTTAATTTTTCTTGTCTTTGAGTTGATTCTTTGGAGTTCAACAACAACAAAGTATTGGCAAGAATCATATCATCATCATCATTTATCCACACACACACTGTCATTGTTTCATTTGCGTTTGTGTTTTCTATTCATTTATGAAAAAAAAGATTTCTTAATTCTTGAGCAATCTAATTTTGTTTTTCTGAAAAAAGAAGATTTTTTTAGTAAAAGTAAGTTTTCATTTGTTTGTTAAAAAAATCATACCATGTAGATGAAAATATTGCATATATGCTAAATCTAAATACATACATGTCACTTTTATTTATTTATTTGAAAAAAATAGATAGGAATCCATTTTTTGCGAATTATTCCTCTTTACGATTCTTATTCTTATGCTGTTGATCTTTGTTGGATAACAAATTGAAATATGGATGATATAAGCAACAGCGGTGGTAGTGGCAGTGGTGGTGGTGGTGGTGGCCAACAATCTCAATCGACGACAACAACAATATCCGATTCATATATTCAATCTTTATTAGCTTTAATTATGGATTTTTGTTGCATAAATTCAAATGATCATCAATCAATATTATCATCATCATTATCACCATCGACAATGTTGTTTATATTCTGGACAATTGTTGCTTTAATTGTAGCCGTTGCTGCAAATATTTATTTGAAAATTAGAAAACAACAGAATGATTCGTTAAAATTGAATAAAAATGAAGAATCAATAACAATCGATGATGATGATGGAGAACAATCAGATTGGCTACAGAAATCAGTATCTGATCATGATAAATTCAAAGCAAATCATCACAGCAAACAATTTGATCAATCACCAAAATCAAATGAACCGTTTGTTAATCGTCAAGAATGGATGAATGAAATAATCAAATGGTTTTATCATCAATCACATCAGGATAATCAATTTATTTTGACAATAACAAATGAATGGCTTACATCATTGAACAATAAAAGTCAACAATTAATAATCGAGGTTTGTTGGGTTTTTTCAATAGTTTTTTTTTCGTTACAAATTTCATTGATAATTTTTTTCGTTGATCAGAATGGAATATTTGTCGAATTTGTACAAATCGAACAATTGACCGGTGCTCAACTAAATCAGGTTAAAATGGCCGAAGAACTTAATGAAAATTTGGTATTAAAAAAATTCGACTATATTAACCCAAGAAAAAATACCTTATTCATTTTTTCTTCCCCTCATTAATTAGATAACAACAATGAAAGCAACATGTGATCGTTTAATTATTCAGGTACGTGTTGCACCTGATTGTTATGGTGATCCAAATCGTTCAGCTATTTATCATGTAATTATGGAACGATTTAGTTCATTGGTAAGTTTTTTGTTGGTTTAGTTAACTTGATTGATTGATTGATTGATTTTATTTTGTTTTCAATCCAAAGTTAAAAGTAGTCAGCATAACTGATGAATTATTATTCGTTATAAGGCCATTAGAACGTCCCGAAACAAGAGCACAAATTGAAGGTCCATTACTTGGATCGAAAAATAAATTTCAATCAGATGTTATTATTAATGCTGTTTTGAATGTTTTTACATCGACAATATTTGATCTAAATTTTAGTGAATCAAATGATAAATATCCGGATTTTCCACGTTTAGCAACTAATGAATCGAAAAAAACAACAACATTATTGAACACTGATAAGGTTTGTATAGATTTGATCAATTAATTTTTTATGAATTTTTTTCTCTTTTGTATAAACAAACATGTAGCCAAATGTCGAACGAAAATTATTGGTAAAAATAGCCAAAGCAAATGATTTACAGTTGGAAAAACAGGATACCACCGGTGCCATTTATTGTACAATCGAATTGGATGAACCATTTCAATCGGAACGTACATCAATTATTCGTGAACAAATTGATTCACCGGAATGGGATCAACATTTTATTTTGTAAGTATTATTTCACTCATCATCATTTTCGAAAATTTCGATTAATTTTTGTTTCTTGAATCCAAAAAAAAAATCAGTAATCTTAATGAAAAATCACGGGAATTATTATTCGAATTATATGAAGAACAACAACAACAGCAAAAATCATCAACAAATAAACAAACAATGAAAAATGAACCGATCGGTGGTATTATTTTATTTTTTCATTTCATAATTCTCATCATTAAAAATTTAATTGAAAAAAAAATTTCTTTTCCCAATTTCCCACTCTCTCTGACACACACAGATCATATACTGGGCAATGCTATTGTAAACATTAAAGAATTAATATCAAATCCATCACAATCACAAACATTACGATTACAATCTGGTATGAATAATAAACAAGATATGGGAAATTTGATTGTTGAGGTATTTATTTGATTTTTTTTTTGTTTTCGGATTGATTATCTTTGAGAGATGTTTAAACTTTATTTTTTCTCACACAAACAATCTAGTTTTTACTCATGGAACATAGCCGAAATGGATCGATCAGACGGCATGATCCTCAACAACAACAACAGAATCAGGTTACAAGATCACAATCAATGACAAAGCCAAATAATATTGACAATCATCATGATGAATCAGTATCATCATCATCACATCATCATAATCGGTCATCATCAACATCAGGTAATATCATCATCATCATCATCATTTTTATGTAATATAAAAAAAATATAGGCTATACAATGACAACAACAACAAAAAAAAATTGTTTTCCTATTTCCCTTTATTTCTCCTTCCATATTTCCTAATTCGATTGCTTCGATTTTTTCCAAAAAAACGAAAAATTTCTTCTTTTCCTTCCCCCTTCCCCCAAAAATAATGATGAAATATTAATTATATAATGCTTATTGTCAAATTTTTTTTCTTTTTTTTCTTCTTTTTTTAAAAAATCTCTATATACTGCATGTGCATGTGTCTTCGACTACTGTTCTTGTAAACCAATTTTTTTTCATTGCCCATTGGATCAACAATATATCTATATCTATCCATCTCGATCACCAAAAAAAAATGACCATTGCATGCATATTTCAAACAAAAAAATAATATTATCTTGTTGCTTTCATCTTGCTTATTCAATCCTTGTGCTTTGGTTTGTGCATGTGTGTTTATTGTTTGCTTTGAATTTTATTTCGATTGGATTAATGAATCTCTACGGTAACGGATTATTGATAAAAATTTTTTCAAAAAAAAAATCTGATTATCATCATCATTATAATCATAATCATTGATCGACAACAACAACAAAATCAACAAACAACAACAAAACATTCGAATGAAAATGTTAAATGTTGACGTTGGTTGTAAAAAAAAAAAATTCTGTTGAATGGTGATAAACATTCGAATGAAAATGTTTTTTACCTGATTATTGTGTTTCGTTGTTGTTGTTTTTTGTTTATACAATTCAATATGAATCGATTCGCAAAAAAATAACGGTGATTTCTTCTTTTTCTCTCAATGTTTCAATTTTCATTCATTTGATTTGATTGACAAACCGAAACCGAAACGTGATTCATCTAATTTTTTCAACGAAAAAAAAATTTATTTCTCTTCAACAACGACAACAACAACGAAAATCTACTGATGCCATCATGATGGTATCATCATGATAAATAATCATTTTTAATGACCACAAACAACAACAACAATCATCATCATGGTGAACGGTTTTTTCCCGTTCATAATCCTGCCACATCTTCTGAATTCAAAAAACACTGATTTCAATCATCGTTTCAAACTATATTATCCATCTTTTTTAACCATCTTTTTGTGTGATATAATTGAATCGCGCGCGCGAAATTTCAACAACAAAATTTCCTTGAAAAAAATTATAACGGGATATCCTCTTTCATCTTATTATTATTATTATTGTCATTTGTGGATTTTCATCGATTTTTTCTTAAAAATCTCATCTTATCATTTTTTTTCTCTTTCTCTCGGTTATCTAATCGATTGATTTGATTGAAAAAAAATCTATAAATTTTTTCCTTATCGATTATATTGTTGGATGCATCTATCTCAAATTTCCAACAACAACAACAACAACAAAAAATCAAATATCAGTTGATCATCATCATCATCATCGACAACGATGGTCAATCGGATCGGCATTAACTACAGCAACATTAACCGATTATTGTGAAGATAATCATTATGGATTAGCTACGATTACAGATGATGGTGAAAAATTTTATCGTAATCATCATCATAGTTGTCAAAATCAAATTAATTTTGATGATCATCAATCCAAATCATCATCATCATTTATGACAACAGTTGAAATCGATACAATACCTAATATTGAAACAATCATATCGAATTGCAACAACATCAAATTACAGCAACCTAATTTTAAATGTAAATTTTTTTTTCTACTTCTTCTTTTCTTATCAACAATTTTTTTTCCCATTGTGTTTGTGTTGCGTGTTCATTTTTGTTTCTTTTCACTAAGTGTTTGTCCTGTTTGAAAATTCTGTGTGTGTTTTTTGTTGTTGTTTAAATATTTGGAAAAAAATGACTAAAAATTCCAATAAAAACAATATGATCCGTGATATTCAACATCCGGATACATTGATTAATTCAAATGGCAAAGAAGAATCAAAATCAACTGAAATTGATAATGAAAATGAAAATGAAGATGAATGGAATAATCCACAAAAACGATCATCACTTTATTCACAATTATCAATCGAAAGTATTGATAGTCAATTGGATGTTGTTGATAATTGTACATTCAATGGTCAACAACAACAAACAGAATTATCCGAATTATCATCGTTGATGATGAAACGAGCTCAAATATCAACCATTGAATTACCGGTTGATTCACAACCAATACAATCATTACAAATGATTAATGATAATCAAGAAAAACGTAAAGATTCGAAACCATTAAAACGACGAACATCTTATCTACAATCATTGTTACCTATATTAACACAACAGTCAACTGTTACATCAACATTAAAATCATCACCACAATTATCGATTCGATCAAATATCGGTTATGTTAATAATAATAACCAAATTAATGATAATATATCAAAAGCCAAATCCGATACACAATTATTTTTCTGTCTTTATGATGATGATTATAGCCAATATTATGATGATCAATTTGGAATTGGTAATGAATCTGATCGTCAACAAATTGGTTGTAGACGTCATTGTTCAACTATTATAAATAAATCATCAAATGGATTAAAAATACCACAAACATTGAATAGTAGCAAACGAAATAGTCAAATTCGTGCAAGTTTTTATGAAAAATGGCTTGGCAATAATAATAAACGACAACAATCAACACCTCCACCATGTTCATCAATATCGACAACATCATCATCATCATCATCGGCTGCCGATTCGATAAAAAGAAAATTTAAATTTCGTTATAGTAGTAAAGTATCGAGAAAAATTGCCGAACGTTTACGTACGAATCACAATAATAATGAAAATGAAAATGAAAATAAAAGAAAAATTGATAATTGGCATCGTACAAAACGAGAAAAATCATCATCAACACCATTTCGATCATGTTCATTAAGATATCGTGCTTCCGAACCAGCAATCAATAATTATCAATCATCAAGTTCATCATTAAGTCGTAAATGTCGACGAAATGGATTCAATAATGAATATGATGATTATGATTATGATTATGATATCGGTTGGAAAAGAGATTCATTCACATTATCTAATCACTGATCTAATAATCCTATTTTAACATTTTTTGTTTTTTGTTTTTTCAAACATTTCCTATCGAAATCGTCATATGATCAGGTTCATATTATAATGAATTTATTATTTTCTTTTTTTTCCTTTGAACTAGCTAATCAACAATTCGTACAGGAAGATCCAAACTATAATTCGGGTGAAAATGGTCATTCAATATCACAATTATCAAATGAGCCGAAACAGATAACAACAACAACAACAACCGGTACCAATGAACAACGTCAACAATCGGCACGAATATCAGCTACTTTGGATAAACGTAATTCAGGTAGAAATTATTTTTGGATATTTTTCAAGAGATTCTTTTGAATTCAAATCTTTTAATTTATTTAATTAGATTCTCGTCCACGAGATAAATCATTATTACGAAACATAAAGAAACGTTTTAGTTTTAATCGACGTTCAAAATCAGTGGATAGAAATCTGGGTAAACGAGCTATCGTTAACGGTAATGATGATGATGATGATAATTTTGATAATGATTATAATAATGAACGTATTGGTCATGGAATGGAAAGAGCAAGATCTGTACCCGGTTCACGTGAACCATCTATGCCCAAAGATAATAATATTCATCAACAAGAGCCAAAAATTAAAGAAAGTTTTGGCAATTTAAGTCAAGCATCTACACGAACATTTATGCATGAAGATTCATTATTGATAATGGAATGTAATGAAAAAGGAACGATTAAACATATTATTGTACCTACGGATGATATGGAAAAAGCACGACACGATTTGAAACGTCGTAAAAGCACAAAACTTCATCTATATAAAGATCATTTGTTTATTGCAAGACATATACCATCATCAAGATTATGTCAAATTTGTGGGAAAAAATTTGCATTTCGTCTGGGTAAACAAGCCTATCAATGTCGTGGTAAGTGGTGTTTCATTTTTTTTTAAATGAATATATTTCCGAAGAAAATTATCAAATAAAAATATTTTTACAAATATAGATTGTGGCCTAATTTGTCATAAACCATGTCATGTTCAGGTTGAAACTCGATGTTTTTCATCAAGTATTGCATCATTAAATCTTGAATTAATTGATGGTGGTTATCAACAACAATTAACATTACAACATAATAATGATAATAATAATACTAATATAATGGCTGTACCGGAATTAAAAATTACCGATACTGAACCGGATGATTATTTCATCATTAATAATAATAATAATAATAGTTCAATTTATCGTTGAATATTCATTTTCGGGTCATAACTTTTACGTTGGTTTAATCAATATTATTCTTTGAAATTCATATCGACAAAACAAACAAAAATGTTTTTTATTATTATTATTATTTATATTTCATCTTTTTCAATCATTATAATCAAACATGAAACAAAATTTTTTTTTTCAAAAATGCCATTTATTATAATTATTATTATTGATTGATTGATTCATTATATAAAATGAAGAAAAAAAAAATAAACAAACAAGAAACGAAAACGAATGGAAACACATACAAAAATGTGGTGAACAAACCGGGATATTTAAAATTAAAAAATAAACAAAATAATAATCGACAAGATAGAGACTGTTCAAAATTGTATGTTGTTTTTTTCATTATTTTTACGTTGACTAATATCACAAAGTTAACAAGTAACAGATTGCAATGATTGAAATTTATCGTGCATATAGTGTGTTATAGAAAAAAATGTGGTTTAAATAATGTGTTAATGTCAGTTATCATCATTATCTTTCGGTTTATCATCCACAATATCAATTGATGATGATGATGGTGGTGTTTCGATAAGTGATGGTGGTGGTGGTGATGATGATTTTAACATTGTCGCTGTTGTTGTTAAGGTCGAGGTTGAGGTCGAATTGGTTTGTCGAATGTTTAATTGATATGGTTGACTTGATAATAGATGCCATGCTTCACGATTATCAATAACACCATTCAATAATATTTTCATTGGTGATGGTCCTAATTTGGCAAATGCCTGATATATTGGCAAACAAATTGTATCAATAAATGATATTTGCATTTTTGGTAATTCATCTTTTTTCTCACGATTCATCATATCCTAAATGATTGATTGAATATAGACATTTTTTAAAAGATTAAAATTGAAATAATTTTTTGTGATTGTTTTTTCACTTACAATCGGTTCAATATTAAGTTGTTCTTTTTCAATATCACCTTGTTGATAGAATTCACTGGCCACTAAATCGGCAACTACTTTTTGTGTTTGCCTACCATAAATGAAGAAAATTAATGGAAAAAAAATTTGTCATGTATTGATTGGAAAGAAAAAAAAAACTAACCATGGTTTTGTAATAGCAGCTATATCACAACAAGTCATCAACATTGATCGTAATAATGAACGATTATTTTCATCCGACCAATCACGTTGACCATTCGTATTCATTTGTTCGACTAGTTGAAAAAATTTATCACGATTACGAAAATATATGGCCAAATCAGTGGCTAATATTGCCTCTTCCATTACATGTACAACACGACGATATTCTTCCGGCGATAGATTGCTCAATATTTGATTGCCCTATTTCGTATTTCGTTAGAATATTTACCAGATATTCAAACAAACAAAAAAAAACACATAGACAGACAATTATTCTTACTTGACTATTCAATATCATTAATGATTGATCAAAATGATGATGTTCCAATGTACTTGTTGAATATAATTGTGCAAGTGGTGAACTAGTTTTAATTTGAAATGAATTATTCGTACCACGATGATCAAGATCATGACAAAGACAAGCAACAATCAATGCCATTGTTTCGAGTTCACCCAATACATAACATAATTCCGTATTCTAAATCGTTTTTTTTTTGTTTCAACAACAAAAAAACATTTAAAAATAAATAAAAAATTATACTTGAAGATTCAAGAAAAAAACTTACAACAAATATTGCAAACATCATCTGTGCAACATTAAATGCATGTCGCCAATTATGATATAAAACTGGACGATAATTTTTTCGTACACTAAGTATCCATCTACAAAGAACTTTATAATCAATATGAAAACGTTCAATTAAATCTAAATCGATAAACATTCTTATACAAGCTTTTATCATTTGATCTTCATTCAAACTAAAATCATCAAATCGTAGACTAGATAATGAAAGACTGCTTGTAGATGGTATTAACATTCGCTAAATTATAAACAAAAAGTGAAAAAAAATGAAATCAATGAAAAAAATTTCAATTCTAAAAGATAAAACAACTTACGGCAAATTTCGATGCTTCCTGTTCACTTGCCGATGCATGATATGATAACAATTCTAATGTAACTTTTTGTTTAGCCATTGATTTGACTGCTTTTTCAAATTTATTCGTATTTTCTATGCCCATTCCGGAAAATATGGCAAATGCTTCAAACAGATTTTCATCATTTTTATTGAATGGACGGCCATTCAATTTATTCACCAATTGTGCAATACCAATAATCTTTCGTGTTGCATTACGAATCGGCATACAAAGAATATTTCTATGTCGAAATCTATTACCATCATTATCATCATTATCATCTTGTTCATCGACAATCGGATCAAAACGACAATCATTATATGCATCGGCAATGTTTAATGTTTCACCAGTAGTAACTACATAACCTGTAATACCAATATTGATTGGAAATCGACCTTCAAATGGTGCTGTTTGATTTTTTTCAAAATCCGGTTGTTCTAAATCTTTTGTTTGCAGATCGAATACACGATAAAAACTACGTGTAGCCATTGTAGCATGATTTGCTTGTAGATCATAAATTGATTCCGAACAACTTGATCCATTACTACTTGGACAATCAGATATTGGACTTCTATCGGATGAATGATTATTTATGGTTTGTTGTGAATGTTTCATTGGTGAATCATCTTGGTGACGATTTTTAAAATCCATAGGACCAAAAAAATCATCATCCTCATCATCATCATCACATTCAAGTAACATAATCTGACAACGTTCACATTGTAATAATGATAAAACATGTATCAAAATACGGTAGATAATATTTTCAATAGATGATTGTTTTTCAAATACCATTCTTGCCAGATCCAATAATACCTGATTACGTTTATTTTCTAACTGTGATCGTTCATAAATTTGTGCATTTCTTAAACCAATTCCACAGAATTGTAAATATTTTGCAAAAACATTTTCATCATTTTTATCAAAACATTTGGAATCTTTTTTATTTATCACTTGTGCTACTCCCATCACTTCACCATCAATATCAAATATAGGATAACATAACATATTACAGGTTTTATAACCAGTTTTTTGATCAATTGTATCGGTAAAACGTGAATCCTGATAACAATCAGGTATATTTACCGGTTCACCAGTTTCAGCTACATGACCAACAATACCTGTACCCCATGGTATAATAATTTCTTCATTTTTTGAAACTTGTTCAATAGTTGATTGTCCACAAACATCAAACAATTGACTGACCAGATATCTGTATTAAGTGTTAAAAAAATAGTAAAAACGAAAAACGAATATGAAAAAACAATCATCCAAAAGTCTGTTAAAATATTCAATATGCCTTCAAGACATTAATTATTGACAATATTGAATGAATTATTCTATTGAATTCTATCAAGAAGAAAATCTAATCATTCGATCTTTTTTTCTGGTGAATATCATTCTAAAATTGAATATGGAATATATACGTTTTTTTTCATTTCATTTCAAGTAACCTGAATATTCTTATTTTTCCTGTTCAACTTTTTATTATTATTATTATTATTATATTTTGTATTTATAAACGAAATTCGTAATTGGATTTCACATATGCCTTATGGTCATTTATGTGTAATGATTGTTTTCGGTTGAAACTTTTGTGTGTGAAAAAACTAATGAAAATTTTTTATCTGATTAAATGGAAGAACGAACAATCAGATTCTTACCTATTATCAATACCATCTTTTTCACCTTTTACCTATATTGATAAAACAAAAATAATTGAGAAATGAGGCAAAATTTCACTTTAAAATCTATTTTTTTAAAAAAAATAACGAACCAAAAATAATGAACAACGATCAGCCTGTGTTAAAATGCTAACATTTTTCAATATTTTATGACATAATGATTTTACATCTAAATCATTACAAATATCTTTAACTAATTCAAATATTAATTCACGTTCATCCGTACTATTTGATTCAAATTGTTCACGTGTACGTAACGATATAATTGATGAACGTTGCCGTGATGATCTATGTTGTCCAAACGAACCAGATAAACCTGATGTATTATTAAGCAAATCAATCGAATCATTTGTTGTTGTTGTTGTTAAAGAATTTTCTCTACTCGATAAATTATGTGAAGAATCTTGTATCGATAAAAATGTTAATGCTCCATCACATGTTGTCGATATCATTGGTCGTAAATAACCACCACCACTAGCTTCAAATTCATGTGCCGATATTTTTCGTACAGGTGTATTGGCACCTGAATCAGCTACTTTTGATACCGTTGTTTGCTGTATTGTTGCAGTATTATTATTATTATTATTGTTATTTGAAAAAAATGTTCCTATTAGAAAAAAAAACAGAAAGTTTCAAGAGAATTAAACTCAATTGAATTAATGATTGAACCAATGCAGTTGACTTTTTCTATTTTATCAAAATGAAAATATAAAAAGAAAATCTTCTAAATAATAATTCTTCATAAAAATTTCATCATTTTTTTTGGCACTTGTTTCCTATAATTCTTTATATAAAAAAAATTATTTTCAAACTCCCAAAATACAGAACTTATTATATTCGAAATAGCTAAAACTAACAAGCGAATAAAAAATTTACACACTTGAAAAAAAATGAAAAATTGTTAATGATGATGATGTTCAATATAGCCCCAATGGGCAATTAAATTTTAGTTGCAAAAAAAAAACTTTTTTCCCGTTTGAATGATGAAAATTTTAGTTTTTTCCCTCTGCAATATTATATCACTATAAAGGTAGTTATAGTTTATTCCATTCCATTTCATTTATTTTTTTATTTTTTATTTTCATTTCATTCCATTACACATCAATCAATTATTATTATGATAGAGAAATTGGGACAAAAAAAAACAACCCAAACAACAAACACTTACCCATTGATGATGCTGAATGTGTTACAAGCCATTTATCAATAATTGTACGTGATACTTTACGTATAACATAATTATTTACAAAATCAGGATGTTCATCCAACCAATCCTAACAATTTATTATTATTATCATCAGTTTGGAACATTAAGTAAATAAAAAATCATCATTATAAATTATAAAAAAGTCTTACTTCAATAGTATTTGTTTCATTATTATCACCGATATCCGAATTATCGATATCACCATTCAATTGTTGTTGTTGTTGTTCAAATGATAATTTTCTATTATTATGATGATGTTGATGATTTAATAATTTTGAATCAATATGATTCATTGATTTTATTGTTTTTGTCATTGTTATTGATTGTTTTGAATCATCATCATTATCCATTATCATCATAGGTGATTTTTGTTGTTGTTGTTGTTGTTGTTGTTTGGGATTTTTACCATTGTTAACATTAATTGATCGATTTGTCGATGATGATGATGATGATTTATTAATGCCACAATTTGATAAAGATTGAGGCACTTCTATTTTAGACTTTGTTTTTGTTCCGGTTGCTGTCGAAGATATAGTATTACTACGTGGATGCCAACCTAAATTTTTCAACAACAACAACAAAAAATTATTATTATTATTATCAACTTAAAATTCTAACGAAAAAACATCAAATTTTAATTTTTTTTTCAATAATTTAAATAATTCATATTTGCACAGAATGTTTTTCAAAAAAAAAATGGAAACTTTTTTTTTGACTCATGTTTTCTCTCTCACCCCCCTTCTTAATTCCAATGAAATTGTAAATTATTTTTTTTTCTGAATTTGAAAAAAAATATATCCAGAAATCCATATCATCAGTAAATAAATAATTTTTTTTTTCATTTTGCTCACCCGGTGGCCATAATGGACGCCATAATGCTGATGCTATTGTTGGACAAATTGTTTCATCATTATCATTATCATTATTATTTCGAAAATTAATTTTTGGATAATGATGATATTGATGATGTTGGTGATTGATTGAAATATTTGAACAATATGTTTTCGGATCATTATTTATTGTTGTTTGATTATTATTATTATTATTATTATTATTTAATTTTTCTAAATTATAATTAGAATTATTTAAACGTTGTTGTCGATTATAATTAATTGTTGATGATGATGATGATGGTAACGGTAATAAATGATGTCTTCGTTTAAATAAACTTTTACGTTTTGGTGTTTGAACATTATTACATTTTGTCGTTGTTGATGATGATGATAATTTCGTTGAATCATCAATAGACATTGCAACTATTTCCACATCATCATCATTATCAATATTATTTTGATTATGATTATTTTTCATATTCGCTGTGGAAATAGCATTCGAATCAATATCGTTTTCAATTCGTACTGAATTACAATCATTAACTAATGTCATAATAATCATTGAATGTTGTTGTTGTTGATTATTATTGTTTAAATTCTGATTCTGGTTCAATGGTGATTGATTACATTGTTTTCGTTGTTGTTGTTGTAGCTGACTGCTACCATTATTATTATGTAAGGATGATGATGTTGTTGTTGTTGATTGTTTTTGACGAAATTGATCAATTTTTGTTACTTTACGAATATAACCAAGCATCGTTGTCGTCTGGTTTCTCTTTCTATGAAATTATTTTCTATTAACACACAACCCAGGTAGTATGATATACAGACCAATTTTTCCAGACAATCAAAAAAAAAGCTTATTGAATCAATTTTTTTTCTATTCCTATTATTAGGATATATATTGAAATTGAAATTTTGCGAGTTTGTTGTTGTTGCTCACGAAACAACAACAACAACAACAAAAAATTATGAAATTAAAACAACCATATATACACTGGAGATCAGAAGAGAAACTTTGTTAATATTCTTCTTCAAATTAATTTTCAATCTTTAAAATGTCATCATCATGGAAAAATATTAATAATTTTTTGCTGGAATTATTGTTGCCTTAGTTTTGTTTGAAACTACTATCATCAAACAATAACGAAATAAATGAATGAAATGAATGAATGAATGGCGTGTCCAAACAATAGCAACGAAAACAAACAAACAAAATTTTATGATGAACTGAACTTTATTATTGAACGAACGAATGGAAAGAATGGAAAATAAAGGTGAAATGGAACAACAAAAAAAAAACCCCCGTAGTTTGATTAAAATTACGTATATCGTCACCGTCGTCGTTGAATTGGTTGGTTGTTATTCAAACAGAAAACAAAATTGAAAAAACAAAATATAGATATTGAATTTTTATTAAACACAAAGAAGATGACTGCCAGAAAAATATGAAACACACACGTCAATCGTTAAATGTCGAATATAACTTGGAAATGATAATCAATGATGATGATGATGATGTATCTATTTCAATAAGTATCGGTTGGGGTTTTTTTTTGTCTGTTGAAACTCAAACCGAACCAAGAAGAAAAAAAATGAGAAAAGAAAAAGAAAAAAAATTTTCATATAACCAACAAACAAACCAAAAAAAAAAAACCACGAATGTAGAATGATGCATCCTATTGAATACCTTCTTCCTTTTTTTGGAACTACTATTCAATATGTTTGTTTTTTCTTCTTCTTCTATTCGATTAAATTATGGAGCAACTCGAATAATTTCAAATACAAAAAAACCAAGAATGAATGAATGAAATGGTGATGATAAAAAAAAATATATTATGAAACTATTTTCAAAGCGCCCACTCTGTTTTGTCAATCAGTCAGTCAGTCAGTCAGTTATTCAGTTATTCAGTCAGTCAGTAAAGTTGTCTATGCCACCGGTATTTTGTTGATGTTGATCGATTGTTTGTTTGTTTTGTTTTGTTTTGTTTATTTGTTTCATTCAATATTCAGAATCATCAATACAAACATACCGAAAAAAAGAGAGAGATACATATTAATCACATACCGGTAATGGGTAACATCATATGGACACCAGAAACAAACAAACAAACATTCGACGAAAAAAAAACAAATATTTAGGAAAAGAGGGAACTGAAAACTGATCAATTTGAGAATGATGGCAAAAAAATGAAAAAAAGCTGATGCTGCTGCTAAAAAATATTTCTGGATAATTTTCCTGTCTCTCTTTTTTCCAAAAAGATTGATTATTCTATAATGTTGTTCCCTTGGTCCATATATTCTGATGAATGAATGAAACATATAAAAATATTGAAACCATATAAAACACTATTGCTAAACAGATTCGATCATCATTATTGAAAAATTTAATGGTAAATTTGAATTTTCTTCAACATTACCTTTATCTGATGTTGTTGTTGTTTTTTATTTGGATGTTTGAAAGTTTTCTTTTTTTTTCTTGGGGTAGAAATTATTCAAAAATTTAAATTATGATTGGGTGCAGGATGATGATGAAATTATTCAGTTTTTTTTTGAAGAAATCAAACAACAACAACAAAAAATGGATGCAAAAAAAAAACAATAAGGATGCGGCTTCAGATTTCATCACAAACAAACAAACAAAAAAAAAATCAGAAGAAAGTGAAAGATTTCATCATCATCATCAGACTTTGATGACAAGTGAAATAAAAAATTGGAGAAGAAAGTAGAAAACACCGATTTTTTTAAATGGTAAACATCATCGAATCTAAAAACAATAACAATAACAACAACAACGATGATTATGAACAGAAGAAATATGAACATCTAGCAGCAGCAGCAGCAGCAATCAAAATATATGTTTGTTGGATGTTTGGAATCTTTAATATTTATGATAGAAGGATACCAATGGCATCTTATGGGGCAATCCTCATCATCATCATCATTGCCATCATTGCCTATCATGATGATGATGATGATTATCATGGCGATGAAGCCAATGTTTTGAATGACATACATGTTTTGGTGTATGTGTGTGTGTTGAAGAAGAAGAAGAAGAGAATTGTTGATGGCCACCAAAAAAAGGAAAAATCCACGCCAACAACCACGCAACGACGACAATGATTATGACGAGTCTTTTTTTTTTACTCATTTCAATGACATACACGATATCGATGATGATGATAATCATCATTACATCTACCATGATTATTATTGAAAACTTTTCGCATAACATCACCTAATGATTTAATAAAATAATCTTTTCAAATTATTGAAAATTTAAAAATGATGATGACTAATAGCAGCAGCAGAAGAAGAAAAGTCAATCATTAAATTACATTGATTGATTGAAATTAAATTCTTTAGTAATGAAAATCTTTTATGCAAACATCGGATGATTATATGCAAACAAGGAAATTCCATTCTTTTCATTATTTAATGTCGAAAGTGGTAGATTTTTTTCTTCTTCTTCACCCGAACATGACATCATTGGGTTAGAAGAAAAAGATACAAATTTTTGAAAAAAATTTGTACAAAGTACAAGTAAAGGGGAATCGCCTTCTACACAGAAAAAAAAGTAAGGTTAGTACTAACCCGAATAGGTTAGTATTTTGGGTTATTACTAACCCAAAATGATTAGTACTAACCCATTTGGGTTATTAAAGGTTATTTTTGATTCCCAACCCAAATGGGTTAGTACTAACCCGTCTACTTTTTTTTCTGTGTATTTTTTTTTGTCTTGTAAATCTCGATGACGACAATCAATGATGATTTTGTGATGATTAAATTTTTTTTTTAAATCAATAATCTTGATTGACAAATATTTGGATTTCAATTTTTAATACTCTTATTGTTATCCTTTTTCAATTATTAAATCTAATTACAAAAAAAATCGAGATTAAAAAATTGATAAAAAATTTATTTGATTTTTAAAAGAAAAATTCAAACAACAAAATCAAGATTACAAACAAGGATTTTTCATACGTCATATCCGAACAGATAATGGATAAGATTCGAATGTTTTGAATTTTAATTTCGAATGATTACGTCATTCATTCGATTCGAATATTCGATTCATTCTTAACATTTTAACTAAATGACAATATTTTTTTTTATAAATTTTATTTGCTATTGATATGATCCAAATCGTAAATGGTTCTCGAAATGATTAATTCATTTATAATTTATATTCATTATATTTATTTACATATGTTTAAAGATGATAAATGAATGTTACTTTTATTCATTCAATCAATCAATCAATCAAGAAAAAGACATCCGAAACGTCATCACAATTATCGTATTGATCAAGAACAAAAAATGGAAAATTTTCTTTTCGCCTTGAACTGTAGTGAAAGTTTTTCATGATCATTATCAAGATAAAGGCCAGGTTTTTTTTGACTGTTTTGTTTGCATTTGTATACTTTATATTTATTCATATGATTGATGGCATAAGATAATCATAATTATTACCGGTATGATCTGGAAAAAAATGATAATGATAATGAATATCAGAATTTTGTTTTTTCCACTGTTTCATTTGTGAATCAATGAAATTCATCATTATCAATTAAAATTGAAGAAAGAAAAAAACATAATCTAAATAATGATGCGCCGTCTAGTATTCAGATTGTTAAATATCTTTGAAAAAATATCAGCTGAATGCATTTGAGAAGAAATTAAAAAAAATTAAAAAAAATGAAACATCTTCCTCGTGGTATTTGTCATAAATCGATCAAATGATGATGGAAAACATGTGTCATACGAATTAATCATCTGATGATGATGGATATTAATCTTTTCCTATTTTTTTTTTCATTTCATCATGAAAAACAATACAACCACACAAACACAAACAAACAAACATCACTATAGTAAAAGTAAAATGTGATACTTACGTTTCATTTTTTTTTCTCTCTCGTTTGTTTTGTTACAAACCAAGAATTTCAATCAATCAATCAATGATTGAATGATTGATTTTTTGTTGTTTTGTAAAAATAGATGCACGATTTAAATTACGAATTAAGAGAAACAAAAACAAAACAAAAATCATTTATAAATCACAATCCTCATCAACAGATGATCAATGCACACAAACAATTTCCAAAAATATCAATTTCTCATTTCGTTAACAAATTTTTTCTTCTTTTTTTTCTCAAAACAGAAACCAATGATGATGAAGAATTTGAATTCGTTAATTCGGGTAAGTCTGTTTTCAAATATTGTTTGTTGTTTGTTGTTGTTGTTGTTCTGTTTCAATCAATCAATATAAAATAATGTTTATTTTTATTTATTTATTTATTTTTTTCGTCTACAGTTTGATATATAGCCTGGGCGAAAGAGAGAGAGAGAGAGAGAGAGAGAAGTAATCAACACACACAACAAAATTTGTTGTGATGACAATCACTTTCACTTGGTTTTTTATTTGGAAATTTATATATCAAATGTCGATGCTTTTTTTTCTCATTTCTCACTATGATTGTAAAGCCAGAAAAAAAAATTGTTTTTGATTTCATTTCCAAAAAAAAAACAAGAAAAACATATACTCAACAAACAAACACCATTGATTTTATTATTTGTTAGGATTACCATTTGATGAAATCAATCGAGCATGCCATTGATTTCTTTTTCTTTTTTTTTCTTTTGCTAACTACCACTTTACATATACATCATTTTTTTATGTATCAAAAATCAAATATAGAGAAATCATTCATTCATTCAGTCAGTCAGTCAAAATAATTGAATAAGCATCACTCTCATTCATCCAACGAGAAAAAAACAGTTATTTTTTTTTGTGTGTGCCAAAAAGTTATATAAGCCAAATGATAATGATGATGATGTTTATTATAAGAAAAATTTTTTCTCATTTAGTTTTTCTTAATAAATTGTAATGTTGTTATAATGTTAATGATGAAAATCTTATATGTAACAACAACAACGATAACGACAACAACAAATATGTAACAATAATTAAACCTTTAGATAGATTGGAGGGATGAAATTTTTGTTTGGTTGGTTGGTTGGATTGATTGGTGATTATTATTATTTTTTTCTGGTTAAAAATGATAAATAGAAAAAAAGAGGCATAATGATGGGTATCCAAAATATATTTTGTTTTCTTTTTTCTTTTTTTTGATTTGATTATGTATTTTGGCTTTCAACAACAATACTGATATTGAAAATTATTGTAGGTGTTAATAGGATGGATGGATGGATGGATAGTTGGATGGGTGTGTTTGATGTAATAAAAATAATAAAAATTTTTACAGCTTTTTTTTTATTTTGGTTAACCCAAAAAAAAAAATATCATTAAAAAAATAGGAGAATGGAAAAAGGAAAAAGCCTTTTTTTTTTGGTTATTTCAATAAAATATCAAATCATATGATGATGATGATGATTACGTAGTGTTGTTGAATGATGAAATGAAATGAAATTGTCAAAATGAAATCCTTCCTTCCCCCCCAAAAAAACAAACATGTTAGTGCAGTATATTTTTTTTTAATTTTCCTGTTTGAAAAAAAAATTGTAACATTACCTTTGAACTTTCGGGAAAATTGTTGTTGTTGTTGAAATTGTTCGATCGAATGTTTTTTTTTGTTCCAGAATAATTATTAAAAGTAGTTAAACATGGGTGGCAATTCTTTTCGTTTGTTTAGTTTATTTTTATCTATTTTTTTTTTTTTTTTTTCTTTTTTTTTTTTTGATGATGATGATGATCCCGATTCTATGATGATATTTATAGCTTAAATTATAAAAATAGCATTTTATTTTCTGTTTTTACGGATCAAACAACAAGTAAATATTTGATCCATAATGAAACAAANATTATTAAAAGTAGTTAAACATGGGTGGCAATTCTTTTCGTTTGTTTAGTTTATTTTTATCTATTTTTTTTTTTTTTTTTTTTTTTTTTTTTTTTTTTTTTTTTTTGCTTTTGTTTTATATGATGATGATGATGATCCCGATTCTATGATGATATTTATAGCTTAAATAATAAAAATAGCTTTTTTTTTGTTTCTGTTTTTACGGATCAAACAACAAGTAAATATTTGATCCATAATGAAACAAACAAAAACAACACAGGAAAAGAAGAATTGGTGGAACAACAACAGAAACAACAAAAATTGTTATTGACATCATCATTTTTATGTCCTCATCACATTCGGTTATTATTATTTTTTTTGTTTTTTATTTATTAAATTAAATTTTCCAATCCACTAAATTAATATCATATTGACAATTACCATGACAATGTTTATGATGATTATGATGATCGAATTTCTCATTTTTTTTTGTTGTTCGGGCTGTTTCTACCAAAATAAACCGAATTAATAAAAATAGGATTAAAATAGAATCTGTTCTCGTTTTTTTTGTTTCGGTTACTCGGCAAATTCAGTTCTTGATCTTCATTGTTGTTGTTGTTATTGTTGCTGGTCATTTTTATTTAGAATTTTGATTATGATAATCGATAATTGACCAAATAATAATAATAATAAAAGGTTGCTATGTCGTCATTCGTTTGTTGTTGTTGTTTTTTCGTTGATTAATATTTGATTGTTTTGGATTAAGGTTTTTGTTTTGTTTTGTTTCCTATATCAATTTATATTGTTTTCAATTTCGTTTTGTTTTTTTCGAAAAAAAATTATTATTTTCTTCAATTGTCGTTATCAATTTAATTATGATTGGATTTTTATTTGTTATTTTAAAATTCAAAGTTCATGATTACGAATAAAACGATTTCCTTCCGAATGTTTACCAGTATAACGATGTTTAAGTTTTCCAAATCCACCTAAATTTTCAATTAAATGTTAAAATAGATTCGAATGTTTGTTTTTTTTTGTTTTGTAAATTACCTTTTGGTTGTCCATTATCCTGTGTGAATGGTAGTGGATTATTTTGTCTATCATCATCATTATTATCATTTTGTTCACGAAATTGAAACAAATGGCTACGTAATTTATTTGTTTCAACAAATGAATCCGAATTTAAACGTATTAAACGATAATATTGTCCACGTTTTTGTGCATCATTTCTTTCTGTACGGCGAATTTGTGTTGAATCAAGAAATTTTAACTGTGGCATTCGATGTATAACATAACTACGATAACGGCTATAATCTTTATCATCATGTTCCGAGCTAGATAGCTGATCAGGACATGCTGAATTACCTAACATACTTAGATATGTTAAATTTGGTAATTTTAATGTTATTTCATTTAAAAATCTTTCCAAATCTGTCAACTAAAATTATAATGATTAAATTAGATTTTATTCATTCAACAATAGCAACAATTACCTTATTCTTATTAATTGATAAACATTTCATAAATGGATTGTAAAAAAAACGTATCGAATCATTAAGAAGATTATTATCAAGAACTAATTCTTCAAGACAATTAAAATATTCAATACCAGCCAATGTTTGTAAACAATTATAACTTAGATCTAATTTTCTTACACGACTTGCATATTGTATGGTTAATGGTGATGGTATTTGCCATAAATTTTGATTAACTAATTTTATTGACTTTAATATTTTTTTTATATAAATAGGAAAACAATTAACATTGGAAAATTTCAATTATTTAAAAACAATAATTTTAAAAATCATCTAATCAATATTGTTAATACTTACCGCATCATACTCATCCCAAATAAGACCATTGATCTCTACATCATCATCATTATTATTATCGATTTGATTTGAAGAAGAATTATCCATACGACGAAATTTGGCTGCTTTCATTCCGGTTAATTCTTTCATTTCGGCTATTTTAGATCGATCAACAATTAATCGATTATCTTGAATTGATGATCCTTTTATGATCAATTTTGATGGTTCCATCATTTTCGCAATCGATTTTTCTCTTTCTTTTTGTCAAATTTTTTAAAAAGAAAAAGAAACAAAAAGGCGTAGAAATGTAATCCACTCAGCTGTATATCTTTGTTTTTTTTCAAAAATCCACTTGTTTATCATCGAGCATTGTGGTTTTTTTAAAGTCGCTCGTTTGCTCGCTTTATCAGTCAACCAATTTAGGGATGATAAAAAATGATTTTTGTCCTTAATGAAAAAGTTGATAATCAAATCGTCCATAAGATAAGATTAGGTTTAGTTTAAGATGATGATAACCCGGAAATTTTTTTTGAACTAAGTAAAACAAAGTGCTAAAATTGAAAAGAAATTTGATGTTTTTTTTTTCAAAAAAAAATATTTATTTTATTTTATCAAAATCAAACCAAACAAAAAAATCATTTCTTAATTGATCATGAATGTTTGATTTTGTACGGGTGTCATTATGGTTGTTGTTGGTAGAGGTGATGATGTCATTATTATTGTTTCAAATTTATGTAAATCTAAATCGGAAATATTTATATTATCCATTGTTATATTTAGAATTGATTGTTCATTATTATTATCATCCATAATAATAATCGATGATGATGATGATTCTGGTGATGATGATAATTTCGGTTCGATTGTATCGACAACAGTAATTGGTTTATCAATTTTACGAAAATTACTTCTTGCCATAAAATCATCAATAGTTTTTATATAACATGAACAACATGATGGAAAACGAAATGCATCCGGATATGTACGTTTTTCTGTTGGATGTAATGCTAATAAACGTTTATATGAATATTTTTGTTTACACATTGATGACATTCCCATTGGTAAACTATCCATATATGCACATGGTTTTCCCGGTCGTCTTTTTTTTTTGAAAAAATTGTAAACGGAAACAAAGAAATTATTTGATATTTTTTTTTCTTTGAAAGTTGAAATAAACTTACTGACAAATTTCGGCTACAACTGCCTGTGTATATTCGACTTCATTAACCACATAAATCCATTGATTTGCTTGATTTTTAGCCATTTTTGGATAAATAACTCTTGGTGTTTTTCCACAAACACTTTCATCATTTTCAACATCCATTATTGTACGGCCATCGATTTCTTTATTGCCAAAAATTTCGGCAAATTGATCAACAGAAAAATCCACTTCTTGTTTGATGATGCTTCTAGTTTTTTTTTTGAGAAAAATTCCCATTTTAGAAAAAATAATTCAATGAAAATTCACTTTACTTGGGATAATTATCAACATTTTCACAAAATGTATCATCAGGTGTTGTAAGACATGATGGCCGTCCGGTTTGTTCTAATTTTGGTAACAAAATATTTGGCCGTTGTGGTTTTAATTGAAAATTCAATTCAATTGGTATCGGTGTTGTTGTTGTTGTTGTAGTAGTTGTCGTCGTAGATTGATTATTCATTATTTCAATTGTCGATGCAGTTGAAATAGATAATTCAGCAAGCGGTAATTGTGTTATTTTTTTCTTATTTGATTTATATTTATTAATATTGATTAAACCGCCACCATTACCATTAATGGTATTGTTTGCAATCTGACCAAATAGAAAAAAATTATCAACAAAATTGATTTCTTAAATGAAAAATAAAATAAATACCGTATCGACAACTTGAATCTGTTTAATACTATAATCTTCGAAAAACATATCACGTCTTCGATCATTAAATTGTGCTATTGGATTTAATTGTTGTTGTTGTTGTTTATCATCGTTTGATGATGAATCACCTGACGATATAATCACATCAACATTTTGTTGTTGTTGTTGTTCATCATTAATTGTTGTTGATAAATTATGATTATCATCATTAATTAATGGATTTAATCTCACTGGTATAATAATTGTATAACAACATAATAACCAAATTATTATTTGATGAAATGATGATGATGATGATGATTGATATCGATTCGTCTGTTGAAATTCAAAATAAAATTAATTAAAATAAATCAAAATCATTGAAATAATTGATTGATTACCATTATTCGATTAAAATTTGCACAAGTTTTTTCTCGAAACAAACAAACAAAAAATATATTGGAAAAAAAGAAACTAATAATTTTTTTATGATAATAATAACATAATGAATGAATCAAAGTTGACTAAATGATTTTGTAAATGAATTTTTTTGTTACTTGATCAATTAATATTCAAATTTTCGATTTTGATTGATTGATCGATCGATCGATCGTATGACCAACGATTTGGAAGCTAATAAACGGAAGCGGAACAATGTAACACCAAGCAACAATTGATTGATTGATTGATTGAATGATCGATCGATCAAATGTGATTATTAATGATTTGATATTAACAATTGAAAATAAAACAATGTTTAGGATTCTATTAGGTTTGATGACCGTCATTCATCCGGCATTGCTATTATTATTATTGTTGTTGTTGTTGTTGTTGTTTGATGAATGTTTGATTAAATATTTCATTTTATTCAGCAACGATAGTCATATATTCATTTCGATGTATTTCCCTGGACAAGTGTGTGTGTGTATGTATACAAATAAATAATTGAGTCCAGTATAATCCAGATTTTTTTGTTTTGTTTCTTCAAGATAATTCAAGAATCTAGTCCACACCATCAACATTAATATAAACATACAAACACACACACTCTCAAACACCTGAACACATTGAACTGGTCGTTATCATTCGGTAGTCGATGATGGTTTGTCCTCATTAGGAGAAAAAAAAAACAAGAAGCAGAAGATTTTCTTATCATAAGATGTTGTGACAGCCAACTAAGCCAGCCAGTCAGCTATTCATTCATTCATTCATCATATCATCCGTAGTCGTTGATGTTTTTTTCATTACATTCAAATATGTTCATCGATTTGAAGGTCATTTTCATTCATATGAAAATTCTGGCCAACAAAAAAAAATTATCATTATTGTTGAATGAATGTTGCATCCAATTTCTTTTATCCCGCTGGCTGAAAAAAAACAACTAGCGGCAAACGGTAGCCAAATGGTTGGTTTTGGTTGATGCAATTATTTGACCAATTAATGAATGACGTCAATTGATTAATGATTGCAATATTTTTGTTTTTCGATTAAATGAAAAAAATATTAATGTTTTTTCCATTGCTGTTTTTGTTCATTATTTAACTCTTTAACTGAAAAACTGGAATAATTTTTGGGCTCTTTCAGTTATCCGTTGTTATAGAATGGTGAAACAAGATTATTATTCAATAATGGTAATCGTAATCGTAAATGATCATTATTATTATTATTATTTTGATTTAATAAATCAATTCTTGATTGTCGTAATGAAGAATTTCTACGATGATGAAATAATGGTGATATCATTGGTGAATGTTTTTGAATCGATGATGATGTTGATGATGATGATGATGAAACAGGAGAATCAAAATATAAGGATGTTGTTTTTGTTATGTTCGATGTTGTCAAACCATCAAAACCATTTGTAGCCAAACTTGCTAATTTACAAAAATTTTTGATTCAAATGATCAAAATTGAATAATTGAAATCAAAAATTTACCTTTACGACCAAATTCAGGTCGAATATAATCTGGATTTTCATTCATTATAACATATCCGGTTGGACATCTTGTATGTTTCGATATACTTAATGGTGGTAATGTAATCTGTTTACCCGGTGAACCAATATCACGACGTTGTGTTTCATTATTCAGAAATGATATTCTTTCAATACGTTTTGTATTGTTTTTGATCGATAATTTTGGCAAAGTTTTTTCTTTCATTTCACGATTACCATTACCATTATTATTATCTGATGAACGGATAGCAGCAGCAGTATTTTGTGTGGATCGTTGTGATGTTGATGGTGATTTTTCATATGTTCGACTAACACGATTTAAATTGGCATCACTGTAATTAAAAATGAAAAAATGATTCAATTTAGGGGTTTATTTTGTTTGGAACAAAGAACATACCGTTTTGTACGAAATTTCCATTGCCATAATTGTATTTCGGATAATAGATTTACAGGTATATCAGTAAAATCTTGACATTCTTCTTGATCGAATACAATTTTATCAATTTTATCCAATAATTTTTCCAAATATTTTTCATTTTGTTTATCTTCATTATTCTAGTTTTTTTGTCAATAAAATGATAATTTGAATTTTTTTTTTGAAACAAAACTTACCTCATCATCATCATCATCGTCGTCGTCGTCATCATCATCATCTTCATTGGAAAGATCATATGAATGATTCGAGCCAACATCAACATCAACAACATCATCCAATGTACAGGCACTTGAATTCATTGAATTTCTTTTCATAATAATTTGAGCCATCCAAAAATATAACAAAACAAAACAAAACAAATAGATTCGAATCAAATTAATTAATAAAACAACATATTCAATCGCTAAATATGCATTCTTGTAACAATTGAAAAGAAAAAATTATCATAATAATAAAAAAAAACGAAAATAATCAATATAACGGTCACTATGGTAATTTCTTTTTGTTGTTTTGTTTTGTTGTTTTTTTCGGTTATTTCAATATGTTCGTAAAAATAAATGACAAATTCGATCAATAGATGGCAGCAATTTGAGTGTTTACCAAAATAACTTCCTGCCGTTTTTATTCTTAAAAAATTTTTTAAATTAATAAGATTCTAATGGAAAAAATCCTATCTTAGTGACAAATAATGATTGTTGGTAGATCATCATCATCATGATATTGAAAAAACAAAATAGATAGTGGTCAACATCATATATTTATATAAGTTGTGACAAACAACAACAACAAAAAAAGAAAGAAAGAAATCTCGAAAAATTATCGATATAGAATGGGCTATATTGCGCCTGTCAACTCGCTCTGTGTATGTCAAAATAGAATCGAATGTTTGAGGACAAATTCTATTTGGATCTTCCTTTTTTCACAACATTCACAACATTCGATTCTATATATTCCGCTAATATATATTCAAAGTGTTGAACTTGAATTTTTTTTTTTGATTCTATCAACTTTAATTCTCTCTATCATTGTTATACCCTTCACATTTCCGTAATAGAATTTGTTTGTTTGTTTTTTTCATTCATTCATTCATCAATTTATCATGCTCAAATTCGTTTATATGAATTATATACTTTTATAGAATACGGTTTCTATATAATATTAAATTTCTAACGTAAACATGGCAAAAGAGAGCAAATAAAAAACAAAAAACGGAACAGATTCGGGACATATACAATAATACTAGTGTTTTTCAGCTAGTGTTTGTTTGTTTGTTTGTTTCATTCGTTGTTCTTATTTCTATTTAATTCACTACATCAATCGTCATCGATTTTTTTTATTTTTATATAATGATGATCGATTGCACTCAATTCTGATTCTGACTTCAGTCTGATACATCATCATCATCATCATTGATTCGAGTACAATCTAGACAAACACCAACAATAAAATAATTTTCTCTATCTCTCTCAAAATAAATCAAATATGAATAATTATAAACCAATAAAATCTAAATATGGCAATGATTGTAAGTGAAATTTTTTTTGAAAAAGTTGTTTTAATCGATTAATTGTTTGACAATAATTTTGATAATATTATAGTGTTTATCGATAGTTTTTTCTGGTAATAAATGAAGACAACTATCAATCAATTAGTTAAAGATCCCAATAAATATTATCGACGATATGAAGGCCAGGATACGACGAATATCGGCTTCGGTGGATACGGCATTAAGTCCAACATCTGATCAATCAGCCATACATCCAACAACAACAGCCGTTTCTATCCACACTGATTCAAATTTAACACCAGAATTCTCCTCCAATACATCTTCGTATGGATATAATACTAATCCTACTTCAAAGGTTTGTTTGAATGAGATTAAATTCAAAATTTATAAGAATTTTATATTTAAATGGAATTTTTTTTTCTTTTTGAATTCCATACATTCTATTTTTATGCATATAGAGCCTCGACATATGTGTACCGGAAAGCCGTATTGAACGGATGCGAAAATTATTAAGCTCACCATTATTGAAGCGTAAAAATGCTTCATCATCACAACATCAACACCCACATCATCATCATCATCACCACCATGTTTGTTCGAATCATCAACATTCGCCCACCACCAATACAGCAGTCACCAGCATTTCTAACAATCGACAACAACTGCCACAACCATCATCCTCTGCATCATCGTCACCATCTTCATCACCCGCATTAGGACAGAATATATCGATGAAAACATTTGGAGTATCATTGGAATCTTTATCTCATCATCAACATCCACATCATCAACAACAACAAAATTCACAACAACATTCGAATCATCATCATTGTATGGAAGAATATTATGTTCGTGATCCAGAACAAATTATTGTGCCACATCAAAAAGCGGCACATATTTTAGGGCAAGCTTGCCCCGGTTGTTTGACAAGTGCTCCAAGTAATAGTAGTAGCACAGGAAGTATAAATGATACAACAACAACAACAAGTAGTGGTCATTTTTCACCTCACGGTAATCCGGATGATATTCATTCATCATTATCATCGATTGCAGCTGCATCACCATCATCAGGTAATTCATCATCATCAACAACATCATCCACAGCTTCATCCACCGGTGGTGTTGGTGGTGGGAGCAGCGGAAATATACCTTGTCTCATACCGTTCATAGTAACAAGACTGTGTACTTACATTGAAAATTCTGGCGGTTTGGTACAGGAAGGCCTTTTCCGAATTAGCGGTAATGCTAAACTTGTGGATAAATTAAAACAATCATTCGATAATAATGGTGATGCACCGTTAGAAACGGATGGTGATCTAGCCGCTGCAGCTGCCCTTCTTAAACAATTCCTAAGAGAATTACCACAACCATTAATACCGAATGGATCACAATTTTTGGACGTTATACGTTGTATGTATTATTTTTTATAAATCGAATGGTTAATTAATTTAATCTTCAAACGAATAGCATTGAAGAATGATCATGAAACTTGTGTGCTTAGTCTTAAGGCACTTGTTTCGCAATTACCTGATGAAAATTATTATACTCTAAGATATTTAATACGATTCTTACATCGTATTGCTCAACGTAATGAAGAGAATCGAATGACGTCAATTAATTTAGGTAAGATTTAGCAATTTCGATTCTATTCCAATTAAATTTGTTAACAACAATTCTAATCCGTATAGGAATTGTATTCGCACCTAACATATTTCGTGTCTGTGTAGACACATATCAAGGTCTCAAAGATCAATCATCAGCTAATGAAGTAGTAAATTTATTAATTAGTGATTATTCTGAAATTTTCAATGAATCAAGTGATGTTGGTTGCCATAGCATTGAAGGGGCGGGTAGTTCGGGCGACCTTTCATATGGATCTGAATCGCAATGTCCATGTTCACAATGTCCAGACAATAGTGATCAACAACAAAGAGATGATTTTGAAAAAGAAGAACACCAACAAATGGAAGCAAATTCACAATCATCAGCCAATTTAGATGTCCCATATGGAGATCCAAATATCCAGGAAATACGTTTACAATTGGATAAGAAAAGAAAATCGTATCAAAGTAAAAATCATCACCATACAATTGATGATCGTTTTCATGATGATCAATCGTCTCAATCATTGGATTATGAAAATAATGATGATAACAACAATGATAATAATAATCAATCAATGAACACTGGTGATTATTATCATCCACGTCATCAACCACAGCGTTGTAATAGTGAAGAAATGTATGCAAAAAATGTTGACCAATCTATGGTCATTCGGTTAGGATTGAAAAAAGAAGATTTATATCGGAAAAGTTCTCATTCACATGATATAATTATAACGAATAGCAGTGACAGCGTATCCACAGATGATAATACAACCACAGCAACAAGTACTGGTCCAACGGTTCGTTCTATTATTATTGGCGTTGAACAAGTTGATATCTGCAATCAATCCGGTGGTGATATGACAGATATATCGGAAGATAATTTTGCCGGTGGGATTATCACTGGACAAACAATGCCTGATTATTCAAAATTATTGACCGTAGGTGAAGCCGGTGATGGTGCTAAAGGTGCTCGTAGTAGTAGCTGTGGTAGTGATTGTACGGAAAATGTCAATATACCCACAAGTCTTAGTTTTGCATCAGATGAGGATGAAGATTCATTACTGAAATCGATCGCAAGTGAATGCAGCGATGGTAATGATGATGAAGACAACACCAGTTCATCTAGTTCAAATGACAAAAATAATAATAATAATGGCAATGATAATGTTGCTGATGACCCACAAAAACTTGATTCTGATCAATTAGTTGATGAACAAAAAAATCAACAGGAATCAACCATTGATGAACAAAAACCATCCGTTGAAAATCAAAAACCAAAATCCGATGATCCAACAGAGACACAACCTCAAGAAAATGAGTCGAAATTATCAAATGATGAACAAGATAATCGCACAAATAAATCCCGAATTAGGCGATTACAATCGATACGAAAAAAATTAAAAAAATTTGAAATTGATTTCGAACAAGAAAATGGATATCAAGCTTCTTTAGAGCATAAAATGAGTTCATCTTTTGCACTACCATTGATGGTCGAATTAAATTCATTACTTCAAGCTGAAGACAACAAAGACAATCCGAAGCCTACTGAATCTATTGATAAAAAGGCAATCGATTCTGACGATTTTCGTAATACTGGTGTTCCGCCATCTGCATGGAAAAGTTCAGCAGCGACTTCATCTAATAGTAATTCGTATGTGTTCACCACTGAAGATATATTCAATACAATATTCGGTAGCCGTAAGGAAAAAAGCTTAGCACGTATTAGTGAAATGATGGCCGATATTGAACGTACTTTGAATGAAAAACGTATAATTGCTCAAAGGCCAGAGTCATTAGATGTAATGAATGGTGAACAGATTTTGGATGAAAAACTTGCCCTACAAAAAGCATTACTTCGTTTTGAAGCCCTGTGTGGTCGACCAAGCTCAAAAGCTGAACGAGATATTGTTCGACCCGTTTATGATAGGTATTCTCACTTATTCATTTATTTTTATTCACATCTTATGTTAATTTTTTGCTAATTTTTCTTGTTTAGATATCGATTAGTAAAAAGATATGCTAGTAAATTAAATCAAAAACAAACACCAAAATTAGATCAAAACACTGATCTACAACCAATTCTTGAGCATGTACAAATGAATTTCACATCGCCAACACATCAGAAAACTATAGATGCATTAGCAACAGCCATTGAATTCATAAAAAAGGATCATTACAGACAGGAATTACAATCTGATCTGGATCAATCATCTGCTATAGTTACTACCTGTGATACGACAAATAATTTATCTACATCATCAAAAGAGAAAAACTATCATATTATGTCATATTATGAGCTAATGACACATCTCAATGAATATCGACAACAAAAACGTAATCTTCGATCAGTTCTACGAACGTTTGAAAATGATTTCTATAAAAAAACTGGTCGTCCCGTTGAAAAAGAAGATCGGTCAAATATGAGTTCCGTTTATTCATCATACAAGGTATTTTTTGTAATTTATAATTAATTATTTATTAATTTTTTTCTATAATTTCCTTTAGACGATCAAAGGAAAAATTAAATTAATCGAAGCATTGATATCGAAAAAAATGCCTAAACAGTGAGACAAACAAACAATTTTAATTTTAAAAGATTATTTTACTCAATACATACACCAACACTAACTGATAAATCAAATTTCTAATCGATTCATTACATATAAATTTTTTGCTCTTGTTATTTTTGTTGATCATTATTGACCACTATGTCCAATTATTGATTTTTTTTGACTTTTCATTCCAAATGAAATCCATTCAATACACACACACACAGACACACACAAAAATTGCTTGATTGAAAACAAACTCAATATATTTAGGAACTGTGACCGTTCTCTGTCTTTCTTCACAGTATTTATTTTTTTACAAATACCAATTCAACCAAATCAACCGATTAATTGTGTGAACAAACAAACAACAAAAAATTTTATTTCCTCGTTATCTTATACAGTGTTTTATGATTGATTGTTACATGTTAAAATTCTTTATTTATTTATTATTGAACAATTTTTTTGAAATTCCAAAGAATAACGAATTATATCCACTTCTGTTACACTGACATTACCAAATAGAGATACTCATCATCAACACAAAAAAAATAACATGATCTCAATCTGAATTGAAATTGCTTTGATTGATACATTCAATACACAAACACACAAAAAAATCAAATAAGAATATTTTAAAAAAATTAAAATATAAATTTTTAAGAAAAAAAAACCAAAAATAATTGATTATAACAAAAAAATAAAAATAAAATAAAATAATTAGTTAATCGTTCTTTGGAATCTCTAACATTCGGCGGCTATATTAACGCCGATGTCGATAAAGATGACGATGATGATGATGACGAAGAAGATGACGATAATGATGATGATGTATAATGGGAATAATAGGTCGAACATTCGAATCTATTCGACATTCGATTTGAATGTTCATTAATTGAGGTATTTGTATTCATATGGCAATTATGATTAGGATAATTTGTTAAGATAATCGATTCCATTGTTTGATTTGAATTTTGATGTCCATTGATTGTATCTGCTGTATAATCTGATGATGATATAGATGATGATGGTTGAGCTGTCCAATGAATAGATGTCATAGGATGATGATCAGTTTGTTGATGATAATGTTGTTGTTGATGATTATGATGATCAAAATCAATTATTTGTGGCTGTAATACGTCAATCGGATGTAATGTTAATGGTGGTGGTGGTGGTTGTTGTTGCAATTGTGATTGTGGTATCGATTGACAATAATCATTTATTAAATGATTATGATGACAATTCATATCGGATACAATATGATGTTCATTACAATTTGTTTCTATTCAAACAAACAAAACAACAAAAATAAATAAATAAATAAAAGATAAGTAAACTTTTCTTTTCCTTACTCATTAATAATTGATCATTATTGATTAATTGATTGATTGATGGTAATAATTTTTCAACAACAAAATAAAATCATAAAAGAATGTTAGGTACCCATCAGATATGAATAGGAATTTACAACAACAACAAAAAATGTAAATTTATATTCATAGTAACTATACCATTACAAAGAAGATTATTCAATCAATTTTTTTTTTCATTAAAAAAAATGTCAACATCATTAGCATAATGGATAAAATTATTATTATTATCCAGATAATGATAACGACGAATTCTATTCATAAATGAATAATGGCTACAAATCGATTGTTCATCATGATGATCATCATGAAATTTTATCGAAAAAAAAACCAATTTTAGAAAATCTCATGTCGAGAAAAAAAATTTCAATTTTTCAACAAAAATAAATCTAGGCAAACATTGTGTGTGGCCCGATATACGTGATATTTTCTTGTCGGTCAAATATATAAACTAAATAAACATAATAATCATCGATCGAAATATCGATATCAAATTATTAATGTAATCATTATCTATCCATGTGAATTTTATATTTTTATGAAAAATATTTATCCAAAACACACAGATCAAATTTTGTATGGTTTATTAATCTCTCACGATTATTTTCGCTACATTATTCTTTTTTTAGAGCCATTCAATTTTATTTGATCATCTAATTTCTGTTTCATTCAAATAGATTTTTTTTTCGTTCATTTGTCACAACCAAGGATTTGTAAATCTTTCTAATTTTGTCTTGTGATTTCAGAATTTTTTTTGCAAACTACCATCTCTCTACGTTTCTGTTTCTGACTAATTGTGAGCCATTTATCATTGCCATTGATGATTATTGTCCTATGATTTATCTATATATCATTAATTTCAAAATGTATAATCATTTGGTAATGGCACGCGTTTAATAATTTAACAACAACAACAACAACAAAAAAAAGCAATGACAAAAACAGTGAAAAACAACAACGACGATTTATAATTGCTTCATTAGTCGAATCTATAGTGCAATCATTAATTCATTGGATAATTAGAACAGATTTGCTTTTTTTTATTTAAAAAAAATACATGAAAAAACAAACAAACAAACCAATCAATCAATTGAATGATTATCAATCGCCTAAATATAGTAACAAGATAAATGACTAATTTTATCAAATTCAATGTTGACCACTAAATGTTTATCACTGAATAACAACAACCAATTATACAAACATTATACAAACTTGATTCTTCTAATCGAAATAATTATCACTTTGAATTACAAACCTAAACAAAACAAAAAAAAGAGCTTTGATTTTTCAATCAAACAAACAGAATTAACGTAAATGATGCTAATTGGCTTGCATCTAATTTGTTCGCTCTCTAAATCGAATGTTAATGATTAATGCACACATTCGAATTATAATCATTTCTTGCTAATAATGACATCATCATCATTATCATCATTTAATGATAATGATAATGTTCACAATAGCAAAAAAAACTTTGTAAATAAATTAACAACAATAATTTTCTTTTGGAATACTAACCACATTGATGATTGATTGTTGTATAATGATCGATATTGTGATTGATTATTGGTGGAAGCTGTTGTTGTTGTTGTTGTTGTTGCTGCTGTAATGGTAATTGATGATGATGAATGGTATAATTATCTGTAGACATTGTCATGTTTTGATTATCATTAAAATTTTCTTGATCATTAGTATCCAATTCTTCTTTTTTCACCTTGATCACTTGTTGTTTATCATTAAGATTTTTATTTTGTTGTTTTCGATTCTTATTTGGTTGTTGTTGATTAATAATATTTAGACTATATTTACGACGTTTGCCCGATTGATTTTCCATTTTAATTTGTTTAATTAGATCATGATCAAGAAAATCAATCGAATTATTTACTATTGATTCATTTTGTGGTTTATAGATAAATGTTCGTGGTTCACTTGATTCACCATCACGTTGTCGAAATAATTGTAGATAAACATGTACAGGTTTTTTTATTTCCGAATTTCGATATGGTGGTGTACGAAAAACAATGGCCACTTGATGATGAACATCCGTTTCATTGAATTGTCCAAATGCTTCCCATTGTTGATTACCATCATTATCAATTTCAAAAAATCTTATACGAATTTCTTTTTTATTTACTTTTTCACAAAGTAAATAGATTTCATCACCACCGATTACAGATCCATAGAATTGATTTATACGTACAATTCTTAATTCACCAGAATCAGGTGATTCTAAACGTGAAAAGTATTTAAAATTTACCAACGAAAGAAGTGAAAATCAAATGAAATAAAAAATTTAATGGAAAAAGAGAATTTTGCTTACTTTGATTAGCTATTGGTTTTGAATAGACTGGTGGACATAATGATCGTAAAACAAATTGTTTTGTTTCACTATCCGGTTGTTGTTGTTGTTCGCATAACATAAAAGCTTCAAAACAAATTCGAACCGAATTTAGATTCATATCTTTTGATTCTTTTTCTGCTTCTAATTGAAAATGTTGTCGTAATTGTTGATCAACTTGATAAAATTGTTTCGATTCACCACCTGCACGACAATTCGATATTTGTAATGATTTACGTTTATAAAGAATTTCTTGCACTTCTTTTTTACCAATAAATAAAATGCCTAAATTCTGAAATCTGTTTATCAATAACAACAAAAAAATTGTATTCTTTTTCATCTAAAAACAAATATATATTCATAAAATAATTACATTGCTGTCATAGTATCCAAATTAACCGGTAATGTACAAAAACCATCAACACTACAATGTCGTCCCATTAATTTATGAACATGTAATTTTGGTTGTATTTCATTGGTAGCTAAACTTGCACGAATATAAACGGGATTTGAATGATGATAATTTTCAATCTGCCCAAGATAATCGTTGTTAGTTGAATTTTTTTTTTAAAGAAGGAAAAAGAATTTCAACAATTCGATGATGATAATATGTTTTTTTGGCAACTATTATGACCATTTTTGCTGATGTGTGTGTGCAAATGGTCAAATAAAATAAAATAATTACCTTTACGGTGGGATAAGTTTTACGTATTGGACAACTATTCACACCGTTTAGTCCACCGTGTGAACCTTTTTCACTACGATAACGATAACGTATACGATTGATTGGTTCTTCGATTATTTTCAGATGGACACCTTCTTCTTGTAGATCTGGGAATGTTGATAAAATCAAAATCAAAAATCGATTACAAATAATCATGGCCATTATCGATAGATGATCATGTGAACCATAAAATGGAAAACAAAACTTGAAAACTTACGTTTATTATCATCATGAATAACCGGTAATGTTTGTGGATGTAATGTATTAGCACCGATAATTACCATCATATTTGTTGGATATGTTTGATTTTGTAAATCATTTTTATTGGATAAAAATGTCCCATTATCCATTGTTTTTATTGTTTGTTCATCATCAATATTATGGCCATGATGCAAATGTTGTTGTCGATGTTGCTGTTGATGATATAATAGATCTGTTGTTGATGATGTTGATGATGAATTAGATGGTCGATTAAAATCAATATTTTCATTAACAATATTATTATAATCATTTGAAAAATCTGTAGAATAATCATTCAACGTTTTATTCGTTATAAATTGATTATCTAAATCCATTATTAACGGTATCATATCAATATCGGTATTCACTGTTGTTGTTGTTGTTTTCATCGTTTTTTTGATTTATTTTTTTCGAAAATCAATACCGAAATACAAAATCCATCGAAATAATATCTTAATTGATCAGCCTTTATCTCAATCAATCAACAACAAAAAAAAATCTTGATATTTTTCATCAATCGAATCTTTTTTTTTCATGGACAAGACAAGCCCACACAACCTATATGTTTGGAAGAGCCTGTTTTTTGCTTTTCTCCTTCGAATGGCGCCCTTCACATCGGTTTCTTTTTTTTCTTCAAATTTCTTATTCATCATTCAACAAACAAACAAAAAAAGGACAGGCTCCATCTTTTCATTTTTTTTCCACCACCACCACCATTATTATCATCATCATCATCGACAGTGAAAGAGATGAAATTTTTCTTCTGATGGCTCACGAAAACCTCCCATCAAATATATTTATGAAAAAAAGGGGCCGAACATCATGATTATCATTTATTGATTCGATGATGATGATCAATGATCAATGACATAAACAAATAACAACTGCAACGACATCAACAAAAACATTTCGCAGTTTGCTGAAATATGTATCGATAAAATTTTTTGTTGTTTTTTGATTTTGATTTTGCTATTTCAAAATATTTATAGGTCTGTTGGAAATGCAAATAAAAATGAAAGAAATGATTCGATTTTTTTAACCCTAAATTCAATCTGTTGACGAAGAATCTTCATATTCTTCATTGTAATAATTATTGATCATCAATTTGACCATCAGTTTGGTTATTGTTTGTAATCATCGATTGAAAACTATCTGGTTCCCATCAGACAGATTCACCATACATCGGAAAAAGCCGATGAAACATCTCAATTGAAAATGATGGAATTCAATTTGATAATTTGTTCGAATGAAAAAAAAAGAATAATGATGATGATCAATGATCGTTCATTCATTTATTCACACGATTTTTATCGTTGATGATGATGATCAGAATGACATACGATAATCAATCGTCAAAACCAACAAAAACAAACCAATTTTGATTTCTTCTTTCCATTGATTAACCATTGATGATGAGAATTGTTTGTTTTTCTTCGTTGTTTGTTTTACTGACCACGATTTTATCTGGAAAAAAATAAAAATGAATTTGATGATTTTTTTCTTAAAAAATCAATAAATGATTCCGATTGATTTGAAATAAATTTTGTTGAGATAATAATGATGGTCATTTACAATATTTCATTAGCAAATTCGATTCGAACGTTTCTGTTTTGACATTCTCATTTTTGAAAATTCATTGAACAAGGTTAGCCATTTTGATCATAATAATTTTTTTTTTGTTGGTCATCATTCATACACGTTTTTCATTCATTTTACAAGCGTCGTTTTTTTTGTCATTGTTTTGTTATCGTTTATGGTCAACAACAACAGTCACATAAACGCCAAAATATTTTTCAATGAATTCGAATTAAACCAACCATGTCCATCCTTTTCTTCATATCTTCCTTTTTTTTGCTGTTAGCCATTGTCATTTTGGATAATTATAAATTCAATTCCCGTATGTTTATTTTTTGTTTCTTCTTGCCATTATCATCAGGAAAAAAAAACAAGGTATTCAATTCTCTACCTGTTGCATTTTTGTTTTTGCATACAGAACTGAGTCATATAGTGAGAAAAATCTCTGCAATAAATTATTATTGAATCAATCCAAAACAACAACAAATTGTTTTCGACTGAAAAAAAATCACAAATCGATTGATAATCAAATATTGACATACATTATTAAACAACAACAAAAAATGAAAATTTTCAACGTAAAATTATTTTTGTTATGACCAATTTTGGATGCAAAAATAACGAAAAAGAAGAGAAAGCAAAAGAAAAACAAAACAAAACAAGCCAGCCAGCCACAAACATCGATTGTTCATTCAGGAAGTCCATCGATTGTTTTAGCATTCGATTCTCATTTTGTCTCCGTTCTTTTTTTCTCGTACGAATCGTTGATTTTCTCCATTTTGTGACAGTTTTTTTTCGCCAAAAAAAAACCCGCAAACGAAAAAAAATGTTCCAACAACATTTATCATGAAATAGCAGTGAAATGATTGATATTTTCAAATTTTTTCAAATGAAAATGTTTACATTTTTTGATTCTTCATTTCTTCTTCTATTATTATCAAGATTTTTATTATTAATGTTAATTATATTTTTGACCAATAATGATCAATTGATCAATTGTCAATCATCATCATCATCGTCGTCGTCGTCGTCGATGATTGAAATACAAACCGAATTAGGTTCGATATCTGGAATTCGAATTCGAACATATCTTAATAATCGAGCCATCGGTTTTATGGGCATTCCATATGCATTACCTCCAATCAGTAATCTACGTTTCAAGGTAAATTTTAATTAGCTTGTGAAATTTGAAAATTTTTCATAATTCATTACAAATTTAGAAACCTATACCATATCCAAAATGGTATCCAAAAACAATTATAGCTAATGGTTATAAACCATGTTGTCCACAATTAGATATCAATGGTCTACCACATGGTCAAGAAGACTGTCTCTATCTGAATGTATTTGTACCGTTGGCTAATATTCAACAGAATTCCATTGGTAGACGTTTTCCAGTTATGGTTTATATTCAAGGAGAATCATTTGAAAATGGTGATGCAGCTCTTTATGGTCCAGAACATTTACTGGATTGGGATGTTATTGTCGTTACTTTTAATTATCGTCTTGGTGTACTTGGATTTTTAAGCACTGGTGATGAACATGGTATTGGTAATTGGGGCCTTTATGATCAATTATTAGTATTACGATGGATTCATGATCATATTGAATCATTCGGTGGTGATCCAAATCAGGTTACATTATTTGGTCAAGGAGCTGGTGCATCATCGGCTATATTGCATCTGATTTCTCCATTGAGTACTGGACTATTTAATCGTGTAATTGCACAAAGTGGATCACCACTTTGTAGTTGGTCAATGGAATATAATCCGGCTAATGTTGCCATTGAATTGGGTCGTAAAATTGGCTGTCCAATTCGACGTGGCAATGCCGAATTAATCGAATGTTTACGACGTGTAAAATTGACCGTATTACTCAAAGAACAACAACAAGGAAAAATATTCGGCGAATATCCTCATCAATTCGTACCTGTTGTTGAAGAAGTAGGCATCGCTCATGAACGTCTTGTACCGAATGAACCACGACGATTAATAAGTCAAGGTCATTATCGACGTATCCCATTAATGATGGGATATAATAAAGATGAAACGTCATTTCTTTATTCACGTATGTATTCATTCTTATATGTTGGATACGATTTGTTAATTTTGTTTTTGAAAAAATTTTCATAGTCATACTAAACAAACAGATGATTGGTGATCAAGTTGGAAATCTACGAACATATTTAGAGGAAAAACTTTTGCCACGATTTATACGTGCTACCATTTTGTTGGGCGGTGGAAAAAATCCTGCCTATGAAATGATTGGAAATAATGCCTATAGGCTTAAAACAACAATCAAAAATTATGAACACGATATACAACAGAATATTTTGTTCAAATATTTCAATTTTCTTAATAGTAAAAATTATCCAGAAATGGCTTTGAGATTCGTAAATGTAAGTATAAACCGAAATGATGGATGATTGAAATTTTTCAATTGTTTCAATCTTTAAAGATGAGTACCGATGCTTTATATGGATCTTGTATTGATGAAACATTGCGATTATATTCGGCTGCTGCAACATCGTCTAATCAAAATCTTAATGCTATGAATCATTTCCTTTCATTACCATTCACAAATATCACTTATAAATATGTATTCGGTTATCGAGGACGTAATTCGATGTTAAATCTAATTTTACAGGATAATCATCGTCAGCAAATCGGCTATAATGATAAAGGATTAATGTGGTGGCCATCGAATAATAATCAAGAATTTGATCCAACATCCGTTGCCGTCTGTCATGGAGATGAATTATTTTATTTATTCAATTTAAAATTTTCAACACGTAAACCACAAGATAATCGTGATGCATTAGTTCAACGACGATTATTACTTCTGTGGACTGATTTTGCCAAACATGGGTATGTTCAATTTGAATGTTTTTTTGTTTGTTCCTGTTGTTTATTTTCGTCTATTTTGCTCTATCGTTCACACATTCATCTGCTAATTACCGGGTATTTTCCTTGTAGATTTGCCCCATTTATACCAAGTTTGGATACACCATTTTGGCCACCATATACGATACAAAGGCCAACTACCTATTTGATAGACGAAAAATTATCGCCTGTTGATTCATATCATGATTCGGCAACACATTTTTGGATACGTTATTTACCATCAATTAGTTCATCATCGATTTCATCGGCATCAATCATTGATCGTTCAAAAACAAATTCAAAATGGCATCCATCTGATAAAAATAATAATAATGGTCGTAGTCTACAATCGGATAGCAATAGTATTAGTACAATGACAAAACTACGAACATTTGCATGGTCGATGCTTGCTTTATCATTAATATTATTCATTTTAATTATCATTCTAATGTTATTGTTATTTCATCAACGACGACGGCAATCATTTTCGGCTGAAACATCTCATGTGTATAATTGTGGACAAACATCGGCTAAAACATTAGCACATGTTCTTGCATCACGTCGTGCATCATTATCATCGGGAATGTATTGAAATTTTTTTTTTATAATTGTTCAAATAAATTCATTTCTGTACAAAATAAATTCATGATAATTTTCTCTAAAATAAAACTTGACCATAATGATAATAGATGACGACACCTATCTAAATATCATTCAGCCAGGTGGAATCGATTCGAACACATTACAATTATCAATGTCCATGAACCGGTCGACCGTGGATTGATTGGATGAATGGGTCGCATCGCAACCAAATAAACACAGACTATATTCCTCATTCATTTTGAACATTCAAAACAAAACAAAAACAAAGCTTTTATTTAAAGTTGATGTCATCAATATAAATTTATTCGGATTTTTATTTAATCATTATTCATTATAAAGTATTGAAAATTCTGTGATAAAATGGCATCGAACAAAGGTAAACGTTTATGGCTGGCATATTTATTTCTATTATTCGGTGGTTTTTTTGGTCTACATCAATTCTATCTTGGTCGTTATCGACATGCATTTGCATTATGTGCATCATTTGGTGGTTATTTTGGCATTGGTCTCATACGAGAATTATGGCGTTTACCGGAATATATTGCCGAAGTTAATCGTGATCCTGATTATCTAGCTAAATTAATTGAAAAAATGCGACATAAATCAAAACCATCGTTTGGAATTGTTAGATATTTTGCCAGTATTGTTGTTGCTGATATACTTGGTTATTTGGTCATGGGTGCCATACCACATGAATGGTTTAGTGTGGACGGTTCAAACGATAATATAATATCTCGATTATTGAATTCAATTCTAGTACCAGCAGCTGTTGCTATTGGCGTACATACTGTCGGTAATGTTGGCCATTATTGTGGAAGTATTCGATTTCCATTAATGGCTGCCTACATAACTGCACCACTATATTTGTTCAATTTAAATCCAGTATTTATCACTTCATTATTTGCTACGTTAACATTTACACGATATTCATTGCAATGGCGTCGTACACCTCAAAAATCGACAAGTAAATGGCTAGTTGCTTTAGCTATGTTTGCATATCTACTATTATGGATATCATGGTTTTATTTTAATTGTACGGTTACGGATAAAAATGATGAAATCATTAAATGTCGTGTGGCTGTTCGTAATTTTTTCAATAGTCCAGCATGGTTAGAATTTCGTATGGTTGTTCGAAATTTATGGGATTTTATTCTAACTAAAGGTATAAGTGGATTATGGAATGAAATTGTTGAAGCACTTGATCCACAAGGTGAAAAAAATGCCTTACGAATACTTGGCCTAAATGAAACATCAACACAGGATGATATTACAGCTATGTATAGAAAATTAGCACGTCAATGGCATCCGGATAAAAATCGTATTGATGGTGATGAACGAATAGCACAAGAAAAATTTATGGCCATACAAGAAGCATATAATCTTCTATCAAGTATGCGACAGAAAAGATTTAGAAAACAATCTACCTGAAACACAAAATCAACTATATATTGATAAATAATTTTAATTTATTGAATTTTAATATATTTAATTAAAAAAAATCATTGTAAAAAAAATAAAGAAAATTTATTTTCAAATTGTTTCCAGATAATCCAATAATTGATGTAAATATTCATTACTACCTAAACGATTAACTTCTTCACGTGCTTTTTCACTTAAATTTTTCATTGTAGCCATTGTATATTCAAACGAACCGAAAGTCTCCAATTTTGCAACAGCAAATTTTTTCAATTCAACATTTGTCGTACGTTTTCGTAGAATGTCTATAAAATGCAAAATAGTTAAGAAATATGCCTTACCAATAATGAATGGATACTCACTGATTAATGTTTTATCGTTTGGATTGGAAAGTATGCCGTGTATAATGGGAAATGAAAATTTTCCTTCAGTCAAATCTTCACAGTAACTTTTGTTTTCTTCATACTAAAAATATAATTGTTTTTCAATTTAGTCTCAACTTAAGAAATTCTTAATACTTACAGTGGCTGATTTAAGATTAGCATAATCATCACGAATTTGAAAATATTTTCCTAATAATGTAATCAAGTAGCCAAAATCACGTTGATCGGCACTAAATAATTGCATCAATTTAACACCAAGACTAAATAAGGCACCGGTTTTTCGTTCAATCATGGCAATATATTGTTCTTCAGTTGGACAAGTAAATGAATCACGCCAATAAATGTCCATTCCCTGTCCACGATGTAACTCAAGTAATTGTTCAGTAAAAATAGTAATAGCTTGTGGCATTTTATCTTGTGGAAATTCTTTAATCAATTTATCGGCACTAAGAAAATAAACATAATTGGCTGAATTAATTGTTGATGCAACACCGAATATATTGTGCGCTACAGGTATTCCACGTCGTAATGTTGCATTATCTTCAATATCATCAATCCTGTTGAAAAAAAGGTTATAATAATTATAATCGAGTTCAATTTGAAAGAAAAACTTACAATAAACTTGAATTGTGAAGCATTTCGATAATACTGTTGATAATTTTTAATTTATCATCAGGAATCTGTAACCAATGATTAAAAGCCTAAAAAAAAGATGATGATAAAAAAGAATATCATTCAAATAACACTCACTCTCAAATACCTGAATAAGTTTGGTTCGAATTTTTTTGCCACTACATTGCATAATATAATGATATGGTTCAAGAAGCTGGACAAAGAAAAAAATTTGTTAATTTTGAAAAAAAATTATCATTATTATTATAAAGTCTGTTTAGTTTTCAAAAAAAAGAATAAATTTCGACCAACCTTGTTCTCATCATCGATAGAATTTTTGGGTTTATTCATTTTATCGAATCTTGAGATCAGTTTCTGAAAAATCAATCAAATTTTAAAATTTAATTTTTAATTTTTAAAAAATATAAATTCTGTCAAAAAAAAACTCCTGTGAATAAATTGGACCGGCTATAACAAATTTAGTTGAAATAGTCATGAAAAAATGGATCAAAATAGTTGATGTTTGTGTTGTTGACGTGTTGGTCATATACACACATTATATTTACCGTAATTACATAATTAAAAACTTTCTGATTCAAGTTATAATTGATCGAATGGATTAACCGTATTTTAAGTTTGATTGAAATTAACTTTTTTGTTCTCTTCCAACTAATACTTTTATTGAAAATTATTTGATTTTTTTTGAAAAAGTTAAATAATAAGTTTGTTTCTTTCTGGAAATTTGTGGTTGTGATTATTATCTTCATCAATAATAATGGAATATATTAAAAGTGGATGGAAAACCGTGGTAGGCGTACCATCTAATTCTGTTCTTGATGATCAGCCCAATGTTGCTGAAACGGTATAATCATGATATTTTTTTTAATTTGAATTTTAATTGACTATTGAATCCAAATTCAGGTGGAACGATTGGTCGAACGTGTTGAAACATCTACGCTTCTTGAAGATCGTCGTGATGCATGTCGTGCACTGAAATCATTGTCCAAAACTTATCGTTTAGAAGTTGGAGCCAAAGCTATGGATGCTTTATTGTTTGTTCTACAAAATGATTCAAATGATATTGATATCGTTGCATTTTCATTGGAAACATTAATCAATATAATTGGCAATGAAGAAGATAATATTCATTCATCTGATTCACCTACAAATAGTCAAGATTTAAGCACTCAATTTACTGAAATATTTATCAAACGAAAAGAAAATGTTCAATTAGTATTGGATTTATTAGGTGAATTTGATTTTAAAATTCGTTGGCCAACAATCAAATTATTATATAGTTTATTAAGAAATAAACTTCGTGAATGTCAAGATTGTATTCTTACACATCCTATGGGTATATCACGTATGATGGATCTTTTATCCGATCCACGTGAAGTAATACGTAATGATGCACTATTATTATTGGTTGATTTGACTAAAAATAACACGAATATACAGAAAATTGTTGCATTTGAAAATGCATTCGATCGGATATTAGATATCATCACATCTGAAGGTTATAGTGATGGTGGCATAATTGTCGAAGATTGTCTTTCAATTTTGTTGAATCTATTGAAAACGAATACTTCTAATCAAAATTTTTTCAAAGAAGGAAGCTACATTAATCGTTTATTACCATTTTTTGATTTTTCATTCGACACTAATTGGAATACACAAAAAATTAATAATCTATTGCTCATGTTCAAAGTGATTCGTTCATTAGTGTCGCCTAAAAATCCTCAACAAGTTACAAGTTCCTGTCAAAAAGTAATGAATCAAAATGAAGTATTGCAGAAATTATGCGCCATACTTATGTCCAATGGTATTCCAGCCGAAATTCTTACCGAGGTATATTACCTTTATTTTATAATTTGAAATCAAAAAATTTATTTTGATTTTTACACGATAGACAATCAATTGTGTTGCTGAAGTAATCCGTGGCAATCAACAGAATCAGGATTATTTTAGCCGTGTAAATGCACCGATTGAACCACCTAAACCGGTGATTGTTATTTTATTGATGTCGATGATCAATGAAAAACAACCATTCGAATTACGATGTGCTGTTCTTTATTGTTTTCAATGTTTTCTGTATAAAAATGATCTTGGCCAGGCACAGATTGTCGAAACATTATTGCCCACTACATCGGAAAGTATGTTGAAATGTTTGCCGATTTGATAGAATTTAATAATTTTTTTTTGTGTAGTAACGAATTTTGATGTTTCTGCTGGACAATTATTATGCAGTGGATTTTTTAGCTATGATCATTTATCAAATTGGTTTGTTGCCATTTCTCTTTCATATGCATTATTGGATAATGTAACACAAAAAGAACAACTGCTTCGTGTTCAATTAGCTACCGATCAGAATAGTCCACCAACATCATTATTAGCATATTGTTCAAGCTTATTACAACAAGGTGGACATTATCAGCGACGTGTTAGCCTTTTGATGTTGTTATCCACTTGGCTTGCCAATTCATCCGTTGCTGTTGCGAATTTTGTCTCAATATCTACCAATGTGCCATATCTAACATCACAAGTTGGCCTAATCGAATCCGATGATGTTGAACTTATTGTTCAAAGTTTATGTGCCTTTCTATTGGGAATTTGTTTATGCTATAATGATAATTCGGTGCCCAGTTTCACCAAGTAAGTCAGAGCAACTTATTTTATTGATATGAGAAAAAAAATTTAATGTAAATTTAATTTAGGGATAACCTTTGTCAATTAATAACTAATCGAATCGGACGAGAAATATTTATTGATAAATTATCATTAATATCGAAAAATGAAAAATTCAGTCAAGCCATTCAGAAACCACAGATAGCCTATCAAAAAGCATCAGACGTATTGTTTGATTATGAATTTTGTAATCTATTTCGGAAGCAAGAACCTGTTATATTAAATATTATACAACCAAACACAAATGATTCGAATCAAAATCCTGAATCAACATTATCAAATGATGATCATAAATTATCGATTAAATATAAAGAATTAATTCGACAACAAGATGAACAATTAACATCGTTAAAGAAACAGTCATTGGAATTAAAAGCAGAAAATGAATTTCTTAAACAACAATTGAATGAACAACATTCCATTATACAACAATTACGTGATCAATTAGCATTGCTCAAAGCACAAAGAACAATGTATGATCCAATGGCTGCAGTAACATCATCAACATCTTTACAATATCCTAGTCCAATCGTTAGTAGCGCCGAAATTTCATCAACATCATTTGCATCGAATGTTGCTATTAGTGGTAGTAATGCAACGAACAGTAGTAATCAGGCATTTAATAATCAACAAAATAATGATAGCTATAGCAATCAGGCCACTATCGGCATCACTGAATCGGGTTATCTTTCCGGTCAAACAAATTATTCACAATTCAATAATAATGATGATAATAATTATCAATCTAGTAATGATAATGTTCATCATCAAATGGCAAATTTACATATTGAATCGGGCTCGAATGAAAATGCAGGTACATCAATCAATCCTGTTGATAATCAACAGATTGATTATTTGATGAATGAAAATAGACGATTATTATCAATAATTGATCAATATAAATGCTGGGAACAAAATTATTATGCTTATTATAATCATCAACAACAACAACAGGCTATTTCATCCGAATCATTATCCACACAGGTAAATGTGTCGGACAGTGATATATCACGTCATGTATCTGAAGCGGATCGTCCACCAACAACAACTAATGAATTGTCAGATAATAATGTACATATAGTTGAATTAGATAAATTACGTACCGAATTGGAATCAATAAGAAAAGAACAAGAAGCTCTAATATCATTACTCGGTGATCAGAATTTGAAATTGCAATATTATGAAAAAGAATTCCAAAATAGAGGCTTAGAATCGGTATGTAAAATTAATCGATATTAATATATTCAAATGATTGACGAAAATTTTTTTTCTCATATAAAGGTTTTAAATGACAAAGCTACCAACGATAATAAATCTTTGGAATCGAATCAAATTCAAAAACAACCATCGTCTAATACATTAGAGTCAACGAATCTAAATTATCAACAATCTATTATGCAACCAGTATATGAAAATATGATGAATGAATTGAAAATACCATCATCATCATCATCGTTACCAACAACAAATTCATCAAATATGATTAATGAAAAACCTGTATCAACAACAACAACATCGATCGCAGTTGTAACCGCTACATCATCATCATCATCATCAATGAATGATAATCCAATTCAACAGAATTTACAAACATCGAATGCTGCTCCTGCGCCTACCATAAGTCTGTTACCGATGCAGGAAAATCATTATTCGTTGTATAGCCATCCACCACAATATCATCATTATATGCATCATCAACAACAACAACAAATGAATCAATATCCACTAATTAATTCTACACCGGCAATAACAACTGCTACGGTAACAGTATCCACTCAACAACAACAACAACAATCGCAATTATATCAACATTCAAATCCGGAAATGCATTCTTAATCTATTATTTCTTTGCAATTTTCTTTTATTTATTATGGTGAATCGAAGAAAAAAATTGGAATTTTTTTTTAAAATATTTAAATTTTATAGCAGATTCTGATTTTTTTTTCTTTCCCTTTAAATTTATTTGAAAAATTATTTTTTAAAAATAAAAAAATTGTTTTCTATCTAATGTTTTTATTTTTTGGTTTAAAAATTGAATTTTTATGTTCAAAAAAAAAATTTAAACGTGCGCACGCACGCAATCATTTCATATTTGAAAGATAATGATGATAATGATCCGATGATGATGATAATGGTAAATGTCAGAAACAAAAGTAAAACCCAACCTAGCAAACACACACAATATGTATTAGATTTGTTTTTGTCTTTTCAAATAGAATTTATTTAATTCATTTTTTTTTCTCAGTATCGACTTGGATGGCAAACCATTTTTTTACTTGATTGATGTTATTAAGGTACTTAAGAGAAGAAGAAAAAAAAAATATGAGAGAGAACGAAAAAGTGAAAACAAAACACAAAAAATCATTACAGCCTTGAATTCTTTCTTCTATAGAATCTATATAATATAAATGGTTTTTTTGGAAACTTTTTACTATCTCCATCTTTTTTTTTGTTGATCATTCATATCCATATAATATGAATGTATTTTGAATTTCAGAAAGAAAGAAACAATGATGGAAAAATACAAACAACTAACTATAGTGATAATAACGCGCGGATGTGATCGCGCATATGTCAAATAATTTATTGAATTTGAGGTTGGAACATGAGACAAGAATTTTCTTCAAATGAACGATCAATTTTTTTTCTGTTGAGTGTAGAATATAAGTCTGTAAGTGAATCTTTCTAAGTCTTGATGGTATATATAGAACAATTTTAGCTTGATGAGCCATATATAGATAGATGGTAGTTTAGGTACGAACTTGAAATAAAAAATTTTCTATAGAAAAAACGAATGGTAATCTCCTCATTGAGTTCCAAAAAAAATGAAAATGATAATAAAATAGATGGATGAAATGAATGCCATCAGATCGATTGGTGATTTGTTTGTGTCACTGTCGAATCATAATTTCTGTGTTGCTGTTGTTGTATTATCTTTTTAGTTTTTTCTTCATTTTTTTTTGTTATTCGGAATATTTTTCTTATTTGGTTTCAATTGAAAATTGTTTTTCTTTTAATTTCCAATTTAGTTCGGTTGTTTCAAACATTTTTCAATTTGCCTTGTTGTTTTGGCTTTTCCAACAAATATTCAAATCTGGTTGTGTATTTCCGAAAAAAAATTTCTTTCTTTCTTTCTTCATTTTCTCATTGTTACTTCAAGTTTATTCAAGTTTTTTTCTTCATTTCCGATTTTTTTAAATTGAAAAATCAATTTGTTGTGAATTTGGTGTGTGTGGATATAGAAATTTTTAGCTAGAATCACAACAAATAACATGGCCTATTACAATCATAATGATCATCATCAACAACGACAACAAAATCATAATCGGCTTTGGTCGATTATCAATCTATATGATATTTGCCAATCGTCAACTTGATAACCGATGTTATTATGATGAAATAATCAACATTAGTAATTAAAAAAATCAGAATTTTGTCAACATTTAAAATTTCATGAAAATCAAGGTTGTGATTACAATTCCATTCAGCATTGAATTTCAAGATAAGCTTATTCATTATTCATTATTTTCTTTCATTCATTCGAATATTATATTATTGTATCATTATTCAATTTTGGAAACAAATCATAATGATAATTTTACATTGAAACAACTAAAAGTCAGACATCATAAAATTCTGATTAAATTTACAACAACGATAATAATAACATTACATGATCAAATTAATTAAAAGTCGTACGCGCAATTTCCCATCGAAAAGAACCAGTCTTCGTTGGGGTGATTGTTGTCGTTATTATTATTGTCATCATTAATATTTTTTCAATCATTGATATCATATTCCACAAGACAATCTGTCAATCAATCAATATTCGGAATTTTAATTTATTTATTTTTTTCATTCATACTGGTTCTAAAGTCAACAATTCAATCCTTCAATTCATTATTATTGAAAACAATCAACCAACAAATCCAATCAAACATGACTGTCAATATTGCGGGCATTTTTTCGGTAGTCATATTCTATATTATTATTTTGATTGTCGGTATTTGGGCTGGACGTAAGAAAAAAACTGATGGTGAAGGTGATGAATTTGAAACCGAAGAGGTTATGCTGGCAGGCCGTAATATAGGAGTATTTGTTGGTATTTTTACCATGACAGGTACATTGATTAAACTTTTTTAAAACATTGATGATTGGAATTTCTAATTTTCTAATTTTTAGCAACCTGGGTTGGCGGTGGCTATATCAATGGAACGGCCGAAGCATTGTATAGTTCCGGTATCATTTGGTGTCAGGCACCAGTTGGTTATGCAATGAGTTTAGTTGTTGGTGGTTTCTTTTTTGCAACAAAAATGCGTGAACAAGGCTATGTAACAATGTTGGATCCATTTCAAGAGGTTCTTGGTTCACGTATGGGTGGTCTATTATTCTTGCCTGCATTATGTGGTGAGATTTTCTGGTCAGCAGCCATATTGGCTGCATTGGGTGCTACAGTCAGCGTTATTATCGATATTGATAATAATACATCGATCATATTATCGGCAGCCATTGCTTTGATCTATACATTGTTCGGAGGATTATATTCGGTTGCCTATACCGATGTCATACAATTATTTTGTATATTCATTGGCCTGGTATTTATCATATTTTGTTTGCAATTTATATTCATTATTTATTCAATTTTTTTCCATTTTAATCAATATAGTGGCTTTGTATACCATTCAGTATTGCACATCCAGCTGTCAAAAGTATGTCAACAGAACATAATGATTGGTTTGGTATCCTGCATGGTTATCAATTTGCCCAATATATGGATCTATTCTTGTTGTTAATATTGGGTGGTGTACCATGGCAAGTTTATTTTCAAAGAGTTTTATCATCAAAATCCGGTGCAAAAGCACAACTTCTATCTTATGTAGCTGCATTCGGCTGCGTTATAATGGCTATACCGCCAATTATTATTGGAGCTGTTGCTCGTGTTACAGGTTCGTTCATTTTCTGATCTTCAAAAATTCTTTATGACGATTCCTCGTTGATTTTTTTTCCATTACCAAACAGCATGGAATGAAACTGATTTCAAAGGGCCAGTTCCATTAGATAAAGATCATCAATCACTGGTTTTACCATTAGTATTACAGTATTTAACACCGCCATTTATATCATTTTTTGGTTTGGGAGCAGTTAGTGCCGCTGTTATGTCATCATCTGATTCATCATTATTGAGTGCCAGTTCAATGTTTGCTCGTAATATTTATAAATTAATGATTCGACAAAATGTATGAAATGAATTTTCATTTAAATTATATTCAATAATTATCAATCATTTTTTTATTAAAAATTCATAGGCATCCGAACATGAAGTAATATTCGTAATGAAAATATCAATTATTGTGGTTGGTTGTGTAGCCACCACAATGGCCATTACAGTTAAATCAATCTATGGACTGTGGTATCTTTCATCCGGTATGTTGCAAAAAAATATAAAGATTTTAACTGATTGTTTTCAAAAAATTTTTTTTTCATATCAGATTTAGTCTATGTAATTCTGTTTCCACAATTAGTCTGTGTAGTTCATTATAAAGAATATTGTAATACTTATGGTTCATTAGCTGCTTATATAGTTGGATTTTTGCTTAGGGCACTTGGCGGTGAGGATATCCTAAATCTACCACCATTTATTAAATATCCATGGTATGATGAAATTGATGGTCAGTTATTTCCATTTCGAACATTTGCAATGTTATCAAGTTTAATCACATTGCTCTCTGTTTCGTCATTATCCAAACGTATATTCGAATCCGGTTGGTTACCACCGGAATTTGATATTTTTCATTGTGTCATCAATATACCGGATGATGTACATGTTGTCCATGAGCCACATGAAGAAATGACCGTATTGAGTGCATCACAAGTATTTTATTATCAAACATCTGAAATGAATGGTCGTGTTAATCAAGCTTTGGATACTGGTGAAGATGATCCGACTGGTAATAATAATAATAATAATAATATCAGTGGTGGTAATAGTAGTGAAAAATTATTGAATAAAACAACAATCAATCAATCAACAAAACCATTGGCCGAAGAACGATTGATACGTGAACGTAAATCGATTACTTCATCTATTGATTATGATAAGCCACCAAAATTATCGAATCAAGTGATGGAATCATTTCGACGACAACATTCAATTAGCTGTTCAAATGAAGCAAAACAAATGCCCAATATGGAATCGATTAATTCGGGTCAGGTTGTTATTACTAAACTTTAAAAAAAAAATTTAATCATTCATCATCAATTGTCCACACACAACAAATTAAACAATCACACAATCAACAATCAAATCAGAGTTTGAAGTTTTATGTTCAACCAGAATAATTAATCGAAATCGTCAATGCAAAACAAAAAAAAAAACTGTTTTAAGTTTTATTTTTTTATATGATTCACATTTCAAAAACCAATACATCTACATATCTATCGATATTATTTACAAGAGAATTTTTTTTTCCATTGCTCCCCAGTGATATTTATCGAGGTTGTGAACAAAATGAAATCGAATCATTCTATAATTTTCATATAGATTTATATAGCCATTCATACACGAAAATCACACTACACAAATCTTCACTTTTCGGGTCTACTTTGTTATTAGCCATATTAATAATGTCCACAATATGGCCCGGAAAGTTTGTTTCGACGACGACGACGATCATCTTAGTACCATCGAATACTTAATCTCCCCACCACACACACACACACACACAATCATATCATAAAAATCATTCTTGATTTAAATCAAATAGAATTTAGACGTAAAAAAAATTTATTTTTCAATTTTTATTAATTCGATAACAATGGTTGTGATTGAGAATTGATCTTCATTTATTCATTCATTCATTTAAATTTGTTGCTTATTCTTTTTCAAAAGTGAAAAAACAAAAACAAAACATTAATTATATCAATCAATCATCTAATTGTATTACTTTTGATCATATATAAAACATTATGTTGAAACAAAGGTTGTGAAATTTTCTCCTGTTTTTTTTCCTTTTTCTCATTTTGGGCTAAATTACCTGATTTATTCTAAAAACAATCATTCCGCCCCTGTACTTTTGGTGAATTTGAATCGATTTTTCTTTTTTTTTGGATGTCAAAATCAACAAATCAATATGGTTATTATCATTAAAAATTTTAGTCACGTTTTTTTTTCTTTGCCATTATTGTTTTCAATACATTAATAATCTAATAATGTTTTCAAAAAGAAGAAATTGTATCGGAATTGACAACAACAACAATCGATTATTAATTATATTACAAAAAAAAATTTGAAGCTTTAAAATCTTAAATAAAATCTTAAATAAAATTTAATAATCTTTTCCGAAAGTAAAAACTAAATCAAAGACGATTCTATTTTTTGATTCTTTAATTCTCTTCAAAATGATATTTTTAATCATTTTCAATATTAAATATATGATACATTTCAGAACTCATTTATATAAAAAAAAACTATATTAAAAACGTAATTGTAAAACTTGTACAGTAAAGTGTATATATGTTTGTGTGTGATGTTTTCATCATTGTTATTTGGTTGCACAATTTTTTTTATTATTTTGGTTTCGTTCAAGTTTCATTATGATGAAAAAAAAATGTTAGTGTGAATCAATCAATTGTATATTGTATGTGTTCACTATTGGCTCATTTCGAAAAAAAAGTACGAAGAAAAAAATTTTCAAAAAAAAATTCAACTAAATTATTGTGTTTGTAGTGGAAAAAAATAATAATAATAAAATTTGATTGAGAATTCATTTGCTATTGATAGATCGATCGATCGACTTTGTTGAGAACAAAATCGATCATCAATTTCGAGCGTTTCAAGAGGAATGTCAATCATGTCATCACATATTATATGCAACATAGATTGGATCTAATTGATCGGCTAAAAATCCATCTCTTAGATGCATTCGTTGTTTTTCACCACGTGAATTGATTGGTACAACACCTGGATCGACGACCACAACAACACCAACAATTAAATGATGTTCTTCCAATATAACATTCGTAACCATTGGTACCAAATCTAATGCTTCATTTTCGTTACCATCCAATTCGACTACAACGACTAGTAAATTTGACCATGTAAATACGGCGCTATTCGATTTGAATGATTAATTATGAAATAATTTACTATGATAAAAAATGAATAGCTTACCATTCAGAAATTTTTTTATGTGATCGCATTACACTATTTTCAATATCGATCGGATGATAACGTAATCCACGCAAAGTAATAGTCTCATCCAATGATCCAACGACAAAGACAGCATCATGTAATTCTACAACAAATATTTGCTTTGATTAATCTTGTTGAAAGATGAGCAAATCACTTACCTCCATCTGCTTGAACCGATTCGGTTCGTCGTAAAAATCCCAAATAACCAGTACGTGCATATGTTTGTGCTGTATCACCTGTACTCAATTTTGCATTGAAATGTTCATTGTGCATATTTTCATCACCGAAAACGGCAAAAAATCCACTTGAATTATGTGGTGATTGAACCCAAATCTGAAAAGATTTTTTTGTCAAATTAAATTCCACACTTCTTAAAATCTAAATTCAACTTACCTCTCCCAGATTTGAATCTCCACAATGTCCTTTAGTATCCGGATTGGCAATAATCACTTTAACACCGGGTAATAATTTACCCGATTCCATCAGACAAACACTGTGCGGTGCACCACGTTCAACTAATGTAACACGATCATTACGTAAAGCTCGAGTATCAACATAAACAGTTGTTGGATCTGGTGATGATGCACCTTGTAAACAAAGAGCAATATTTGCACGACATCCAAATGATGTCGATACAGATCGACCTGAAAGTCCAAGACTATGAAATAATTTTGTAAATGATGAAGTGAGACTAACACGAGGTCGTTCTTCGGCAACGATAACACATGTTCGTACACAGCTTAAATTAATTCCTCGTTGCTAATAATGGAAATAGAAAAATAAAACCATTATTGATCGATTAATATATGAAGACATTATAACTTACTTTAAGTTGTTGTATCGAAGATCCAAGACCTTTAGTACATAATTCCATAACACCATATGAACAGAATGTATCACGAACTTTAAACTGGCTAACAGCCGTTAACCAAACGGCTGGATTCAATTCCACTTCGGATGGTGGTATTAGGATTGTATGATGACCTGAGTAAACACTGCTAATACACCAAAGGACAAAACCAAGACCACAATATGGATCCAAACATAAAGCAATATGACGTGATGCATATAATTCGCAAGCAATTTTCATACTTCGACACAAAGATGTAAGACCAGCATGTGAAATTTTTATACCGGCCAACATACCGGTAGTGCTGACACTGAAATCCAGATAAGCAATCATTTCAGGTGTTGGTGCTTTATAAGGTTGATTCAATTTTCGTTTAGGTAGATCATCTGTATCCAATGTTGGTGGCCAGGATTTAATCTCAACAACATTATTTGCTTCTTTTGATTTTAATAATTTTATAACCGGCCCAGTTGATAATATCAATGATGATTTGGATACATTTGCTATCATTCGAACTGTTGGCAATGTAGTTTGAAGATTTTGTGGATGTGGTGGCCTTATGGTCACTGGAACAACACCGACTAATAAACATCCATAGAATGCACATATCAGATCGATTCCCGGTGAATATATGAGAGCAACATGATCACCTGTATTTGGTTTCCCACGTTCCAACAATAAACAAGCAATACGTTCAGCTCGTTTATATAATTGTGAACAGGATAAAGTTGCTACTTCCATATTTTTAGAATTTAATAATGTAAATAGTATATGATCTGGTGTAGTAATTGAACGTGATTTCAAAACATCGGTTATAAAATTCTGTTTTCGTAGATCATGATTACTATCACCATCATCCATGATATCACGACCTTGTGCTACGGCTAATCTTACACCTTGAACAATATTGCCAACCATAACTGATGCTGGTCCAATTTCTCCATGTACTTCTCGTGGTTTTGGAAGATTCGTTACACATGTATGCGGACACATTAATACATTGACCGGATGTAGGCTACCTTCGGTAAATTTTCTTTTTACTTCAGCCAAATGTATGCCACCTAAAGGAGTTTTTGGAAGACAATTTGGTGGTACTAATGCGAGACAATAAATTCCAACTTGATGTATACTATCCACAGCTTGTATTACACGACTCATCCATTGAAAACTTTCATCTTCCGTACAATCAGGCCGTTGTTCGGCAACGACACAAATACGTTCATCACGAAGAACTTTGATTGAAAATATTGCAATACGACCACGATAGACAAATTTCATTGGTTCAACAGCCAATACGGTTGCAATGAGATCATCAGTGTTATGTTTTCGTCCACTAACTTGCATTACACCATCACGTGTACCACAAACAAATACTAATGCTCCTGGACCCATAAATCCAAGCAGACCAGTACGAACAAATGTTTGTTCACTAAATGGACGACCATCCGAATTGAATGGTTGCATTTTGAATACACTATTCGTTAAGCCCTGTAATCCTAGATAACAACTGCCGGCCGATGTTGTACTAAGACATATTTCACCCACTTCATCGGTCTTACATAAATGTGGCAGACCATTCATTTTAACAACGGCTGCAATAGCTGTAATTATAATATATTGATATAGGAAATGATTAAATTGCAACAAACAAGAAATAAATAAAATACATACTTCCAGGTAATACATGGCCACAATCCTGTAATGTTAATGATGTCAATGAATTTTCATTATCAACACGAATGACACCATAGCTTAAAGCAGACATTGATAATACACCACGTCCGGTAGCACCAACACCAGTACGGCCAGGTCTAATTATTTTTCAATAACAAGGTAATAAATTTTAAAAGATTTATATCAATTTTTTTAAAAAAAACCTACCTTCGAATCGAGATTGTCATTGCTTCTGGTGATGTAGCACATGGGCATAAAGCTTCAACACGTAATCCACGGCTATGAAATACGGAAAAAAATTGATCACATGATGATAAAGACCAAGGATTAGCTCCATCGGCAACCAATAACATTCGTAATGAGCTAAGATTAATATCTTTATGATCTTTACTAGCCAATAGACCCCAATGTAGATCACGTGATTTGCAAAGAGCAATTGATGCTTTAAATTTAGTAATCATCAACATCCACATAGCTGGATTGATCTTCATCAATGCATATGGAATGAATATAACATGCATTCCATTTAATATACTAGCCTGTACAGCATGCCATAGACCAACTTCACGTTTGAAATCTAAAACGCAAACCATAACTTCGCTTTCGGAATATCCACATGCACCAGTCAATGCACGAC